AGTAGAGAAGGGGTAACATTTAACAGAAGGTCGCTTGGGGGGATACCCTTTATAAATTCAAAATAGAACTTGACATACAAATGTATAGAGGGATAGGTATAGGTATCTATCAAGGTATAGAAAAAAGAAAAATGATTTAGCTGTAGAAACTGCAATAGGTTTTTGCTAGACATAAATACTACTATGATATCTCAGAATATCTTTAAGTAATTTAATTATTTAAATGAAAGTATCTGTAAAATGTAACTAAAAAGGTTAAAACTGCTAAAGGAAAATTGGTAAACAAGCATTTCAGCGAACTCAATGTTTTCTGCAATGTTTTCTATCATTTTGAGTACAAGGCACATTATGCTGATTAATTTTGATGAATTTATTTACATTTCCATAGCTTGCTGCACTTTTTTTTTGCCATACCCTTCATTGGGAAGGAATTTGCATACATTCTTGAGCCTTAACTTTGAGGATAAATCCTTCGAAATGTGTAAAATGAGTTTATGCCACCCATTTGGCAGGGTCTTGGGAGTCTTTTCTTGTGAGTTAAAGTCAACCACATTTGGACATTTTATACCTAAATTGCCGCTTGGCATGCAGCTCGGGTCTGGTCTCTCAGTATCTCAGTCTCTCTCTGTCTCTGCTGCCCCACAACATCGTCGACGTTTCGTTTCGTTTCGGTTTTATGGTTTTGCTGAATGGATTGGGTATGGGATTGGGATTGGGAGCCACTGCTATGACTTGGGGCAGAGAGACTGTAGACTGTTGACTGGGGGGCAAACTGCAGTGGTCGCGAAATTTGATGCCAAAACGAGACTGCGACTCTTGTGGGGCAGCTCGCTGGTTGCTTTGCCGCTGCTTTGCTCTGCTTATGCGACTCATTACATCTCTGGGATGCCGTTTGCCCGCCACAAACAGTGTGTGTGTCTGTGTGTGTATTTATAACTTTAAGATGGGTTTGGTGGCTTTGCTTGGGGTCCTCCACGGCTGCATGTTGCATGATTCCACTCACACACATACGCGACTCTCAACTCCAGTGTCAACTCATCTTTTGCATCTGCATCAGCATCTGCATCTGTTGTGATCATCATCCCTTTGATGTTCTTCTTTGACGTTAATTGAACTTGAATTCTTTCTCTTGTTTGCAGTAAATTGAATTGAATGCCAGAGCAGAGCGCCGCACGCACGCGAGAGAGAGAACGCGCGTATCCCTACTAATAATTATTGAAACTAATATATATATGTATATATACTATAATTAAGCAGCATTTAATCGCAGCAGCTGTCTAATTATGTTTACTAAACAATTAATAATACTAATTAAAGGCAAAGTGAAATGTGTTTTTTCCATGAAATTCTTTCCTGAAGCAGAAAATGACATAATGGGATGGGTATTTTTTTCGCCAGCATCTCTCTCTCTACCAGATAAGATACAGATTCTATGGTACGCATAGATACAGCTTTCGTTCTGGTTGTGGAGAGATAAGTGCTGTTAATCTTAGAGACAGCTGCCAGTGCGGTGGATCGTGGCGCATCGCTGGCTTTTTGCAGAACCGGCCTCTAACTGTCTGAAAAACAACAAAAACAAAAACAAAAACCAGAAGATGAAGATGAAAAGCTGGCCAAGAATATGCGTGTAGCTGAGAAGCTGACTGCAGCTTATCTATCTCCACTCTCAGCAGCACTTTAATGGGGTAAATACATTTGTATCTGCTGTCGGTGACAGTCGAAACTTTGCCTTCCGCTGCGCCTGGCTGGCTGCACACCTCTCGACTGCTTCTAAGTTACTTTACTTAGTGTTCTCGTCTCGTAGATTCTCACATACAACATTGTTGGTGTGTGTTTTTTTTTTTTTTTTTTTGTAATTTAATGAGTGTGCCACTGCAGCATGCCACCACCGATAATACGAGTACGACTACGAGCTGTGTAGTGCTGTGTGTCCATGTTAACAATTAATTTGAGTGCTACAATAAAAAAAAAACAACTGAAAATACAAAATAAAACAATATTGCATGAGACCATTGAAAACCGGGTTGCCGTAAAAAGCATAGCCAAAGGCTGCTCAGCTGTCTGTTTGTCTGTTGGCCATATATAGACCCAAAGCCAAAGCCAAAAGGCAAGCAGCAAGCAGCAAACATTTTAGGTGCAATTTGTATCTAAAGCGAGTGTTATTTCTGAATTGGCTAAAAAGAAATAGAAAGTTGCAACATTTGTGACCAATTGGTCACACGAAATATCTCTATGCTGATGATTAAGACACACGAGAATGAATAATCAAGAAGTGGACATATGTATAGTCTACATATACATATGTATCGGTACATCAGGCATCAGGCGAATGAGCCAACATTTTATATATCTATCTATCTATCTATCGTATGTGGTTTTAATTTTAGACAAATAAAATAAATTATGTGGAAGATGTGAGGGTGTGAGAAACCCAAACGAATCAAAATCTAAATTATAATATAATTTCCACAAAAGAATGCAACGAATATTATTTATTTATCCAATCTGATGGTTACATCCTCTCGCATCTACAGAAAAGAACATAAGGATTGCATCTATCTTTGCACATATATATATATATATATTATATACGCCTGTATCTGGAATCAATAGATATGCAGAGATACGTGTGTATCTGTGCCGTGTGTATGCATTTGTATCTAGAATTTCTCTGGGATGGATCTTCTTTTATTTTCTTCGTTTTGTGCAGACAATGTTGAAAAATACGTGTCAAAAATAAATCGCCATATATTTTTAGCCAACTTACTCAAAACCCGAACACTTTCCGAACGAATTCCAACCAGGAGGACACACCAGAGAGAGAAATATATAAAGAGAGAGAGAGAGTGAGAGAGTGAGAGATCTGCTCGAGCGAGCGGAGATCACAGTTGGGAAAACCGAAAGCCAAATGGCTGTGTGGCATTTGGTATTCGGTGGATCTGTTTTTTGGTGTAAAATACTCAACACAAATTGACTTTTGAAATATGCTGAATAAAGCATAAAGCACTCGAAGATTGCTTGGGGCATAATTTGGGAACTTGCAGGAGCGCTACTATAAAAATTAAAATAAACAAAGTGTTCTTTTTTATTGAAGTTTGAATTGATCTTTCATTCAGAATCTACACGACACATCACAGAATTCTTCTCCATTTGGATAATTAAAAAAAAAACTTTAATTCTTAAAAATAATTAAAATATATAAATATCTTTCTTGAGATACCTGGATGTACATTTTTCGACTTCTCTGCCTTCCAAAATATTCAGGGATATGTAACAAATATACCCTTGGATATACCCTACTCGATCGAATCTCTCATCCACTCTGCCTCTCTCACAAAATAATATGCCCCCCCCCCCAGTGACATGTGTAGTGCATCATCATCCAACGCTGAGCGCATCAGAGAGCGTTTTCCCACAACAACAATAAGCGCATGGAAAGTGCAAAAATATATTTTGTGGAGCGGCGGTGGCAACCCAAACGAACGAACCCCATCCGAACCTTGTTCGGATACGGCGCTCTCCTCGCTTCGTGGAGGAGATTGCTCTCTTGTTGATCGGCGCATCGCCTTCGGCTAGAGGAGATCGTGTGCCGAGCTGCAGCGAGCAGAGCTATTTGATCGCATTCTCAACAAGATTTTGTCATTCTTCGCTCGCACCTCACAAACGATCGACGTGTCTTGGTTTCAGTCTCGGGGATTATGACTTGAAACAGTTTGAAAATAGATATTTTTTAGTAAAAGAATATACATATATCTATATATATATATCGTATATAAACGCGCACACATACGGTACGGAATATATCTATATAGAGTTTTTTTTTGTACGCCCGCATACACACTCTCACACACGCACACACTAACACCGTAAGGATAACGAAATCATTAAGTAAGGATCAAAATCAAGTGAATGGAATGGAAAGAAAAAAGTGTTCATGAAAATTTTCTCTGGTTACGAAACCACTTTTCAAAAAAAAGAAGCAAGAACCAAAAAAAAAAAAAATCAGAAATTCCGAAAGAATTTTTCAGTGCGCTAAATATCTAAAAATATCACACGAGCGAGCGAGCGGTGGTGCCTTCGGTGGGGATTCGTATACCGATTCGTATCGGATCGGATCGTTTCGTATCGTTTTGGTTTTCGGTTTTTCGGTGGTGGTCCGCACCCAATCCAACGAATGGACTGTGAAATCGTGTGCAAACACAGATATCAAGAGATATTCTATATATATTCTATAGATATATGAACAAAAGCGCACTACTACTCGTATATCAGCGAGTGTATAGATTATATTATCCTGGCTGATCCTGGCAAGGATTACACGCTGATCGTGCTGGGATAATGCTTCTATCTCTCTCGCTCTCTCTCGCACTCTCTCTCTCTATTGCTCTCTGTAAAAAAAAGCGGAGTTCGAACAAAGTTTTCTGTGAAAGAAAAAACGTTTATTAATAGCACCAAAGTGAAAAATAAGAAGCTACCACCGAACCACCGATCCCCGATTCATCCATCGTACGCGAGGAGACTCTGTGTGTGTTTGTGTTAGTGTGCTAGTGAGTGTGTGTGCGTGTGCTTTTAGGGGAGATGTGTGTATGTGTCGCAGTGCTGCTAAAAATAGTTAAGGGGAAAATGCCTCATAGCCCAAAGCATATGAATATGATGAAGAAAGAAAGATCTTTAGATCTGATTTATATCGAAAGAAAATTTAAGAAAAATCCAAGTGTATGTGTGTGTGTGTGTGTCAGAAAAGAGAAACAGAGTGAAAGATCTATAAAACAAAAACCGTGTGACAGGTTCACCCATAAAAGTAAATCAAGTTAAAGATACAAACCCCGCCGAACGACATAATAATAAATGTTTGCCAAAAAAGTCATGGCAGTGATAAATGTGTTATCTCTCGAAACTCGAATTCAAATGTGAAAATGCATAAAAATTTAATGTGATTTTCCTTCTCTATTTTTCGTGCCCCTGTCCATGCCTCCTGCCCCCCACGTATTCAATTTCAGCATCATAAAGAAGCGAGATCAAAGATAGATAAATATATATAAAAAATTAAAAAAAGAGAATATCAAGTGAAGAAGCAAATCAAAAAAGAGAAAAGTGATCGAGAGGTGTTCCATTCTTCAAGTGCAGTTTCATCTGCATATCTGATTTGGTTGTCATTTGTCAAATGATAGTTTATCAGTGTTAGTATATAACGAAGCAACAAAATGCAACGACAAAATCCGAACCCGTACCAGCAGCAGCAGCAGCAGCAACAAGTGCAGCAGCAGCAGCAGTACTCCACTCAGGAGTACTCGCACTCCACCCAGGAGCAGCATCAGCAGCAAAGGATTAGCCGCACCGAACAGCATGTTCAAAGGAGTCAAATCACCAGCACCCAGCAACGAGGTCAGTCATGTCGCAGGATTCAGTTTCAGGGGGAAGGTTCACCCGAATGGCTTCAGTGGGGATTCACACCGTGGATTTAGAATCCTCACTGTTCCAATATGGGCGACTGTCCCCGTCAGGTGCTTTTCATCATCCTGCTTGTAATTTCACCTAAAATGACCTTCACTGCATGTAGTTTAGCAAATTTTTAACGCTTCGTGCGACAGGGCGACTCGGGCGGTTTCTTTGCCTGCCTGGGATTCGTTTAAGGACTTGATTTATGCATTTATTTACATCTATTTATGCATAGATATTTGTGGAACCTTTTAATTATATATTTGGGAATAGGTTTTAGGAAACAAACACTCATTTTAAAACAAAGAAATCGATTGCTTCGTTCGTTCATATCATACATATATCACTGGATAATATATGCTCGTTTCTTTGCCCAGAAAATGTTGTAAATCTTTTGAGTTAGAATATGCCATTTTTATTTGATTTTACTCCAGTTTTAGCGCTGACTTTTAATCATTAATATTCTGTAGTTTCTTCGATATTTAAGGTCCACTTGGAGACCTCTTAAATGGGAATTATACTATTAAAAGAGCACAATTTTCTTCGCAGTACTTTTTGGTAAAACCATTTGGCATCGTTAATTTCGTACAAAAAACAGTCTTTAAAACGCAGACAGCAATTGCTTTTCATTACCTAAACTACTTTACTTTACTTTCCTATGGAAGATCCCCTATTCTATAGCCCTAGGGCATATTCTAGGAATTATTGTAGGAATCTTTACTAAGAATTAATGAAAAAGAATTCTTCAATTCAGTGGAAAACCAAAGACGTAATCTTATGCAGAAACTATTCAGAAATTTATGGATTTATTTATTCTGTAATTTTAATGTAAACATATAGCTAAAGCTTACCAGATTACGGAAATGTATTCCATTGCAATAAACAAATCCATGAACAATCCAGAGACAAAGAAATATCTGAAAAATGAGAAAATCAGAGAATGTTCAGAGATTGTTTATAAATTGAAATCAAATCTTATTTCCTACAACTAAAACCAATAAATATAGTAAAAGAATTCATAAATATTTGCCTACCTTTCAAATATTTATTTTCCGCATATACACTGTCTCATATAAGTATGAATCCACAGAAATGTGTCATCATTAAAAATTTCCCCAAATGAAACCCAAAAATAAAAGCGACAAACACTCGGGAGAAAATCTTTTCCAACATATACATATACATATTCATGTGTCAACTTGTGTTTCATCATTTAAATCTTAATTGATGATCAGGCAGTCAAAATTCGGAACGAAATTCGGGAAACTATTTATAGGTTTATCTATTCATCTGCCAAAATCCCCTAAGACTGCACTGACATACATATACGTATACTATATAGGTACTATATATATAAATATAAATATCTAAGGCGTATAAGAGTGGACATTTGTTTACATTTTGTGGGTAAATGTTGCAGCCATTAGTTAGAGTGAATGGGATATACGGTTCAGTTCTCTCTTTTTCTCTCTCTCATCTCTTATACCATCAGTCGGATCATGCGTGAGAAACGAGAGATGGATAGAGAGTGGTAGAGACAGACAGCTGTTCCTTCTAAAATTTGTTTATCTTTCGAATGTGTTCTTTCAATCAGCTGTTTTTGGGAAGTCGTCAACCTATAGAATAGATACATACATGCAAAAGTACCTACGAGTACCTTACGTTAATGACACACTTCTAAAAGATAAACAAATCATACAGATGCGAATATATACACATATATAGATATACCTATATAGATATATATATATGCTTACTTATAGATGGCTCCTACTTATAGTTTATTGTTTACTTATAGATAGTGTTTATTTATGTCTTATTTCTCGTATAAATAGTTTCATTCATTCATCCAACTCTTTAAGTAATCTTCAAATAAATTAACATTGAAGTTTACTTTCTTTTCCAGATATATTTATCTCGAAGTAAATGCACTTTAAGTTCACTTTAATTTTTCACAGATACATATGATTTTTTAAATGATTTTTATGGACATTTTGGTGGAAGTTTTATTATATCAAAAATAGATACAGACTTGGACATTATTATATTTCAATGTTTTTAATTTTTTTAAATTAAAAAAAAATCTTTTAAATTGTTTAAGAATTTATTTTATAGATGAAGAGATAGATAGATGAGTCGATGATATTTGTGGGCAAATTTCTTGCGTCTTGTTGAAACAACCACCTCCAAATCCATTCCAATTTCTTTGTTAAATTTTATTTATGGAAACTAAAAAAATCATTAAAATTGTTTTATAGTTTATTTTATAAATGAAGAGTAATCGATGATATTTGTGGGCAAATTTCTTCTTTGTTAACTTTTATTTATTGAAACTAAAAAATCATTAAAATTGTTTTTTAATTTATTTTATAAATTAAGTCGATAATATTTGTGGGCAAATTTCTTCTCTATTTATTGAAACTAAAAAGGATACAAGTTTCAGGTTAAGGATATTTAGACTTTAAATCCCTTTTTTTACTACGATTTTTCGCTATAAATCTGCCATATTTATGGAGTGCCTTGAACCCGCATCATTTAACGCTGCTCTCATTTTCCCTTCGCTCACACAAATTTCCCAATTTTCTAATCTAAATTATTCTCCACAGTGCAACAACATTCTGGCGGTGGCAGCATCATTGGCGGTGGCAGTGGCATCAACTATGTGCCACCCGCATTGACACACGTCTATGCCCAGGGCGACATCTCGCCGCCGGTGTTCGAGCAGATCTTCAAGAACGCTCGATTCGCGCAGGGCGGCAACGCCCTGTTCGAGGGACGGCTGCGTGGCAATCCGAAGCCATTCGTGACATGGACCCGAAAAGGTGCACCACTTCTCGAGTCGCAAAAGTTTCGAATGAGCTACAACGAGGCCACCGGCGACGTCTCGCTGCTGATCAATCAGATCGGACCCGGCGATGAGGGCGAGTACACCTGCACCGCCCGCAATCAGTACGGGGAGGCCATCTGCAGTGTCTACATCCAGCCGGAGGGCGCACCAATGCCAGCGATGCAGCAGCCCAGCATCCAGAATCTGGAGAAGAACATCTATTCGAACGGGTACTCGTACACGTCCATCGAGGAGGAGTTCCGCGTGGACACCTTCGAGTACAGACTGCTGCGCGAGGTCTCCTTCCGGGAGGCCATCACCCGTCGCTCCGGCTACGAGCTGGACTCCCAGCTCTCCCAGGAGCTCGATCGCACCCTGGGCCCGGCGCACGCCCCACAAATCTCGCAGAAGCCGCGCAGCTCCAAGCTGATCGAAGGCTCCGATGCGGTGTTCACCGCCCGCCTCGGCTCCAATCCGAAACCGCGGCTCACCTGGTTCCACAACGGGCAGCGTCTGGTGGCATCGCAGAAGTACGAGATCTCCTATTCGAGCGGCGTGGCCACGCTGCGCGTGAAGAATGCCACCGCCAAGGATGGCGGCCATTATACCCTGCTCGCTGAGAATTTCCAGGGTTGTGTCGTCTCCTCTGCCGTGCTGGCCGTGGAGCCGGCGGCCGAGTCTGCCTACGAGCCGAAACCCGTCGACGTCATGGCCGAGCAGCTGGAGGCGGGCAAGGCTCTGCCGCCGGCGTTCGTCAAGGCCTTTGCCGATCGCGAGGTCACCGAGGGACGCATGACGCGCTTCGATTGTCGTGTGACTGGCAATCCCTATCCGGAGGTCTTCTGGTTCATCAATGGCCGCCAGGTGCGAGACGATGCCTCGCACAAGATTCTCGTCAATGAGTCGGGCAGCCATTCGCTGATGATCACGAACGTGACCCGTCTGGATGGCGGCGCTGTGCAGTGTCTGGGCCGCAACAAGGCCGGCGAGGTGGCCATCGAGGCGCAGTTGAGTGTGCTGGAGAAGGAACAGGTTGTTGCACCGCAATTCGTTCAACGCTTCAGCACGATGACTGTGCGCGAGGGCGAGCCCATTACGATGAGTGCCAATGCCATTGGCACGCCCTTGCCGCGCATCACCTGGCAGAAGGATGGCGTTCAGATCTCATCCACGGCCGAGCGATTTGTGGGCATTGATGGCGGCGCCACCTGTCTGGAGATACCGCGTGTCCAGGCCACCGATGCGGGCTGGTATCAGTGCACCGCCCAGAATATTGCCGGCTCCACGGCCAATCGGGCCCGCCTCTATGTGGAGGTGCCCAGGGAGCAGCCGTCGCAGGAGCAGAGGCGTCTCAATCTGCCCCGACCCACGAAAGTGATTGAGCCAGAGTGAGCATTAAAACTTCCCAATATCTGCCATATATATAGAGATATACTCATAACTCTCTCTCTCTTGCAGACCCATTCCTGGCCCCGAAATCATCTACTTGCGGCATGTGGAGCGCGCCAAGCCCCATCTGCGTCCGGGCGAGGAGGATCGCGTCTATCCGCCGCCACAGTTTATTATACCGCTGCAGAATGTGCAGCAGACGGAGGGCGGTCGCGTTCATATGGAGGCGCGCATTGAGCCCGTGGGCGATCCCACAATGGTCGTCGAATGGTACCTCAATGGCCGTCCCCTGGCAGCCAGTAAGTCTATACCCCCTCACCCCCATCGAAAAGCGCTCCTTCTAATGCTGCTAATGTTTCCCTCTCACCCCCCTTTAGGTGCCCGTGCCACATCTGTCTTCAAGTTTGGCTTCATCGCCTTGGATCTGCTGAGCATCATGGGCCATGATGCCGGCGAGTACATGTGCCGCGTGAGCAACGCCAGCGGCGTGGCCGAGTCCCGGGCCATTCTGTCCGTCGTGCAGCGTCCGTCCATCGATCAGACGTCGCAGAATCCGAACAGCGTGCAGCACATCTCACAGCTGGAGGACTATTCGCGCTACCAGCGACAGGAGAGCGCCGAGGAGCAGCTGAATCAGGCGCCACAATTCATACGGCCGCTGCGCGATCTGGGCGAGTTTGAGGAGGGCAAGAATGTGCATTTCGAGGCACAGGTGACGCCCGTCAACGATCCGTCGATGCGCGTGGAGTGGTACAAGGACGGCCTGCCGATTACGGCCAGTTCCCGGATCACGGCCATCTTCAACTTTGGCTACGTCTCGCTGAACATCCTGCACCTGAGGGCCGAGGACGCGGGCACCTATACGGTGCGCGCCGTCAATCGCATTGGCGAGGCCATCAGCCAGTCTGTGATCCGGGTGCATGTGCGCTCGCAGGTCACCGCCGATCTGGGCATACCCGAACAGCAGCGCTATATCGAGAAGACCGAACAGCTGGAGGATTATCGCAGCAAGTCGCAGCAGCGTCGTCACGTCCAGGAGGCGCCCGAGCCCACTGCGCCGCCGCAGTTCAAGACGCCCATTCAGAATCAGCTGGATCTGCGCGAGCACGCGCATGCGCACTTTGAGGCGCGCCTGGAGCCCGTCGGCGACTCCACGATGCGCGTCGAGTGGCTGAAGGATGGTCAGCCGCTGGAGGCAAGCAGCCGCATCACCACCTACCACAACTTTGGCTACGTGGCCCTGACCATCAAGCAGCTGACCGTCTACGATGCCGGCACCTACACCTGTCGCGCCTACAATGCCATGGGCCAGGACACCACCGTCGCCCAGCTGACGGTCATCTCCAAGAATGAAATTGTCAGCGAGTCGCAGCATCCGGGCGGCCTGCAGAAGATCCAACATCTGGAGGACGCGTCACGCTACGGTCGGCGCGAGGAGGAGGAGATCTGCATCAATCAGGCGCCGCGCTTCCTGGGGCCCATGAAGGGCACCACCAAGATCCTGGAGGGGCAGCGCGCCCACTTTGAGGCGCGCGTCGAGCCGCAATCGGACCTGGGCATGCAGATTGAATGGTATCACAATGGGCGCTCCATCACGGCCGCCAATCGCATTCAAACGTACTACGATTTTGGGTACGTGGCTCTGGACATATCACAGGTGAGGGCCGAGGATGCGGGCGTCTATCTGGTGGTGGCCAGGAACAAGCTAGGTGAAGCTCAGTTGCAGGCAACGATGGTAGTGGAAAGTAAGTACAATAAGTGCCCCATAAATCTCCACACCTAATCTTCTTTTTCTTCCGCTCTCCAGCTCGTTCCAATATCGACACATCTAGCATGCATCGTGGCCTCTACGAGAAGACCCAGAATCTGGAGAACAAACCGTTTGTGGAGCCCCAGTATGACATTGAGGAGATATCCAAGTCGAAGCCCGTTTTCGTGCAGCCCCTGGCCGATCCCAAGCCCATACACGATGGCAAAAATATCCATCTGGAGTGCCGTCTGGAGCCCATGGGCGACCCAACGATGCGCGTCGAATGGTTCCACAATGGCCGACCCGTGACAGTGGGCTCTCGCTTCAGGACCTACTATGACTTTGGCTTTGTCGCTCTCGACATTATCAAGGCGACGGCCGCGGATTCCGGCGAGTATACGGTGCGGGCGACCAATCATCTGGGCACCGCCCACACCTCGGCCTGTGTGCGGGTCATCGATCGCACCGATGTCGTCACCGAGACGCAGAACGAACAGTCGCTGGAGCAGATCCAGCTGCTGGAGGATTCGCGTCGGCGGCAGCATCGCGAGGAGGACATCACCGTGATGCAAGCGCCGCAGTTTACGCGTGCGCTTCACAACATCGAGACGGTGGAGGGCACCAATGTGCATCTGGAGTGCCGCCTGCAGCCCGTCGGTGATCCCTCGATGCGCATCGAATGGTTCGTGAATGGCAAACCCGTCAAGACGGGCCATCGCTTCCGGCCCGCCTACGAGTTCGATTACGTGGCTTTGGATCTGTTGGGCTGCTATGCCATCGATTCGGGGGTGTACACGTGCCAGGCGCGCAATCAGCTGGGCGAGGCCGTCACCTCCTGTTCGGTGAGGATCACCTCCAAGAACGATCTGATACTGGAGACGCAGAACGAGTCGGGACTGCAGAAGATCGCCTATCTGGAGGACAGCTCACGCTATCGTCGCCACGAGGAGGTCGATGAGGTGGTACGCATCCGTCCGCGGTTCCTCACCCAACCCAAGAGCCTGACCAACACGCGCGAGGGCGGACACGCCCATTTCGAGTGCAAGATCGAGCCCGTAACGGATCCCAATCTGAAGGTGGAATGGTTCAAGAACGGACGCCCCATTACGGTGGGACATCGCTTCCGGCCCATACACGATTTCGGGTATGTGGCCCTGGACATTGTCCATCTGATTGCCGAGGATTCGGGCGTGTACACCTGCCGGGCGGTCAATCTGATTGGCTCCGATGAGACGCAGGTGGAGCTGCAGTGCCGCAGCGGCGAGCAGATTGTCACCGTGACGCAGAACGAGGCGGGCCTCGAGCAGATCCACTATCTGGAGGACCGGTCGCGGTACAGCCGCCGCGAGGAGATCGACGAGAGCACCAAGCAGGCGCCCGTGTTCACCACATCCCTGAAGAACGTTGAGATCAAGGAGAACCAGCGGGCGCACTTTGAGTGCCGCCTGATACCCGTTTCGGATCCGTCGATGCGCGTCGAATGGTACCACAACAATCTGCCGCTCAAGTCGGGCTCCCGCTTCACGGAAACCTCCAACTTTGGCTTTGTGGCGCTCGATATTATGTCGACGCTGCCGGAGGATGCCGGCACCTATACCTGTCGCGCCTTCAATGCCGTCGGCGAGGCCATCACCTCCGCGGTGGCTGTGGTGCACACCAAGAAATCCATTTACCTGGAGTCGCAGCACGAGACGGCGCTGCCGCGTCTGCAGCATCTGGAGGATGGCTCCAAGCGGCAGCGCATCAGTGTCCAGGATGAGTTCGTGTCCCAGGCACCCGTCTTCACGATGCCCGTGCGCGATGTGCGCGTCGCGGAGAACCAGGCGGTGCACTTTGAGGCGCGCCTGATACCGGTGGGCGATGCCAACCTGAAGGTCGAGTGGCTGCGCAACGGGCAGCCCATTGAGGCCTCCAATCGCACCACCACCATGCACGACTTTGGCTACGTGGCACTGAACATGAAGTACGTGAATCCGGAGGATTCCGGCAGCTACAGCTGCCGGGCCATCAATGAGCTGGGTCAGGCGGTCACCTCCGCCTCGCTGATTGTCCAATCGAAGACGGCCATCCAGCTGGAGACGCAACACGAGGCGGCCATGCACAAGATCCATCAGCTGGAGGATCACAGCCGCTACCAGCGACGCGAGGAGGAGGAGTACACTGTGACGACGGCGCCCGTGTTTGTGACCAAGCTGATTGGCCCCACCAATCTGAAGGAGGGCCAAAGCGCCCACTACGAGTGCCGCATCGAGCCGTATCCGGATCCCAATCTCAAGGTCGAGTGGTTCCACAACGGCAAGCCCCTGAGCACCGGCCACAGGTTCCGCACCACCTACGACTTTGGCTTTGCCGCCCTGGACATACTCACGGTGTATGCGGAGGACTCCGGCGAGTACAGCTGCCGTGTGACCAACAATCTGGGCGAGGCCATCAATTCGATCCAGCTGAATGTCACCTCGCGCTCCTCGATCATCCAGGAGACACAGCACGAGGATGCCCTGTCCAAGATTGCGCATCTGGAGGATGCCACACGCTTCCAGCGCAAGCCGGACGAGGAGCAGTTCCATGCGGAGCGGCCGCAGTTCGGTCGCTCGCTGCGCAATGCCAAGGTGAACGAGGGCGCGCCAGTGCATCTGGAGGCGACGCTGATACCCGTCAATGATCCCACCATGAAGGTCGAGTGGTACTGCAATGGCACACCCGTCCAAACGGGCCACCGCTTCAAGACCACCTACGATTTTGGCTTTGTCGCCCTGGACATCCTGTATGCGCATGCGGAGGACACCGGCACGTACATGTGCAAGGCCAAGAATGCCATTGGCGAGGCAGTCACGACATGTGCTGTAAACGTAACAGGTACCAACAGAAATCCAAATCCCAATCCCCCTACCCTTAATGTTCCCTTGCTTAATCTTCCCTTATCTTTTTGTAGCAAACAAAACCCTCGATCTGGACACCATGGATGCTGAGAGATTGGAAAAGATTCGCCAACTGGAGAGCTATGCCCCACCCAGCAAGCCCGTGCTGGAGGAGAAGGGCTCCAAGCCGATATTCCTCACTCCGCTGAGCAATTTGGAGCACCTCAAGGAGGGCGAACACGCCCATCTCGAGTGCCGTGTGGAGCCCATCAACGATGCCAATCTGAAGATCGAATGGTTCTGCAATGGCAAGCAGCTGCCGATGGGCCATCGCTTCCGCACCACCCACGACTTTGGCTATGTGGCGTTGGACATTCTGTATGTGTATGGCGAGGACACCGGCACGTACATGTGCAAGGCCACCAATCTGCTGGGCGAGGCGGTGAACACGTGCAATGTGCGCGTCTTGAATCGTCGCAGCATGATCCTGGACACACAGCATCCCGACGCGCTGGAGAAGATCCAGAAGCTGGAGTCGAAGGTGGTGAATGCGCGCACGGAGGTCGGTGATCATCCCATCAGTCCGCCGCACTTTACGGCGGAGCTGCGCGGCTCCACGGAGATCTACGAGGGCCAGACGGCGCACTTTGAGGCGCAGGTGGCGCCCGTGCACGATCCCAATCTGCGCATCGAGTTCTACCACAACGGCAAGCCACTGCCGTCGGCGGCCCGCTTCCACATCACCTTCGACTTTGGCTATGTGTCGCTGGACATCACCCATGCCGTGGCGGAGGATGCCGGCGAGTATTCGGTGCGTGCTGTGAATGCCCTGGGACAGGCCGTGTCGGCCACCAATCTGCGGGTGATTGCACGCGGCACCATCATCTCGGACACGCAGCATCCGGAGGGTCTGGAGAAGATCCGCAAGCTGGAGTCGACGGCGCCGCATCAGCGCCAGGAGGTGGAGACACCGGGCACGCGGCAGCGACCCGTGTTCACGCAGCCGCTGCAGAACATCGACCGGATCAACGAGCACCAGACGGCGCACTTTGAGGCGCGCCTGATACCGGTGGGTGATCCCAATCTGAGGGTCGAGTGGTACCGCAACGAGAAAATCATCGAGGACAGCTCGCGCATCACCAAGCAGCACGACTTTGGCTTCGTTTCCCTGGACATTTCGCACATCCGGAAGGAGGACGAGGGCGTCTACATGTGCCGTGCCGTCAATCCACTCGGCGAGGCCGTCACCACCGCCTCCATGCGGGTTGTATCGGAGGCCAGCATCCTGATGGACACCCAGCATCCGGACAGCATCAGTCGCATCCATCAGCTGGAGAAACCGTTGGCGCCGCGTCCCAGCGAGCCGGAGCGCCTCTTCGAGAAGCCCATCTTCACGCAGCTGCTGACCGGACCGTCGGAGCTGTGGGAGGGCGCCCATGCGCACTTCGAGGCGAGGGTCGTCCCTGTGGGCGATCCGTCGCTGCGTTTCGAGTGGTTCATCAATGGCGTGGAGCTGCAAATGGGCTCCCGGCTGCGCACCACCCACGACTTTGGCTTCGTCACACTCGACATTGCCGCTGTGGTGCCGGAGGATGCCGGCGTTTACATGTGCCGCGCCTACAATGCCGCCGGCGAGGCTGTCTCCTCGACGGCCATGAAGGTCAAGGCCAAATCGAATATCGATGGCCAGCCCTTGATACCCGAATCGTGGGAGGCCATTCGCCTCAAGGAGGCGGCCATGAATCGTGTGCCCGAGCTGTTTGTCGACTCGACGCCGCAGCAGGCGCCGGTCTTCACGACGCATCTGCAGTCGTACGACAAGCTGCACGAGGGACAGCATGTGCTGTTGGAGGCGCAGGTGGAGCCACGCGCAGATCCCAATCTGCGCATCGAATGGTTCAAGAATGGCGTCTCCCTGACCACCGGCTCGCGGATACGCAGCACCTTCGACTTTGGCCTGGTGACGCTCTCCATCAACGGCCTGCGCGCCGACGATTCGGCCATATACACGTGCAAGGCCACCAATCAAATCGGCGAGGCTGTGTCCACATCCTCGCTGAAGATCGAGGACCGGCACTGGCTGCAGGCGGACTCGCTGCATCCGGATGCCCTGCCACGCATTGGCGCACTGGAGGCGCCCAAGGCGGACCGGCCGGCGGCGCCAGAGCCCACCTACGAGACGCCCGTGTTCATTACGCACCTGAACAACATCGAGTGCAAGGAGTCGGACAATGTGCGCTTCGAGTGCAACGTGGAGCCGGCGCGGGATCCCACCATGCAGATCGAATGGTTGCACAATGGCCAGCCGCTGCAGGCGGCCGCCAAGTTCAAGTCCATCTACGATTTTGGCTACTGTGCCCTCGATCTGACCAACTCGTATGCGGAGAACAGTGGCGTGTACACGTGCAAGGCGACCAATAGCCGGGGATCGGCCACCACATCGGGCACGCTCAAGTGCACCGGGGGCCAGACCATGTACCTGGACACGCAGCATCCGCAGGGCGAGAGCGGCCTGGAGGCCGTGCAGGAGACGGAGGAGGCGCTGGCCAATCGGTATGCCCAGAAATCGAGCAAACCGGAGACGCAATATCCGCCGCCCGTGTGGACCAAGCCGCTGCTGGCCGAGTTCCATCTGTCGGAGGCGCAGCCCATCCACCTGGAGGCGAATGTGGAGCCCAAGGAGGATCCGAATCTGTTCATCGAATGGTACTTCAATGGCAAAATGCTGCAGCATGGCTCCCGCTTCAAGATGACCACCGAATTCGGTTTCGTAACGATGGACATGATCGAGGTGTATGCCCGGGATCAGGGCATCTACACGTGCAAGGCGTACAACAGGGCCGGGGAGGCGTTCACCTCCACGACCATTTTCTGCTCGACCAAGGAGAGCATCATTGAGGCCACACAGCACCCGAAGGGCGCCGAGGGACTAGAACAGATCCAGGATCTGGAGGATTCGCTGCGCAAGGATGGCACCAGGCCGGAGCAGCCCGATCTGGGCATTGCGCCGCGCTTCACCACACAATTCGTGAACATTGCGGACATCGGGGAGGGCGAGTTGGCCCACTTCGAGGCGAATCTGATACCGGTCGGCGATCAGAGCATGCTCATCGAATGGTTCTACAATGGCAAAGTGCTGGAGGCCAGCCATCGGGTGCGCACCATCTACGCCTTTGGCACGGTGGCCCTGGAGGTGCTCGGCACCAAGATCGAGGACACCGGCAGCTATACGTGCCGGGCCACCAACAGGCATGGCACGGCCGAGATCAGCTGCCAGCTGGAGTGCGTGGACAAGCCGCGCGGCCAGAAGCCGCACTTCACCTCACACATCCAGCCGCTGCAGGGCCTCAAGGACGGCCAGGCGGCGCATTTCGAGTGCACCCTGATACCCGTCAACGATCCCGAGCTGAAGGTCGAATGGTATCACAACGGCGCCCTGTTGCGTCACTCGAATCGCATCAAGACCGTCTCCGATTTCGGCTACGTTGTGCTGGACATTGCCTACCTGCAGGATCACGACTCCGGCGAGTATGTGTGCCGGGCGTGGAACAAATACGGCGAGGACTTCACGCGCACCACCCTCAACTGTGGCGGCCGTGGCGGCGTCTTCTACGACAGCCTGCAGCCCGACTCGTTGCAGCGCATCCGCGAGCTGGAGTGCCCGCAGGGCCAGCAGGGCGACACCAGTGCACCGGTGGCGGCGGAGCCACCCAAATTCATCACACAAATTGCGGATGTCACCAAGCTGGTGGAGGGACAGAGCGCCCACTTTGAGGCACGTCTGACGCCCATCACGGATCCCGATCTGGTTGTCGAATGGTACTTCAATGGCAAGAAACTGCCGCATGGCCATCGGTTCCGCACGTTCCATGATTTTGGCATTGTCATCCTGGACATCCTCTACTGCTACGAGGAGAACTCCGGCGTGTACGAGTGCCGGGCGGTCAACAAGTATGGCGAGGACTCGACCCGGGCGTCCCTCAAGTGCGCCTCCAAGGCGAGCCTCATTCTGGACTCGCAGCTGCCGCGCGGCATGGAGGGTGGCCTGGAGAAGATCGCCAATCTGGAGTACAGCATGGTGCGCACACGCGACGACACCACCACCACCGAGGAGACCCGGGGCAGGGCGCCCGTCTTCACGGTGCCGCTCGAGAACATCGACAACATGCGTGAGGGCGAGAATGCGCACTTTGAGGCGAGAATAACGCCCGCCGATGATCCCAAGCTGAAGGTCGAATGGTTCTGGAATGGACGGCCGCTCAAGGCGGGCTCACGCTTCCGCACCTTCTGTGACTTTGGTTTCGTTATACTGGAGATTTCGCCCGTGTATCCGGAGGACTCTGGCGAGTACTCGTGCCGTGCGATCAACGAGTACGGCGAGGCCGTCACCACCTCAACGATGAAGATCCAGGGCAAGCGTTCGATCATCATGGAGTCGCAGCTGCCCAAGGGCATGGAGGGCACCATCGATCGCATCGCCGAGCTGGAGGGCTTGGGCTCGCGCAGCACCGAATTCGTGCCCGACGATGACACCGGCAAGCCGCCAGAGTTCATAACGACGCCCTTCGACATGGTCATCACGGAGAATTCGCTGGCGCACTTTGAGTGCCGGCTGCAGCCCATAAACGATCCGTCGATGCGCGTCGATTGGTTCCACAATGGCAAGGCCCTGTGGGCGGGATCGCGCATCAAGACCATCAATGATTTTGGCTTTGTGATACTGGAGATTGCGGGCTGCTATCAGCGCGACACGGGACTGTACACGTGCAAGGCCACCAATAAGCATGGCGAGGCGACTGTCTCGTGTAAGCTGCAGGTCAAGGGTCGCCAGGGCATCATCATGGAGCCGCAGCTGCCATCAAATTTCCGCACCGGCACCGAGAGCCTCCAGAAGCTGGAGGAGAGTATGCACAAGCGCGAGGAGATCATTATCGATGAGGAGCAGCCCAATCCACCGAAATTCACCGAGGACATCAAGGACAATCTGGATGTGCCCGAGGGCGGACCCATACACTTTGACTGTCGCGTGGAGCCCGTCGGCGATCCGTCGATGCGCATCGAATGGTTCTACAATGGTCATGTGATGGCCACCGGTTCGCGGGTGCATCAGCTGAATGATTTCGGATTTATTGCCCTGGATGTGGACTATATATATGCGCGCGACTCCGGCGAGTATACGTGCCGGGCCACGAACAAGTGGGGCACGGCCACCACCACGGCCCGGGTCACGTGCAAGGGCAAGCACAACATTGTCTACGAGTCGCAGCTGCCCGAGGGCATGACCTCCGATAAGCTGAAGGAACTCGAACGCGGTCGCATACCCGAGGCGCCCAAGATCGTCGAACAGGAGTACGGACCGCCGCAGTTTATTACACAGATCAGCAACGTCACCGTGGAGGAGGCCGAGGCGGTGCGCTTCGAGTGCCAGGTGGAACCGAAAACGGATCCCAGCCTGCGCGTCGAATGGTATCGCAATGGCAAGCCGCTGCCCTCGGGTCACCGCTACAGGAACATCTTTGACATGGGCTTCGTATCGCTGGATATTCTGTATGTGTATGGCGAGGATTCTGGGGAGTATGTGTGCCGTGCCATTAACAATCATGGCGAGGATCGCACTAGGGCCACAGTGTCCTGTAAAAGTGAGTTTCTCTGCCCCCCCCCTGGGGCAAACCTTTCCCTGCATTTTTTCCTTAATTTTAATTTTTATTTTCCCCCATAGAACTGCCCACAATTCTGTTGCAAAATCAAGTGCCACGCGGCATGAAGCGCTCCGATGCTCTGACCCAAATGGAGGCCACCATCAAGAAGTACACCTCGGAGGTGCATCTGACCGAAGATGATCTCTTTGATCCGGATCGCAAGCAGCCGCCACGATTTGTGACACAAATCAAGGAACAGCTGACGCTCACGGAAATGGCCGTCACGAAATTCGAATGCCAATTGGCGCCAGTGGGTGATCCCAATATGAAGGTTGAATGGTTCTTCAATGGCAAGCCATTGCTGTACAGTAAGTACTTGAAAAGATCTAAAATCCACCCAAGCCTTACGCTCTCTCCCTCTCTCTTTGTGTGTCTCTTTAGAGAACCGCTTCCAGCCCATTTACGATTTTGGCTATGTGGCCATGAACTTTGGCTGGGTCTATCCCGAGGATTCGGGCGAGTATGTTTGCCGTGCCACCAATTTGTATGGCAAGGACGAGACGCGTGCCTTCATCAAGGTCTCCGGCAAGCCCGGCATTGTCTATGATTCGCAGCTGCCGGCTCACATGCAGAGCATTGATCGCATACGTGAAATGGAGGCCTCATGGCAGGTGTAAGTATGCCAAAAAAAAAAGCCCACCCCAACAGCAATTAATTCGAAATAAATTAAATCCTTACTCTCCCTCCTTTTAGTGTACCTGAGGAGGCTGATCCCGATGCCAAGCCGCGATCGAAGCCTGTGTTTGTCAGCAAAATCGAGCCGCAGACCGTGGAAGAGGGCGAACCGGCCAGATTCTGTGTCCGTGTGACTGGACATCCACGTCCCAGGGTCATGTGGCTGGTCAATGGCCATACCGTGGTGCATGTACGTATCAAAGAGAGAGAGAGAGAGAGAGTTCTCTATAAATTCAATTATAAACCGCACTTTTATAGGGCTCACGCTATAAGCTCACCAACGATGGCATGTTCCATTTGGATATACCGAAGACCCGTCAATACGACACTGGCAAGGTGGAGGTGATTGCCCGCAATTCTGTCGGTGAATCCATCACCCAAACTGAACTGAAGGTTGTCTCACGCTCCGATGATTATCGCAATGTCCTAAAGAATTCGCCACGCCGTAAGTTCAAAACACAAATACACACACACATTTCAATCTATTACAATTTATGGTAAAAAGCTATTTAGAACTTAACAAAATTTTACAAAAAAGAAAATGCAGTAGAACCAAACAAACACACACACACACATGCTAAAGCGGCTCACATATATAAACTCATTTGTAAATATATTTATACATGCCACAACATGCCACACAAAAGATACACAGATACACTTAGTAGAGATACAACCCGTAGATAGATGCAAGCACGCTTTAAAAGTAGCAAAACAATTTAGAACAAAACAAAAAATAAAAAAACAATCCACAAAAAGATATATCCCCCCTCCCGACCAAGCAATCCCGTTCCCCTTATTATTCCCCACTCCACCACTCCCAAGATCCTATCGGATGCAATTGTAGGAGAGCGCTTTTTGGAAGGAAGAAGCCGACCGCCCAACCGCCAGCCCACCACCACACCACCCAGAGGACCCAGAATGGACTCTCTCGCCAATGTCTCTCTCTCTCTCTATCTCTCTCACTCACACGCTCTGTATATATCGTTCTAAGTATTTGCCATTCGGAGCCATGGGTAATACGGTTATGTGGTTATGTGCTTATGTGCTTATGATAGTTTTTCTTCGTGTCTGTGTGTGCAATTATTCCGTCTGTTCTTCCAAATACTCTGGTCATCATCCGCTTGTCATTCAAACTCTCTGTATCTACTCCACTCTCTCTCTATCTTTCCTACTCTCTATCTTTCCTACTCTCTATCTCTCTATCTCTCTCTTTGTCTGTCTTTATTTATCATTTGTTGAGATACAAAAAAAAAAAAAAAGGAGCTAGTAGACCTCTATAAAAAAAAATAAAATAACACTAATCCAATAATCATAAATTCTTTGTACTAAATCGTTTTACAAGTGACTAAAAACTTAAGCTCTAAGGCATGCAATTTTGCATACAAAATTATGGAAACGCAAAGATGATAAAATAAAATTAAAAAAATTAAAAATAGAATGCGAAGAGTGTGAGCTGTTCTAGAGCCATTTGTTTATATTTAAATATTTTTTATATTATATTTATGTGAGCTGTTCTAGAGCCATTTGTTTATGTTTATATTTAAATATATTTTTTATATTATATTTATTCATGGACGGGTAGGTATAAAATAGTAACAAATTTATATCAAATAAAACAAAAGAGTAACGAAGAAATGTCTCGCTGCGTGGGAGTAAAATAAATCCCTTTCCCTGTGGAGTCTCATCTTTGTTGTGTTCCATAATATTATTGCTGGCTATAAATACTAACCTGTATCATCCCTGTACAAGCATGTAGTTGTTTGTGTCTAAACAACCTTTAGATCGTTCTACCTATATGCGCGTAAATGTTGAGACAATCCCCCTGTAATCCCCACAATTTGTTCCCCCTTTTCGAATGTACAGCCTGGTATGATTACGAGCTGGCCGCCTATCAGAAGGAGCGCCAGGATAATGAACTGGAGAAGGTGTTCGATGAGCGCAAGCAATATTTGTCCGAGCAGAGCGCACACACGCTCAAGGGCGTGGAGCATCTGAAGCCGAAGCAGTACAAGCCACAGACACCCGACTGGCAGCAGAATGTCAAGGCCAAGAAGAGCGAGGAGTACTACAACAAGCTGCAGAGCTTGGAGGTGGAGCAGCTGCTCAAGGAGACCAATCTGAGGAGGGACAATCATCAGTATGCCATTCCCGGCGAGAAGGTTGTCAGCAGTTCAGCGGCCAAGGGCATGGCCCACTCGTACGAGGAGAATCTGTAAGTGAAACTAGGAGAAAACCCTCAAGCAAATTCCACCAAAGATCTCTTTGCTTTCCCTCCCATTTCTAGTCAAGAGCAAACGAGCACCACTCAGGTGCAGCCTGCCCCGCCAAAGGGCACCGCTGAACCCTCAGAATCGTCGGTGCATGGCCGCGAGGTGCACATGAACAAGCAGCAGCAAGTGCAGAAGGAGATCCAAGGTGATCTCGAGATCACGCGCAAGATCACCGCCACCGAAACGACCGAAGTGGAGCACAAGGGCACCATTCAGGAGCGCGTCGTCAAGGGACCCGTGAAGCCATCCAAGGCACCCGTTTTCACCAAGAAGATCCAACCGTGCCGCGTGTTTGAGAACGAACAGGCCAAGTTCGAGGTGGAGTTCGATGGAGAACCGAATCCGACGGTGAAATGGTACCGCGAGAGCTTCCCCATCCAGAACTCGCCCGATCTGCAGATCCACACGTTCAGCGGCAAATCGATTCTGATTATCCGCCAGGTGTTTGTCGAGGATTCGGCCGTCTTTTCGTGCGTCGCTGAGAATCGCGGCGGCACCGCCAAATGCAGTGCCAATCTCGTGGTGGAGGAGCGTCGTCGTGCCGGCAAGGGTGGCGTCCAGCCACCGAGCTTTGTTACCACCATACAGAGCACCACCGTCTCTACCGGACAGCTGGCACGCTTCGATGCCAAGGTCACCGGCACCAAGCCCATGGACGTCTACTGGCTGAAGAACGGCATGAAGATCCATCCGAGCATCAAGTTCAAAATGCTCGAGGAGGATTCAGTGCACACTTTGCTCATCATCGAACCCTCTGCCGAGGACTCTGGCCGCTACGAGTGTGTGGCCGTCAATTCGGCCGGAGAGGCGCGCTGCGATGGCGACTGCGTTGTCCAGTCGGCCACAAAGCCGGAGAAACCGACGACACCCGGCAGCGAGAAGGCACCGCACATTGTGGAGCAGCTGAAGAGCCAGTCCGTTGAGGAGGGCAGCAAGGTGATCTTCCGCTGTCGCGTGGATGGCAAGCCCACGCCCACAGCCCGCTGGATGCGCGGCGAGAACTTTGTCAAGCCGTCGCGCTACTTCCAGATGTCGCGACAGGGCGAATACTATCAGCTGATCATCTCGGAGGCCTTCCCCGAGGACGAGGGCACCTACAAGTGTGTGGCCGAGAATAAGTTGGGCAGCATCCAGACCAGCGCCCAGCTGAAGGTGCGTCCCATCGAGAATTTGGATGCGCCACCCACCATCACGGCCCTGAAGGATGTCTCCGTTACGGAGGGCATGCCCGCCCAATTCAAGACGACGGTGACGGGCAAGGTGAAGGCCACCAGTGTGCAGTGGTTCCGCGAGGGACAGCTGATACCCGAGACACCAGACTTCCAGGTGGGTTAACAGCAGGGTTTTTACTCTCAAATTGCATGATTTTAGGGGTGCCTGTATGCACATACGTTTCAATCGTGATAAATAATATTCTGTTGGGGTCTGATTGCAGATGATATTTGATGGCAACAGCGCTGTGCTTTTGATTGGAACCACCTACGAGGAGGATTCGGGCATCTTTACAGTACGTGTGACTTCGTCCACCGGCCAGGTCGAGTCCTCGGCCAAACTGACTGTTAAAAGTAAGGATTAAATCTAAAAACTAAGCCAAAACCAGAAACCAGACCAGAGTTCGACAAAATACCAAGCAAACACACAACCCCAAACGTAAGCGAACGTAATCAACAACAAAACAAAAACAAAAAACAAAAATTAAAACAAAAATCAAACAAAAAACTCCAAAGAATGCTCAAAAAATACTGAAAATAATGAAAATATTTTCAATACGCAAAATACTTAAAATACTGACTCTACTGAACAATATTTTAAATGCTGAAAAGTGCTTAAAAAAAAAAACTGACAACGAATCACCCAGAAAGCCACGAACGTATAGAAGAACCAACAACTACTACACTCGTACGATCCTACAACCTAAAACATATCGATAATTGATCGATATTGATCAACTACTAGTCGTAAAAGTTTGAGAGTGAAGAATATTTGAAAGCGAAGGACCTCTTGGGGTCCTATTTCTAACCTTTTCTTTTCCGAACGAACGAGTTTTTTTTTTTAATTTTTACTAACAATTTTTGCAAAATGTGAAAATATATACAATAATGTTTAACAGGCAAAAACCCATTAACCAAAGAACAAAAAGAAAAAATATCGCAAAGAACACAAAAAAAAAAAAAATTAAAGAAAAATTTTAATTGAAAATATAATAAAAATAATTACAAGTATTTTGCAAAACTATAAATATTTATAGAACATTTATTCAAGCAGCAAAGCAGCAAAACATCTAGCTGGCAGCAGCAACAACAAACCAAAAATTTCAAAAATTAAAATTGAAAATTGTCTAGCAACAGAAAATGAGTGAAATTGGAAAATGACTCAAAGAATATTCATGTAGATAGACAGAATCTCTAGGCCCCCCGATGAGTCGTTTTATAAATAAGGCAGCCCCGCGCTTATGTACAACAATACTTGCAACGAATTATGTCCGAGAACACTACACAGCATATTCTCATGTACATGTGTAGAAGGCAGGCCAGGCCACTTTAAGAATACTCGGTCGTATATATAATATTTTCAACAGTATCCCACCAAATGATACTATATATAGTATCTCACAACAATCATTATTTGTGTGTAGTTTTTTTTTTGGGGCCGTGTGCAAACACAAAACGCACATTTCAACCGCCTCCGCTCGAGCGTGAAAGTTGTTATATTTTCATGTGAATATTAGCATAAAATATTATGGATGACACATCTAGCGCACACACTGCTCTTGCTGGTTCTCTTCTGCTCGTTCTACTCGTGTGCTGTGTGCTGTTTCTGCTTCTGGTATCTTGTATCTGCCAGGTACGCACACACACATACACACACATGAGAGGGATCTTTAGCCAAAAAACTAGAACACAAAAATATCGAAAGCCATTCAGCCATGGGCTTTTCATCTTCGCCATTCGAATGTATCTCTATTTTTCCCCCTGAAATTTTCCCTATAGATATTCTTCTATATGTACCTTTCATTTTCTCCCCAATTTGTTCTATTTTCAATTTGCTTTTTGGAGAATGTTTTGCTTTGTGCTGTCGAGAAAACTAATTTCCAATAGATTAGCGTTAAAAAAATCCGTGCTGTTCGGCGGAGGTCTATTTTTGGGGCCAGCCGCTGTCTGGATATCTGGTGTTCTTTCGCTTAGGCAAACAAAATTGAAAAACATTTTATGTATTTTCCGCTTTTCGCTTCAAGTAAATCTTGAAATTTATTTTCAATAAAAAGGCAAACAACAACAAAAAAAAAACCGAAAGAAATTTCTATAGTTCCTGCGGGTTGGTAGATACAGAAAATAAATTAAATAAATTACCTAAAAGAGATGATCCCCAGGGGGTTTAAAAGATCTAAATAGCCAAAAAAAAAAAAAGATGTTGGCCAACAACCGCAGCAGTTGGCCATTTACTCATTAGACAAGAACATGAATTGATGATTCTGTTTATGATGCAGAAATGAATTTAATTAGATTAATCAGTTACGGCTGTTCACTCATCGAGCAACGGAGGGACCTTTTAGATGAATCATGTCTTGGCCCCATGTTGTTTTTTCCTCGATATATTTAGCTGCCAGGCCCAAAGAGTTGTTTTGTTGTTTCCAAGGAATGCTGATGCTCCTCTGTTCGATGCTGCAAAATAAATTTCATATTAGAAAGGTTTAGGATGCGCTTTAAGATATTTCTTCATGATCAAAACTCTTACCAAAATAAAACCCAAAACGTACGACGATCCTCCTCTGACAGTGTCCTTTCAAATATGTTTATATCTCTGTGTATATCCTCACATCGATTGTTGATGATGATGATGAATGATATGATGATTATAATGATAATGATTTATGTATTGTTTAAATTTAAATTTACAATTTATTTATTTTTGTAGTGATGTTGCATGAGATTTTATTATTCATTTTTTATTACCGCTTCTTCTTCTTCTACTGTTTTCTTTACTAATTTTGTTTTCCATTTTGTTTTGTCAATCGCACACACTCTCAAATCATCAATCATTTGTTGTAAATGAATTCCAAAAATTTGTCCAAACAAAATCAAATGAAGAAAAATCGATTAAAAATCGATGAACGAATGTTTTGCCGCTTGTGAGCTTTACTAAAAAATTAATCATAAAAACTCATGCGACTCTTTTCGTTATTAAGTACCGATACGATTTTCAATTTCCAATTTGTAATTGTATGTTTATGTTTATCATTTATCGATTACTTTCGATTTACCGATACCGATAGACGGATACAAACCACTATCCTCTTCACTCTTCACATTTTTGTTGTTTTTTAATTGTATTTTTTATCCATGTATTTAATACTTAATAAAAAACCAAATCTGATCGCGTCTATAAATAAATTCAAGCAAAATGCATTAATTTGAAAAACTTTGTTTTTGATAACTCCTGCTCCCTGCCACACATGCCACAAAACACACTGCTACTGTTGCTACTGTTGCCAACGCTGTTGCATGCATGCCATCAATCAGAATGAAAACACACAGGTAAAAATCACACAGGTAATGTTTTTTACAGAGTAGAGCTGCTCTTGTCTTTTTTTTTTTGGTGGGGCAGAACATTGCCCGTTTGTTGTCTATAACGGAATGAGCAGCGAGATCTCTCGTTTGGATCTATGCAGTACGCTGCTGCTGCTGCTGCGCTCGCTCTGAAAATACGGCGCAGGCAGCCGCAGCCGCAGCAGCAGCAGGCAGACACACCCCGCCCATAAATCTGTCTGTAGCCGCTCTATAGTAGAGCCAGCAAGCAGCCCCACCTGGTGACGTAGCCGCCACTAATCAGATTTCTATTTTTGGAGGCAACAGCACATTTCGAATTGTTTGCTCTCAATTGTACTTGCCACACAGAGGCCACCATCCACAATCCATATGGCAGCCATTTAATGATCGTCGTAATGATGATGAGTCGAAATGACATTTCGCTTTTGTCATGACAATGTGCCGCACAGTCTTCAGACAGATATAGGATTTGGGTGCAGGCTAATGCAGTTTTAATCATCGCACATCCAAGTGTAGGTGCTGCTCCGTCATGCCCGATTAATGAATCATAGGACACATAGATAAACCATAGAGTCACCTCAAAGCAGAGGACTTGCGACTGACTATGTGACTGACTGTTTTCGACTATTTTTATCAATGCCAATTAGCTAAAATATGTATTCTGAAAGAGTTTTAGATCTGACCTAGAGGTCCCACCTGGGCCCACAAGATCCCATACACCCAGAGAAAAAAATAGCATTGGGAGATGCCAGCCCCTCAAGGGTGAAAAAGCAAAAAAAATTACAATTCAATGCGAAAATATTTAAATCAAATATGTTTCATATTTAAATTAAATAAATTTCGCCCAAAATTTTTTTTATATACTACATTTATTTATATTCATGTTTTTTATTTGGAATAACCTGTTTTAATACATTTTCACAATTAAGTCAAAGTGAATTTAATTTATTAAATTTCATTTATTTTTATTTAATTTATTATTTCTATTCATTTATTTATATGTATGTTTTATATTTGGAAAAGACTTTTTAATGAATTTTCACATTTAAATCAAAGTGAATTTAATTTATTAAATTTCATTTATTTTTTTTTTATTTTGTTTATTATTTTTATTTATTTATTTATATTTATGTTTTTTATTTGGAAAAGACTTTTTAATATATTTTCACATTTAAATCAAAGTCAATTTAATTTAGTAAATTTAATTTATTTTGATTTAATTTATTATTTTTATTTATTTAATTTACATACGGGTGTGTCTCTTTTTTTTGTATTTTGCCATTTTTCTCTGAGTGTATGCATGGCCAGGCCAATATTCCGGGTCATTGATGCTGCTGGCTATGGGGCCTCGGCTGAGTGGGGGAGTAGAGGGGATTTCAGTGGGTGGGTTTTTGGTTTCATCTGCGCTGCTACTCTCTGTCTATAAATCCACTAAAAATATACCTACATATTTATGTTTTGTTTCAAGTTCATTGTTTTTTTTTATTTGTTTTATTTGCATATGCACCAAAAAAGATTTCTGATTTATTTATATAGTCGTATATCGTATTATTTGTACAGCCAAAGGTAAGTAGCCGAAAGTAGCCGAAAGTAGCCGCTCCCTTCGAACTCTGGTTAACCTTTATGCGCCCTGTCCCTGTCCCTGTCCTCAGAGAGATTCCCTTACTAAAGTTGGAATCTTTTTGCTTGCACCTTGCATCCTTCCACAACGTTTAGAGCGTCGCATCTCGGCCTTTCAATTGCGCACAATTGACTCCGCCGAAGATGAGTCCTCATCCTCTGGCCGGGAGGACAGTGCACCCGATTCCCCGCTGCAGCCAGGACAGCAGAGGCCAGGAGGCCAACAGCAGCAGCAGCAACAGTTTGGCCAGTACCTAGGCGTCAATGGCCATGAGGGACGTTCGCGCACTAAGAAACCAAAAGTGAGAAGCAAATCCCTGCAACCGGCCACAAAAGTGATTCCATGGCGCAAGTCGTCGCGTCCGAATCGGGGCCGTTCTCTGGACAAGGGTGTCTTCCTGCCGGGCTTCAAGCCAGAGCCTGTGAAGTCCTGGACAGAGGAGACCATCAGCCTGAAGGCCACGCCCATCGAAAAGAAGAGGCCCACGCCGAAGCTGGAGGCTGCCACCGTGGTGCTCAAGTCCATCAAAACGGAGCGGGATCAGGGCATCGTGAGTCTGGGCGCCACACTCGAGCAGATAATTGCTGGGAAGACGGAGAAGGAGGCAGTGCCATGGATCACCATGCGGGAGAAGCTCAAGCAAGTGGAGAGCGTCTCGGAGCAGCTGAACAAGTTCGATATCGATGAGGTTTACCTGCGTCCGCTCGAGGGCGCCATCGAGACGGAGGAGCCACTGCCGCAGCAGGCGCAAGTGGAGCAGGAGCAGCGCTCCAAGGAGATACAGCGACTGAAGAGCATGGAGAGCGTCGAGATTATGGAGATGACGGATCAGATCGATCAGCTGATCACCCAGCAGCAGAACAACAAGGATCTGATACCCTGGAAGGAGATGCGCCAGCAGCTGAAGAGCGTGCAGCGTGTCACCAAGCAGATTGACAAATTCAAGATCGAAGAAGTGGAACTGAAGCGTTTGCAGCAGGCCCAGCAGTCCATTGCCGAGGAGATTGTCCTCACCATCGACGAGAGCTCCAAGGGTTCCATCTCGAAGACCGTTCAGCGTCAGGATCTGCAGCACTACGAGCAGGATCAGTCGGGCAGCCACAAGCAACAGTTCATCACCACCGAAGATGTCAACATTATGCATGTCTCACAGCGGGAGAAGCTGGAGGCTCAGCGCCTGATACGCGAGCAGCAGGCCGTCAATTGGCGGCAGCAGCAGCAGCGGCCACAGCTGCAGCCGCTCACCTCCGTGGAGGACACCAGTTCGCAGGCAAGCGATCGCCAGAGACTGGTGCAACAGCAGAGCCTCATCGAGGAGGCGCAGCGGCAGCAGTTCGTGCAGATCGAGGACTCGCAGATGATGAGCCTCGAGCAGTACGAACACCAGAAGATCATCAGCCAGCGCACGCAGCAGGAGGCCTTCGACTGGCGACAGCCACGCGAGCCCCAAAAGTTCATTCAAGTGGAGGACTCTTCGCTGATGCATTTGCAGGAGCGTCAGGATACGCAGGAGCAGAAGTTGCTGCAACAGCAGCCCGTCCCGTGGGATCGTGGCCTCAAGAAGCCGGAACAGGCACAGCCACAGCCACAGCCCCAGGCACCCGTCCAGGAGCAGCAGCAGCAGCCACAATTTGTGGAGAAACCAAAGACCTACGAGGAAATGCACGACGTGTTGCAGGAGCCGCTGCCTGTGGCACAGCCACAGCAGCAGCCTGTGCTGTGGGAACGTGGCAAGAAGCAAAAGCCTGCCGCTCAAACCTACGAGGAGTTGCACGACGTCTTGCAGGAACCCCTGCCCGTGCAGCAGCAGCAGCAGCCAGAAGCTGTGCCTGTCCTATGGGAACGCGGCAAGAAGAAGGTGCTGCAGGAGCAGGTAACAACCCAAGAGGTGTTGCAGCAGACCAGCCAAGTGATTGAGTCTCAAGAGGTGTTGCAACAGACCTCCCACATTGTGGAGGAGACCAAAAAGACAGCCGTCCGGCGGGTGATTCCCCCACGGGAACCCGAACAAAAGGTGGAGCAGGTGCAGCTGAAGCCCACGCCCAGACCACGTCCCAAAGAGGCGGAAAAGGCCGAGGACTTCCAGCTGAAGCCCCTGAAGAGCATCAGACCCGTGCAGCAGGCGGTGGAGCAGCAGCCGGCACAAAAGGCCTACGAGGAGGCCACAGATGAGCTGCCCGATGAGGCACCCGTGCCACAAGCGGAGGCACAGCCGCAGCCTGTGCTGTGGGAGCGCGGCAAGAAGCAGAAGCCCCAACAGACAGTGGTCGAAGAGGCTGCCCCAACTCTGGAGGTTGCAGTCGACACTTTGGAGGAGGCAAAGGTTGCGCCCACAAAGCCACAGCCGCAGCCTGTGCTGTGGGAGCGTGGCAAGAAGAAGCCAGCACCCAAGGCGACACCGGTTGTCGAGGAAGCGGCACCCAAAACGCTCGAAGTGGCAGTGGATACGCTGGATGAGGAGCAGCAGCAGCAGCAGCAGATTCAACCTCAGCCGCAGCCCCAGCTGTGGGAACGTGGCAAGAAGAAGAAAGCCCAACCCCTGCCCCAAGAAGTGGTCGAGGAATCGCTGCAGGAAACACCAGTAAAGACCTACGAAGAGGCTGTCGATGTCCTGCCCGAAGAGCCCAAAGTGGAGGAGACGCCACAGCCGGTTTTGTGGCAGCGTGGCAAGAAGAAGCCAGCAGCAACAAAGCCAAAGCCAGAGGCAGCACCAGAGCCAGAGCCTGTGAAAGAGGTGCAGCATACCGATGAGGTTGATGCGCAAATTGAAAAGGTCCTCGTGGAAGAGGAGGTGGAAATTGTCCAAGAGAGGCGCAGGATCAAGAAGGCCAAGAAGCCCAAGGCCACAGAGGAGGTGACTGCAGAGATTGTAGAGGAAATTCCCGAAGAGGAGATCCCAGAAGAGGAGATCCCCGAAGAGCTTGTCGAAGAGATCCTGGAAGAGCAGGAAGAGATCGTAGAAGAAAAGAAAAAGGTGAAAAAGGTCAAGAAGCCAAAGAAAATTGTTGAAAAGACTGAAGAGGAGGCCCCAGAAGAGGAGGCCCCTGAAGAAGAGGCTATCGAAGAACCCGAAGAGCTCGTAGAAGAACAGGAAGAGATCCTAGAAGTCCAAGAAGTCCAAGAAGAAATTGTGGAAGAAAAACGCAAGGTGAAAAAGGTCAAGAAGCCCAAAAAGACTGCCGAAACGATCGAAATCGATGAAGAGCAGCCCGAAGAGGAGGCGCCACAAGAAGAGGAAATCATCGAAGAGCCAGAAGAGATCACAGAAGAACAAGAAGAGATCGTTGAAGAAAAGAAAAAGGTGAAAAAGATCAGGAAACCGAAGAAGAAGGTAACTGCCGCAGAGGAAAGCGAAGAGGTGCAGCCCGAGAAAGAGGTGGAAGAACCAGAAGTCGAAGAGCCAGAAGTGGCGGAACCTCTGCCCGCAGAAGAACCCAAGAAAGCCAAGCCAAAGCCCCAAGAAGTGGTGGAGCAAGTGGAGAAAGTGGAACTCAAGCGCACGCCCCGCAAGCAACAGCCTCTGCCCGAGAGGGAACAGGTGGAGGAGGTGTCCCTGAAGCCCCTGAAAAAGACTGCAATTGTCACACAACCAGAGGAGATCGAAACGGAGCAGCTGATCACCACCGAGGAGCAAATTGTGGATGTCACCAAGAAGCGGGTGAAGAAAAAGAAGCCCAAGCCAAAGGCAGCCACAGAAGAGGAGGCCACAGAGGAGCCAGAAGAAGCAGAAACCATCGAAGAGGAAGAACTCGAGGAAGAGCAGCCACAGCCACAGCCAGAGATAGAGACAGAAGAAGAAGAGGTGCAGCAGCAGCCCATCCCAGAGGAGGAGCAACCGGTAGAGCCAAAGGCAGCACCCAAACCCAAGCCCCAGAGAGAAGAGATCATCGAGAGGGTGGAGGAGGTGGCCCTCAAGCGTGTCTCGCGACCAAAGAAGCCGCTGCCGGAGGAGGCCACCATCGAGGAGGTGCGTCTCAAGCCCACCACCAGGAAATCCATCAAACCGGAAGAGGTGACACTCGAGGCGGTGGACCTGCAACATGTGGAAAGGGTCGAAGAGGAGCTCATCCAGGAGGAGAAGCGCAAGACCAGAAGGGTGAAGAAACCCAAGCACGAGGATCTGCCGGAGATTGCCGATGCAGAACCCACACAGCTGGAGGAAGCGGAGCACTTGGACTTGGAGAAGGAGCCCAAGCAGCAGCTGGAACAGCCGCAGGTGCCGTGGAAGCGAGGCGAGAAGAAAAAGCCCGCGGAGGCGGTACTTGAGGAGAAGCAATGGCCCAAGGGCAAGCGGCATCTACTGCCCGCCGAGCAGCCCGAGGAAGTGCAGCTCAAGCCCATACCCGCCAAGCCAGCGGAGGCGCCACAGCAGCCGGAAAAGGCCATTCCCGGGCCCCAACTGCAGCCCCAGGAGCAGCCCGAAAGCGAAGAGGAGGAACTGGAACTGGAACCCCTCAAAGTGCCCGACGATGCGGCGCCCAAGGTCAAGAAGGAAAAGAAAAAGAAGCCCAAACTGAAGAAGGCCACGCCATCGGTGGATGAGATCTCCGAGGAGATGGCCGAGCCATTTGCCGAGCCCATTGCCGAGGAAGATGAGGTCGAAGAGATTCTGCCCGTCGACGAGGACAAGGTGGTGGCCGTCTCCGAAGATGTGCTGCCCGAAGAGGAGCTGCTGCTGCCCACGGAAGAGACGTCCCCCGAAGCGAAGCAGAAGGCACAAAAGAAGCGCACAAAGCGCCTCAAGCAGGCCGCCATCGAGGGACAGCCACAGCTGCTGGAGGCAGCCATTGCGGAAATCGAAAAGGCGGACGAAGTATTCCAAGAGATCTCACAGAAGACCATTACACTGCTCAAAAAGACTGAGGACACGCGACCGCAGTTCATTACGACGGAGCAGCTGATCGAACTGGATGTGGAGGATGTGCGCAGGGATCTGGAGATGAAGGTCACCTCGAATATCATCAAGAAGGAGAAGAGGCGGGTGGTGCTCGACGACAGTCAGCCGCTGCCCGAGCTGGAGCTCATCACACAGAAACGCATCCAGGAGGGCATCGACCGTATGGCCGATGAGGAGCTCATCGAGGATCAGCAGCTGACACAGAATCGGCAGGAGACCACCACCTCCGAGGTGATTGGCCAGGAGCGAAAGCTGGTGAAGAAAAAGAAAAAGGAAATCAAGCCGCCGCGCATCACTGAGAAGCTGCGACCCCGCCAATGTGTGCCCGAGGAGCCCACTGTGTTGGAGTGCAAAGTGGAGGGTGTGCCCTTCCCCGAAATCAATTGGTACTTCAATGACATACTGCTGTTTGCGTCGGAGAAGTACGAGATAACCGTGGTGGAGCAGGTGGCACAGCTGAAGATAGCCAAGGTCACGCCCAGCGATGTGGGCGTCTATACGTGTGAGGCCAAGAACGAGGCCGGAGTGGCCACAAGTCGTACGAATATTATTTTAGGTGAGTTTTATATTAGCTTAGTTTTTTTTAATTTCCTTTTTTTTTTTTTTGGTTACATTCTATCCCTGATTTATGCACTCCCCCTCCCCACCGTTTTGTATATAATCCTCAACACCACCCCCCCCCCCCATACTGTACAAACACACACACAAAATATTTATGTTTTGGATCCGAATTCCTATTTAGAAAAAGAACAAGGCGTTGCGCCACAGTTTACGCGACCCCTCAAGATCGAATTCACCGAAGAGAAAGAGCCCGAGAGGCTAAAGGTCACGGTGACATGTCAGGTGGCCGGCAAGCCCCATCCACAGGTCAAATGGTATCGCGGCATCGAAGAGGTGCTGCCCAGCGAAACGGTGCAAATGTTCTACGATCAGCAGACGGGCGAAGTGGCACTGGAGGTGTTCAATCCGCCGGCAAATGAGGCCATCACGTACTCGGTGCAGGCACAGAATCAATTTGGACGTGCCATTGGCAATGCCAACATCATGAGTCGCTTGGATGAGGAGCAGGAGCAGCCCAAAGAAATATTGAAGCCCCCGACAGTCACTCCACTGAGTGCTGTGGTGGTGCCCACTGGGGGCACACTCCGCTTCGAGGTCCAATACGATGGTCTGCCCCGGCCGGAGATCAAATGGATGCGCAATGGCCGCGAGATCGTGGAGAACGAGGAGGTCATTGTGGAGACGACAGAGACGACAACCGTCATTCGGGTCATCAATATGACACGCAAGCGCACCGGCAAATACGAGGTGTGGGCCAAGAACAAGGTGGGAGAGGCCAAATCCTCGGGATCGGTGGTTGTCTCCGACTCGAAACCCGATCAGCGGATCCAACCGCCACGCTTCGTGCAGCCGCTGGAGCCCAAGTTCTTTGGGGAGCATGAGGTGGCCATTCTGGAGGCTGTCGTCGAGTCCGAGCCCCTGTCCTCCTTCCAATGGTTCGTTCACAACGAGCTCATCAAGAGCTCCAACGAGTGTCGCATTGTCAGCGAGGCCAACAAGTCCACGCTGCTGATTGAGGACTTCCAGCGAAAGTTCATTGGACCATTTATGTGTCGGGCGGAGAATGTGGGCGGTTCGGTTACCTCCACAGCGACTGTTAATCTTTTGGAGGCGCTGCCCCAGGAGGAGGCTGTGGAATTTGAATCGCCACGCTTCATCGAGGAGCTGCTGCAACCCGTCGAGGTGATGGATGGCGAGGCGCTGCTGCTGCAGTGCCAGGTGCGTGGTAAGCCCACACCCAAGGTCGAATGGTATCACAATGAGGAGAAGATTGTCGATACAAAGGAAACTACGATATCGCAGGACTTGCAAGGCAATTGCCAGCTGCAGATTACCGAAGTATTCCCCGAGAATGAGGGCCAATACAAGGCCGTTGCCAGCAATAAGATTGGCAAGGCAGTGACCAAGACAAGCGTTCAAATTCAAGGTACTTTCTTGTGCAACATCATCATCATCCTCAGCTCTAACGTTTGTTCAATAACCGGCAGAAAGTACTAGAATGTAGTGAATGAGTAGCTGCTGCACTCCACAACAGATACACAGAACACTACAATGCATCCCTTAAAAAAAAAACCACAAAAAAAAACCCCAAAAAAAGAAAAAGATACTTATATAGGTCTTGTTTCCTTTTTCCCCCAATAATTACTCTCCTCTGTCAGCCCTGCATGTGATGTTTTTTCTATCTCACTCTCTGTCTGTCTCTGTGTATATTTTCCTTCCCATTTCCTTTTGTAAATAAATCCTTTCCTCGTTGCTTCGTTTTCCTCGTTTTCCTCGTTTCTGTTTGTGTTTCTCTGCATTCGGTTCCTTGTGTGTTCCTTGTGGATAATGCTCTTTCGACTGTATGTATCTTTTAGCATTTGAATATATCCCCGATTCTGAAATCACTGGACTCACTGGATCTGAGGAGGATCTACTTGATAGAGTAAGAACCCAGAACCCAGAGAGAACCCTCTCTCACAGCCCCGAGAAAGAGTGAAATCAATCGATGATATTCCTCCTCTCCCCAATCTTTTTTCTGTAGACCCTCTCAATCGACGAACAAGCACCGAAAATCATTAAGAAACTACCAGAGAAAATCGAACCCAAAGAGGGTGAACAGCCCAAGCTGGAGGTCAAGGTCATTGGCCGGCCCAAACCAAAGGTCAAATGGCTGCGCGACGATGAGCAAATCTTTGCCTCCGAGGAATATCAAATTGAGAATTTCGACGATGGCACCTCGGTGCTGGTGATCAATAATGTGTATCCCGATGATTGGGGCACCATCAGTTTTGAGGCATACAATCCATTGGGCGTGGCAGTGACAACGGCTGAATTTTCTGTGGAAGGTACTACTATCACTATCATTTATGGGTTCTATCTATAGGATATATCTACATACATACATATATATTTGTTTATATATATATATATATTTTCTATATATTTATTTTTGGAATTTTGTTAGTTAAAATTCTTTTACAGGTTGTAGCAGCATTAAAATCCTTCTCCCTAATCCTAACCACCCAAAAATATCCCTCCAAAAAAAAGAAACACTTTATTTTTTGAGGCACACAGCACACTGAATTTAGTTTAAGTTAAAAAAGAAAAAAAAAAACGTATCTTTTGCAGGCAAAATGTATCTTTTTGTGTCTCTCTCTCTCTTGATAAATATTTAATGATTCTACCGTATCTATATCTTATATAAGGCATTGTTGGATCAAAGGATTATCGTAAACCAGAATGGGTCACACAAATGGAAGAAATGCAGGTGGCACTCAAAGGTATGTATCTCTCTCTTTCAGCCGCTCTCTCTCTCTCTATCTCTCTCTCGTTTGTTCCACTGTTATGTGTATATGTGTTTCTATAATCTTTCGTGTTCTCCAAAAAACAAAAAAAAAAAAAAAAACACAACAATCCAACAATAAATTCCTGTCTTTTGTCTGTAATTTTGTCTTAAAACCAAGAAAACAAACAAACAAATTCACATACAAAATTCTTGTCCAATGTCTTCTATCTCGTCTGTCTTTTGTTTCTATCTCTATCTATTGTATTTGTCCCAATGTACAGTGTTGCCACACACGCACTCAGATTTAGTTATGGCTCTGTCCCTCTTACTCCTACAGCTCTAAGGCTTACCCTACCCTACCCCTACCCCCGCCACACATACCACACAAAGATCTGAACTTTTAAAATAATTAGTAAACGCCTATTTTTTTTTTTTTGTTAGTATAATCTATCTTTTTGTATATTCAAAAATGTATCTCTTACAGTAGTAGCACAGTATCATTGTATCTGTGTGTGTATCTCTCATCTGCAAGTAATACATCGTATATAATTGGTTCCATGTTCCATGTTCCAGTTCCAAATCTTACACTTTATTCCAAATTTTATATACCAAAACTAACAAACCAAAAAAAATATATATATTAAAATTAAATCCAAAAAAAAAAAAAATGTTCAAACTGAAAATCAAAGAAATTCGTATAACAATTCCCCTTCAGAACGCTGCTTGCAATCCTCACACTTTATGTAGATAGCTCTATAAACCACCAAAACTTGTTGCATGCCACACACTAAATCCGTGTTTTGTGTTCTATATTTTGTTAAAATCATTTAAAACATAATACTCTTAAAACAGACAACCAAAAAACAATCAGTAAGTGTAAGTACACTGGCGCATAGATACAATCAATCACTCAATCCATTCCATCCAATGCACTGCTTTTAGATGGTATCTGTAGTTATCTAATCCATAGATATATGCCAATTTTTATATCTCGCTTTTTAGCTGCTAAATGCTCGCCATCGCTACTAAATGAAATGCGCGACAGCCGCTGTGCCCTGGGGGAAACGGCAAAGTTTTACATACAATTTGCAGGCAATCCTGTGCCAGGTATAGTATAAGAAAATAAGTGAAAGCGTGAGATCAACAAGGGAGACAGTCTGACAGTCGTCGTCTCTCTCTATAGATATTCAATGGTATTTCAACAATGTACAGCTTAGGGCATCCGAAAAGTATCGCATGGTAGTCGAGGAGCACGAGGCCACATTGGAGATATTGAAAATCACACAAGACGACTGCGGCTACTACAATTGCAAGCTAATCAATGAGATTGGCATGACAATGTCGCGTGCCAAATTCGAAATATCATCAACATCCAATGTGGAGGAGATTGTAGAGACCAAAAGGATTATCAAAAAGAAAGCTGGTGGAAGGAAGACCTCGTCAATGGTCAAGCGAACGGGTGCATCGGCGATGCAAAAGACAGAGATACGTATAGTCCCTGCGGCCACAACGACAATGAATGTCTACAAAGTGAAACAACCTGTCTCTATACTCGTAGAGAAGAGTGAGATTTCCGAGGTGATGCAGGTCAAGGATCGCAAGATTGCTGATGCAGAGATACGCAAGAGTCAAGTCATAGAAGAATACGAATCAGATGTTGAGGAAGAGATCGAAGAAGTTGAAGAAATCAGAGAAGAAATTAAAGAAGAAATCAAAGAAGAAATTAAAGAAGAAATTAAAGAAGAAATTAAAGAAGAAAAGTCTGCCAAAGAGGACATAAAATACACATCCAGCAAGACGATTGAGCTGACAAAAACCGTCGAACTGATACGCACCAAAATTACGCAAAAGACCATCACCATTGAGGACATACATGTGATATCGCAGCACGAAGAGGTGCAGTGGCTGCTCGAATCCATTGAGGCTGTGTCCTTTGGTGCCTCGGGCGAGGCAGCGCTCAGAGACCTGGCCACCATTGGCCTCCTCCTGCGCTATGGCTGCACTCACTACGAGATCACGTACATGTACGAGCAGAATATATTTATATCCCTGAAGAAGCCCGAATCTCAGGCAGCTCTGGTGCAGCTGGTAGAGCGCGAGGGTCACGAGGAGTTGATCACCCAAATCCTGAGTGAATCTTCCAACGAGGATGAGACCATTCTAGCTGCCACCGTCGGCTTCAAGGCCTTTATACGGATGATACAGACATACGAGATCACGATCGAGATTGTCATACGAAAGTTTGTTAGGGAGGATTTCATATCGCAGGACTGGAAGATATGCGGAAAGGAGGTTTGAATTTCTGTTACTCGTTTGTCGTTTCTCGTTCTTATTTTTGTTGGAAAGAAAAAAATCTATTTAAAATTTCATTTCTGTGTTTAAATTGGGATTCAAATTTATTAATTAAAAATATAAAGAAAACAAATTAGGAGCGAAGCGTACAAAAAACCCTCAAAACTGTTAGGGACCTTAAGAAAATCAACAATAAATTTAAATTTAATTTTTTTACGGACCTAATTCAATTTAAAGCAAAAAGAAACATTTGGTTTTATTTTTAAATGCGCCAAAAAACGATTTTTGTTTATTTCCTTTTTGACTATTTTGTTGTTAATTTTTCTGTTTTTTTCTATCACCTGAAATTTGTATTCTTTCTTTTTTGGTGAGCAGATCATTGATAATTTTTGAGGGTTTTTTGCGGGCTCTGATTAGGTCAGATAAATGATTTTCATTCACTTTTTTTTCAACAATTTCATTTGTATACTTTTGGTTTTGTGAAATCGGAAATCTAGAGAATAGTAGAGACATCGCAAATAATTGAAAGTCACGAGGCTATAACGCATGTCAAAATCGGTGAGTATTATGCGCAAAAAAGCTTTAAGTAGATATTTACGCGATAAGAAAATCTATTTATCTTTTATTTTATTTTTTTCATTTTTTTAACATGTCAAATCTGCTTTGTAAACAAAAATTTACCTTTGCGTGCACCACAACAAAACCCATGAAATCCCTCGAAACAACAAAAAAAAAACCCCCCTCGTGTAGAGGAAACATTTATTGAGGAACGAACGATAATTGTTGAAGAAGGTTTGAACATAAACACAGACGATCTGTAAAACAAACAAAAACAACCACCACCAATCTATATATATAAATGTCTATATATATAACGAAATCCTACCACCAGTAACGATGTATACCACCAAAAACCAACACCACGCTCCCACCATATATGAACTAAAGTCTCAAAAATATTAATATTTATGACATTGAGAAACAAAATATAACAATTAAAAAAAAAAAAAGAAATCAAAAGAAAAATCATGTGTATATTCTACAGAGTATTCCAAACAAGAGTCTTTTAATATGACAAGTAGTATTCCCCATTAACAGCTAATCAACCATCACTAAAAAAACAACAACAAGAAAATACCCAAAGCTATATATATCGTATATGTATGTATATCTTGCTGCAGCTCTAAATACCATATAAGCGATATAACTATTGATTTTCATGCCCACTATAATGCTTTTGCTTCTTCAAAATGCTCATTCGATGACAAGAGTACACGTCGAAGAGTCGCTTCAATCAATGCACGAAATGCACTCCCCACCCCCCAGATGATGCACCGCCAACCCATGCCACAATGAGGTAAGATATTCTATGACCCCGTCTTAAAAATTATTTAATGTTTTTCTGTGCAACTCATTTTACCGCTTTACGGCACTGGCTATTAGATATGTACATATGTATGTATATATTACTTGTATACTACAAATACTAATTGATGAATAGAACGCTTTTGGTTTGGCTTTCGGCAAATATTTTAAATCTCATTTATTGTTCTCTGCAAAACACACAAAACCAACCGCCAACCACACAAATACTAGTAGAGAGGTCCGAGACATTGTCATTGTTTAATAAACATTACATTCACAGAAACAGCAACCACAAAAGTGGATACAAAATTCATACAGCAACAAGAAAAGATACAACAAGAACAGATACTCGTACAACAACAAGAACAAGTGCACATACAGTCAGCAGCAACAGCAACAGTAACAGCAGCAGCAGCAGAAGAAGTAGAAGAGGAGGTGGTTGCTGTTGTCCAACAGCAAATTGTGAAAAAGAAAACGCAGAAAAAGCATAAGAAACATACAGAACAAACACAGATACAGGAAGAGGTACAGCAACAGATAGAGATACGGGAAGAGGTACAAATACAGGAAGAAATCACAGCCATTGCAGCGGATGAAACTGTCGAGCAATTGAAGGAGCTTGTCCTGCCATACGAAACACTATCCATGCAACATGTATCCAAAGACACGATCGAAACCATTGCCAGTGCAGAGACCACAGAGCTTTCAACACCGAAACCGCAACCAGCAATAGTGCAGGACGATATACTGCCCCAAAAGATATTGGCCATCAGTGAGGAGTGTCTGCCACTCGATGTGGCACTCCCCCAGGACTCTGCAGGACCAAAAGAAACTCACTTGAGTGAACAAATTGAAGTGCGGCATCAACATGCTGTTGATGTCACCGAAACAGAGGCACGTGAGGCCTCGCCCAAAGAACTGAAACCCTCAAAGATACCCAAGAGCGTCAAGGCCCAGCGGAGGGTCAAGGAATCGCGTCCTTTGCTGGTGGAAGCCACAAGCATCGAAGAGGTCATTGATGATCTGCAGCCAGTGAAAGCTGTGGGACAGCAGGCGCATGGTGACATTCTGTTGTCCCATGAGCTAACAGAGGAGCAGCCTCAGATTTTAGAGGCAATTGAGCAACTTAGGCAGGGCAAATCCATGAAGGAGGAGACTATTGAATCGCATTTTCGGGATCAGGAAAGTCTTTTGATAACCGAAGAAACGATTAGTGAAACTTTGGGCAAAGATATCGTTCAGATAAAGCCAACAGCCGAGAAGATTTATCCAGAATTAACATCAAATGTAAGCCTGGCCATAAGCGAATGCCAACCAGAGGATTCTGTGGGGGAACTAAAGCCCTCAGTGGAGGTTCGCACGGAGACATCATCAAGGACAATTCTAGAGCATAAATCGGTGAGCACCAGTGCCTCGGAGGTCCTTGAAAGTGTGGACACTATAGTCCAGGAGACACAACCCACCAAAGGTATGGCCGATGTCACACTCAAGCCAGAAGAAGTTCCACTCGTCACTCAGGAAACAGAAACATTTGAGTCTGTGGCAGAAAGCGAAACCAAGCCACGCGTGGCAGACACCAAAGCCTTGCAACATTTGGTATTAACCGAAGGATTGCTTAACACCCAAGCAGATGCTCAGAGTCCGTTGGAAGAGCAAATGCCAGACTTCAAAACCGATGAAAGGAAAGCCGTAATGGAAATGGAAACGCAGTTCCATGTTGTAACCCAGGAAACCGTCTCGACTGAGGAGGCACCAACTGATTTGGGTGTACAGGCGACACCAAAGAGCGTTGAGGGCACCCGCGGACAATCGAGTGCCCTGACAATTGGCGAAACTCTAGAGACAAATCTCGTAGAAATGGCCCAGGATCTGATCGAACCCCATGTGGAGTCTACAAAGCCCGCAAAGGAAACGCTAACCAAGGCTTATGGCACTGCTGAGAGCAATCAGGAGGCGCTATACGACACCTTGGGTGCTGTTCCAGTTGTGGAACAGCCCAAGGGACAGGGAAAGATCAACATCTCTGAGGGCGAACTCGTGGCAGAGGTGCAGGCAGCTCCCACTATAATTCACACGGAGGAGGAGCTCCTGTCTGTGGTGCCAGAGTTTGTGGACGCCACAATCAATATCGTGGAGGAGACTGGCGCACTGGAGATCAAGCAAGATACGGTGGCCGAAAAGGAGCAAACATTCCCCCAGGATGTATCGCAAACTGAGCAATCAGCTACAGAAAAGATAATCCCAGTGGATCTCAGAGTAACAACTGTCTTTGAGGTGCATCCTGGACAAACGTCCGGGGATATTGCTCCGGCAGATACACGTTCCGTGTCTGCGATTCAGGTTCTGGATACAATGCCCATTGGAGTGGCATCAAAGCCCGATCTAATGGAAGGTACCAGCTATCTGGAGGCGCTGCCACAGCCCGAACTCAAGAGCGGCACCGTCTTGATGGATGAAACCCAACAGCCGCTGGAAGTAACGAGTGTACAGATCAGTGAAACGAGCACCGAACTGGCAGATACACTGCCAAAACAACAGCAAACGAAGGCCCATCCCGCCACAGAAGACTTCCGGCACGCCGAGGGAATGGAGATTATTGCCATGGAGTCCACGGGGCAACAGCCAGAGGAGGGCAAGCCCACGGCAGCCCGTGCTGATGTCAGCATGCCACAGCAATATGGCACCAATGTCATGGAACAGTCGCCTCTGGAGACCCTACAGCCACGTCCGCTGGATGTCCAGCCCCAAGCACAGCAAACCGAATCACAATTTGATTTGTTGCCACAATTGGAGACCAGTTCGTGCGTTACCTTAGAGCAGGAAACGGAAATCCCCTTAGCAGAACCACAGCCATTCCAATCGGCAGCCATTGGAGCAGCCAGGGCCCTGCAGGTTGCAAGTACAGAGAGATCTCAGCATATGGAATCGTTGCAGGGCATCGATGAGCAGCAGAGAGTGCCACAACAGCAGGCACATTTGAATATAGGAGAGATCACATTGCCAAAGGTCGAGGAAATCACGCCACTCGAGGGTTTGCAGGATTATGCCTCACCGGACTATCAGAAATCAGCTGTCACGAATATAGAAATCATGGAAGAAACTTCAGCTTTAAGGACCAGCACAGCAATTGTGAGCGAAAGGACAGAGGAATTGAGGGACAAAGATGCCCCACAGGAGGTTCAGATTCGACCGAAACTCAATGAATTCTCACAGAAAACTCCACTCTCGGAGAGTGTCAATATTTTGGATCAAGTTTCCGAGTTGAGTGGCCACCTGCCACATGCGGCCACGGGACAATCCATTATCGATAGCTGCCACGAGGTAAATGTGCGTGAAACAGAAGTCCTGGAGAAGGAGCAGCTGCTGGAAGGTGTGCCACAGCCAAGCGAACAGCTCGTGAAGATTGCCTTGGACTCCACCACAGGATTGGCCTTGGCTCGCCAGGAGGATACCTTTGAGCATGAGGAAGAGCTGCGAGTACTTGCCCCAGAGGCAGAGCAGGCCAGACCCGTGGCTGCAGATCTGCTGAAGGCAGCCCTCACCGAGGGAGTTCTGGCAAACCAAAGCACTGGAAAGCTAGAGGACTTTAGTGTCTCCGATAAATATGCCTCACCCAGAATGGATCTTTTAGATGAAACAAAATCCACAGAGACCACAGTATATGATACTGTATCCAAATCTCTGGACGCCATACAGCCGGAAATCTTAAGTCCTCAACAGTCTATGGTGCCACACGAGCATACAACAGTCACCGAGTGCCTTGTCGTTGATGGAACACAACCTTTCGAAGCAAAGCAAACAGATCAGCGTACAGCCGTCAAAGTTCAAGATAATCTAAGCCACTCCATTATCCTTGAGGATCAGAGGGTGCTGGAATCGGAGAAGCTGCTGGGCGAGGAAAGTACACCACAGCAGATGGCGAAACTAATGGAAGATGCCACCAATCTGCATGCAAAAATGGTAGATACCACAGCCGTCTATGAGTCCATGGGCGAGGATCGTCCAACAGATAAATGTAGCGTGCAACAGGCACAAGTCACCCACGAATTGGCACACACACATGCCACCGAACTGCAGCAGACTGTGGAGGCAGCGAAGATGCTTGCAGCGCCAGAACAAACCTATGCAGTGGCCACAGCAGATGAGATACCCTCACAGCTTGGATTACCGATTACCACGAGGACACAGACTGTAGAGGATGTCGATGATTTGGTCACTCTGCCAACAGACGAGCGAGTGGCCCAGTCCACGTATGAAGGCAGGCAGCACGAGGTAACAGTCAGCGAGGTCCAGGGTATCGAGGAGTCCGAGAATCTACAGAAAACTACAGATATAGCAGCCGTTAGCGCTGCCGAGTCGATGGATGTCATGTTCAAGGCTACATCGGTGGACACCCAACCGGGCGTCTTCCAAAAGGAGTCCCCAATCGAAGCTCTCAAGCACCAGGAGGCCACAGCAAAGTCTGTGGTAGATCTCCTCCAAGGCACCACAACATCCGATGTGTTGGCGCTGGAATCCTCCGAACGCATCCCAGATACACAGACAACAGTGCCACAAGAGGCACAGAGACATCTAGTCACTGGCGTGGAGTCCAGGAAGGTGCAGGTTCAATTCGATGACTTAATTATGGATAAGGAAGAGACCCTGCCGGAGATCCTTCAAGAATTGTATGGCAAACCCTTCATTGAGGGCACACAGAGGGAGACACTCATCACTCAAGTGATTCCCATGGAAAATGTAAATCAAATAGAGACGCCACAAGGTCCTGCCACATTCCAAGTGAGTCCTACGTCCAGCGAGATAATCACTCAATCGCACATGGTGGAAACCCAACTAACACTCGAGCTGGAGGGTGAAGCCAATATTGAATATGAAAATCTGGCCCAAGCAAAGGTAAAATCGGATGAAACGAATGTCCATAGCACGATATCAGAGGTCAATACATATGAGATCACAAAAGATATTAAGGGGATGCTGGAACAAGAAGGTCAGTTCATAAAGATCGTTGAGGATTCCGACATCAATCGTGCCCATGTGACAACCATACAATCAACGCTTCTCAAAGAAGAAAATCTACCGCTGGAGCACATTCGCGATGGGGACACCGCCCGTGTGTCCAAGGTGGAACTGAAGAAAAAATCTCTGGTAACCGAAGAGGTTCTGGGCATCAGTTCGATTCAGGAATCGTATGAACTGCAAAAGCCAGACGAGGGCAAGGCCCAAGTCACGCGCCAGGCGCCACATGAGACTGCAAGTGTGGCCGAACAACAGACCTGTGAACAGTCACCGGAGTTGGCCCTAGAGCAGGACGATCGTCGTATCCGCACAAAGCCAAGTTCTGTAGAACAGCTCCTGAAACCTATCGAAAGCTCTACCGTTAATGTCTATGAGAATTTCGAGGGACATGGGGATTTTAAGCCAATTAGTGTGTTGCCATCAACGGATACCACTGTGATTTCTGAGTTAAAGGTTTCGGTGGTGGAAGAGGTGTCTGTGATGCCATTCTTGGGTCGTGTTCCGACCGAGAAACCCCTGGAGGGAAAAGCAACACCTGAAACTGTGCCTCACAAAAATGTACTGCAAAGCGAGCAGCTTCCCTGTGAGGTTGTGAGCACTTTGCTGGAAGAAGGACTCCCATCCAGGGAGCAGGCAAAGCTTGCACCAGCTGATACACGAGTTGCAGCCGTGACCAGTGTGCTGCATGAGAAGGGAACCATTCGGGAGACGATCACAAGCTCTCAAGTAGATGAGAAACAAGCGCTTCCTACGATTACCACACAGAGTACGTATCTGAATGAGCAAACAATCGCACAGGAGAATGTCAATCTGTTAGATAGTGAGGAACAAGAACACATACAGCCACAGAACGCAAGTATACGTATCAAAGAAAACACAACATCCATAGCCACAACAGAACAACCAGACATATTCCACACAACCACAACAACGAGTCCGAGTGTCACACGCACTGGGGAGAAGATACACCCAACACTGGTTGAGGAAAACCTGAAGAATGCTTTACAGACAACACAATTTGTGTCGGAGGATACCTCTGACCTCCTCCTCCCAAAATCAATGCCTGAAACTGCACTACCCGAAAGGGTAACACATGCTGTAGCACTTTCCACCACAAACGAGTCACAAGCCACAATTTACACATCGAAAGATGAAGACCACACAAAGAAACTGTTAGAGGAGAGTCTTACACAAGAGATTTTTAATGTTAAAACGGTAACACGACCTGTGGGTAAGTATCCAACTAAGTTTAGTCTAAGAAGTTCAGCAAAAAAAGGCGTATTACTTCCATTACCACCACCCTTCGACCCTCCAGAACCAAAGCACAAGCACATATTACACAGAACAAAGCAAACCCACATTCCTCAAACAGAACTTTATATTAAACGCACACTTTTTTACACAGATACAAAAAAAACTACAGACACACCACACACCACACCACAAAAGACACCCAAACACAAACAAGAAACTAATGAAACAACAATCACGGAAACCCCCGAAACTCTGCAAATTATCGAGGAAATATCGGAAGACGGCAAACCCAAGAAAAAGAAGATCCGCACTCGTGTAATCAAGAAGGTCAAGGGCGACAAACAAGAAGTCACCAAGATCGAAACCGTCGAAGAAGATGACAAGCCTGCGGAGACTACAGTCACAGTTGAAGAGGTTCCTTACGAAGAAGAGAAACCAGAGGAGATCCAGGAACTCCCAGAAGAGGTTCGCGTTGTTGAAACCATCTCTGAAGACGGCAAGCCCAAGAAGAAGAAGATCCGCACTCGCGTAATCAAGAAGGTCAAGGGCGACAAACAAGAAGTCACCAAGATCGAAACCGTCGAAGAAGATGACAAGGTACCAGAGACAACTGTCACCGTTGAAGAGGTTCCTTACGAAGAAGTGAAACCAGAAGAGATTCAGGAACTCCCAGAAGAGGTTCGCGTTGTTGAAACCATCTCTGAAGACGGAAAGCCCAAGAAGAAGAAGATCCGCACTCGCGTAATCAAGAAGGTCAAGGGCGACAAACAAGAAGTCACCAAGATCGAAACCGTCGAAGAAGATGACAAGGTACCAGAGACAACTGTCACCGTTGAAGAGGTTCCTTACGAGGAAGAGAAACCAGAGGAGATGCAGGAACTCCCTGAAGAGGTTCGCGTTGTTGAAACCATCTCTGAAGACGGAAAGCCCAAGAAGAAGAAGATCCGCACTCGCGTAATCAAGAAGGTCAAGGGCGACAAACAAGAAGTCACCAAGATCGAAACCGTCGAAGAAGATGACAAGGTACCAGAGACAACTGTCACCGTTGAAGAGGTTCTTTACGAGGAAGAGAAACCAGAGGAGATGCAGGAACTCCCTGAAGAGGTTCGCGTTGTTGAAACCATCTCTGAAGACGGCAAGCCCAAGAAGAAGAAGATCCGCACTCGTGTAATCAAGAAGGTCAAGGGAGACAAACAAGAAGTCACCAAGATCGAAACCGTCGAAGAAGATGACAAGGTACCAGAGACAACTGTCACCGTTGAAGAGGTTCCTTACGAGGAAGAGAAACCAGAGAAGATCCAGGAACTCCCTGAAGAGGTTCGCATTGTTGAAACCATCTCTGAAGACGGAAAGCCCAAGAAGAAGAAGATCCGCACTCGTGTAATCAAGAAGGTCAAGGGAGACAAGCAAGAAGTCACCAAGATCGAAACCGTCGAAGAAGATGACAAGGTTCCAGAGACAACTGTCACCGTTGAAGAGGTTCCTTACGAGGAAGAGAAACCAGAGGAGATGCAGGAACTCCCTGAAGAGGTTCGCGTTGTTGAAACCATCTCTGAAGACGGCAAGCCCAAGAAGAAGAAGATCCGCACTCGTGTAATCAAGAAGGTCAAGGGAGACAAGCAAGAAGTCACCAAGATCGAAACCGTCGAAGAAGATGACAAGCCTGCGGAGACTACAGTCACCGTTGAAGAGGTTCCTTACGAGGAAGAGAAACCAGAGGAGATCCAGGAACTCCCTGAAGAGGTTCGCGTTGTTGAAACCATCTCTGAAGACGGCAAGCCCAAGAAGAAGAAGATCCGCACTCGCGTAATCAAGAAGGTCAAGGGCGACAAACAAGAAGTCACCAAGATCGAAACCGTCGAAGAAGATGACAAGGTACCAGAGACAACTGTCACCGTTGAAGAGGTTCCTTACGAGGAAGAGAAACCAGAGGAGATGCAGGAACTCCCTGAAGAGGTTCGCGTTGTTGAAACCATCTCCGAAGACGGCAAGCCCAAGAAGAAGAAGATCCGCACTCGCGTAATCAAGAAGGTCAAGGGAGACAAGCAAGAAGTCACCAAGATCGAAACCGTCGAAGAAGATGACAAGCCTGCGGAGACTACAGTCACCGTTGAAGAGGTTCCTTACGAGGAAGAGAAACCAGAGGAGATCCAGGAACTCCCTGAAGAGGTTCGCGTTGTTGAAACCATCTCTGAAGACGGCAAGCCCAAGAAGAAGAAGATCCGCACTCGCGTAATCAAGAAGGTCAAGGGCGACAAACAAGAAGTCACCAAGATCGAAACCGTCGAAGAAGATGACAAGGTTCCAGAGACAACTGTCTCCGTTGAAGAGGTTCCTTACGAGGAAGAGAAACCAGAGGAGATCCAGGAACTCCCTGAAGAGGTTCGCGTTGTTGAAACCATCTCTGAAGACGGCAAGCCCAAGAAGAAGAAGATCCGCACTCGCGTAATCAAGAAGGTCAAGGGCGACAAACAAGAAGTCACCAAGATCGAAACCGTCGAAGAAGATGACAAGGTACCAGAGACAACTGTCACCGTTGAAGAGGTTCCTTACGAAGAAGAGAAACCAGAAGAGATCCAGGAACTCCCAGAAGAGGTTCGCGTTGTTGAAACCATCTCTGAAGACGGCAAGCCCAAGAAGAAGAAGATCCGCACTCGCGTAATCAAGAAGGTCAAGGGCGACAAACAAGAAGTCACCAAGATCGAAACCGTCGAAGAAGATGACAAGGTACCAGAGACAACTGTCACCGTTGAAGAGGTTCCTTACGAGGAAGAGAAACCAGAGGAGATCCAGGAACTCCCTGAAGAGGTTCGCGTTGTTGAAACCATCTCTGAAGACGGCAAGCCCAAGAAGAAGAAGATCCGCACTCGCGTAATCAAGAAGGTCAAGGGCGACAAACAAGAAGTCACCAAGATCGAAACCGTCGAAGAAGATGACAAGGTTCCAGAGACAACTGTCACCGTTGAAGAGGTTCCTTACGAGGAAGAGAAACCAGAGGAGATCCAGGAACTCCCTGAAGAGGTTCGCGTTGTTGAAACCATCTCTGAAGACGGCAAGCCCAAGAAGAAGAAGATCCGCACTCGCGTAATCAAGAAGGTCAAGGGCGACAAACAAGAAGTTACCAAGATCGAAACCGTCGAAGAAGATGACAAGGTACCAGAGACAACTGTCACCGTTGAAGAGGTTCCTTACGAAGAAGAGAAACCAGAAGAGATCCAGGAACTCCCGGAAGAAGTTCGCGTTGTTGAAACCATCTCTGAAGACGGAAAGCCCAAGAAGAAGAAGATCCGCACTCGCGTAATCAAGAAGGTCAAGGGCGACAAACAAGAAGTCACCAAGATCGAAACCGTCGAAGAAGATGACAAGGTACCAGAGACAACTGTCACCGTTGAAGAGGTTCCTTACGAAGAGGAGAAACCAGAAGAGATCCAGGAACTCCCAGAAGAGGTTCGCGTTGTTGAAACCATCTCTGAAGACGGCAAGCCCAAAAAGAAGAAGATCCGCACTCGTGTAATCAAGAAGGTCAAGGGAGACAAACAAGAAGTCACCAAGATCGAAACCGTCGAAGAAGATGACAAGGTACCAGAGACAACTGTCACCGTTGAAGAGGTTCCTTACGAAGAAGAGAAACCAGAAGAGATCCAGGAACTCCCGGAAGAGGTTCGCGTTGTTGAAACCATCTCTGAAGACGGCAAGCCCAAGAAGAAGAAGATCCGCACTCGCGTAATCAAGAAGGTCAAGGGCGACAAACAAGAAGTCACCAAGATCGAAACCGTCGAAGAAGATGACAAGCCTGCGGAGACAACTGTCACCGTTGAAGAGGTTCCTTACGAAGAAGAGAAACCAGAGGAGATCCAGGAACTCAAAGAAGAGGTTCGCGTTGTTGAAACCATCTCTGAAGACGGCAAGCCCAAGAAGAAGAAGATCCGCACTCGCGTAATCAAGAAGGTCAAGGGAGACAAACAAGAAGTTACCAAGATCGAAACCGTCGAAGAAGATGACAAGGTACCAGAGACAACTGTCACCGTTGAAGATGTTCCTTACGAGGAAGAGAAACCAGAGGAAATCCAGGAACTCCCTGAAGAGGTTCGCGTTGTTGAAACCATCTCCGAAGACGGCAAACCCAAGAAGAAGAAGATCCGCACTCGCGTAATCAAGAAGGTCAAGGGCGACAAACAAGAAGTCACCAAGATCGAAACCGTTGAAGAAGATGACAAGGTACCAGAGACAACTGTCACCGTTGAAGAGGTTCCTTACGAGGAAGAGAAACCAGAGGAGATCCAGGAACTCCCAGAAGAGGTTCGCGTTGTTGAAACCATCTCCGAAGACGGCAAGCCCAAGAAGAAGAAGATCCGCACTCGCGTAATCAAGAAGGTCAAGGGAGACAAACAAGAAGTTACCAAGATCGAAACCGTCGAAGAAGATGACAAGGTACCAGAGACAACTGTCACCGTTGAAGAGGTTCCTTACGAGGAAGAGAAACCAGAGGAAATCCAGGAACTCCCTGAAGAGGTTCGCGTTGTTGAAACCATCTCTGAAGACGGCAAGCCCAAGAAGAAGAAGATCCGCACTCGCGTAATCAAGAAGGTCAAGGGAGACAAACAAGAAGTTACCAAGATCGAAACCGTCGAAGAAGATGACAAGGTACCAGAGACAACTGTCACCGTTGAAGAGGTTCCTTACGAGGAAGAGAAACCAGAGGAGATCCAGGAACTCCCAGAAGAGGTTCGCGTTGTTGAAACCATCTCCGAAGACGGCAAACCCAAGAAGAAGAAGATCCGCACTCGCGTAATCAAGAAGGTCAAGGGCGACAAACAAGAAGTCACCAAGATCGAAACCGTTGAAGAAGATGACAAGGTACCAGAGACAACTGTCACCGTTGAAGAGGTTCCTTACGAGGAAGAGAAACCAGAGGAAATCCAGGAACTCCCTGAAGAGGTTCGCGTTGTTGAAACCATCTCTGAAGACGGCAAGCCCAAAAAGAAGAAGATCCGCACTCGTGTAATCAAGAAGGTCAAGGGAGACAAACAAGAAGTCACCCAGATCGAAACCGTCGAAGAAGATGACAAGGTACCAGAGACAACTGTCACCGTTGAAGAGGTTCCTTACGAAGAAGAGAAACCAGAGGAGATCCAGGAACTCCCAGAAGAGGTTCGCGTTGTTGAAACCATCTCTGAAGACGGCAAGCCCAAGAAGAAGAAGATCCGCACTCGCGTAATCAAGAAGGTCAAGGGCGACAAACAAGAAGTCACCAAGATCGAAACCGTCGAAGAAGATGACAAGCCTGCGGAGACTACAGTCACAGTTGAAGAGGTTCCTTACGAAGAAGAGAAACCAGAGGAGATCCAGGAACTCCCAGAAGAGGTTCGCGTTGTTGAAACCATCTCCGAAGACGGCAAACCCAAGAAGAAGAAGATCCGCACTCGTGTAATCAAGAAGGTCAAGGGCGACAAACAAGAAGTCACCAAGATCGAAACCGTTGAAGAAGATGACAAGGTACCAGAGACAACTGTCACCGTTGAAGAGGTTCCTTACGAAGAAGAGAAACCAGAGGAGATCCAGGAACTCCCAGAAGAGGTTCGCGTTGTTGAAACCATCTCTGAAGACGGCAAGCCCAAGAAGAAGAAGATCCGCACTCGTGTAATCAAGAAGGTCAAGGGCGACAAACAGGAAGTCACCAAGATCGAAACCGTCGAAGAAGATGACAAGCCTGCGGAGACTACAGTCACAGTTGAAGAGGTTCCTTACGAAGAAGAGAAACCAGAGGAGATCCAGGAACTCCCAGAAGAGGTTCGCGTTGTTGAAACCATCTCTGAAGACGGCAAGCCCAAGAAGAAGAATATCCGCACTCGCGTAATCAAGAAGGTCAAGGGCGACAAACAAGAAGTCACCAAGATCGAAACCGTCGAAGAAGATGACAAGCCTGCGGAGACAACTGTCACAGTTGAAGAGGTTCCTTACGAAGAAGAGAAACCAGAGGAGATCCAGGAACTCCCAGAAGAGGTTCGCGTTGTTGAAACCATCTCTGAAGACGGCAAGCCCAAGAAGAAGAAGATCCGCACTCGCGTAATCAAGAAGGTCAAGGGCGACAAACAAGAAGTCACCAAGATCGAAACCGTCGAAGAAGATGACAATCCTGCGGAGACTACAGTCACAGTTGAAGAGGTTCCTTACGAGGAAGAGAAACCAGAGGAGATCCAGGAACTCCCTGAAGAGGTTCGCGTTGTTGAAACCATCTCTGAAGACGGCAAGCCCAAGAAGAAGAAGATCCGCACTCGCGTAATCAAGAAGGTCAAGGGCGACAAACAAGAAGTCACCAAGATCGAAACCGTCGAAGAAGATGACAATCCTGCGGAGACTACAGTCACAGTTGAAGAGGTTCCTTACGAGGAAGAGAAACCAGAGGAGATCCAGGAACTCCCTGAAGAGGTTCGCGTTGTTGAAACCATCTCTGAAGACGGCAAGCCCAAGAAGAAGAAGATCCGCACTCGCGTAATCAAGAAGGTCAAGGGCGACAAACAAGAAGTCACCAAGATCGAAACCGTCGAAGAAGATGACAAGGTACCAGAGACAACTGTCACCGTTGAAGAGGTTCCTTACGAAGAAGAGAAACCAGAAGAGATCCAGGAACTCCCAGAAGAGGTTCGCGTTGTTGAAACCATCTCTGAAGACGGCAAGACCAAGAAGAAGAAGATCCGCACTCGCGTAATCAAGAAGGTCAAGGGCGACAAACAAGAAGTTACCAAGATCGAAACCGTCGAAGAAGATGACAAGGTACCAGAGACAACTGTCACCGTTGAAGAGGTTCCTTACGAAGAAGAGAAACCAGAGGAGATCCAGGAACTCCCAGAAGAGGTTCGCATTGTTGAAACCATCTCTGAAGACGGCAAGCCCAAGAAGAAGAAGATCCGCACTCGCGTAATCAAGAAGGTCAAGGGCGACAAACATGAAGTCACCAAGATCGAAACCGTCGAAGAAGATGACAAGCCTGCGGAGACTACAGTCACAGTTGAAGAGGTTCCTTACGAAGAAGAGAAACCAGAGGAGATCCAGGAACTCCCAGAAGAGGTTCGCGTTGTTGAAACCATCTCTGAAGACGGCAAGCCCAAGAAGAAGAAGATCCGCACTCGCGTAATCAAGAAGGTCAAGGGCGACAAACAAGAAGTTACCAAGATCGAAACCGTCGAAGAAGATGACAAGGTACCAGAGACAACAGTCACCGTTGAAGAGGTTCCTTACGAAGAAGAGAAACCAGAGGAGATCCAGGAACTCCCAGAAGAGGTTCGCGTTGTTGAAACCATCTCTGAAGACGGCAAGCCCAAGAAGAAGAAGATCCGCACTCGCGTAATCAAGAAGGTCAAGGGCGACAAACAGGAAGTCACCAAGATCGAAACCGTCGAAGAAGATGACAAGGTACCAGAGACAACTGTCACCGTTGAAGAGGTTCCTTACGAGGAAGAGAAACCAGAGGAGATCCAGGAACTCCCAGAAGGGGTTCGCGTTGTTGAAACCATCTCTGAAGACGGCAAACCCAAGAAGAAGAAGATCCGCACTCGTGTAATCAAGAAGGTCAAGGGCGACAAACAGGAAGTCACCAAGATCGAAACCGTCGAAGAAGATGACAAGCCTGCGGAGACTACAGTCACAGTTGAAGAGGTTCCTTACGAAGAAGAGAAACCAGAGGAGATCCAGGAACTCCCAGAAGAGGTTCGCGTTGTTGAAACCATCTCTGAAGACGGCAAACCCAAGAAGAAGAAGATCCGCACTCGTGTAATCAAGAAGGTCAAGGGCGACAAACAGGAAGTCACCAAGATCGAAACCGTCGAAGAAGATGACAAGCCTGCGGAGACTACAGTCACAGTTGAAGAGGTTCCTTACGAAGAAGAGAAACCAGAGGAGATCCAGGAACTCCCAGAAGAGGTTCGCGTTGTTGAAACCATCTCTGAAGACGGCAAACCCAAGAAGAAGAAGATCCGCACTCGCGTAATCAAGAAGGTCAAGGGAGACAAACAAGAAGTCACCAAGATCGAAACCGTCGAAGAAGATGACAAGGTACCAGAGACAACTGTCACCGTTGAAGAGGTTCCTTACGAAGAAGAGAAACCAGAGGAGATCCAGGAACTCCCTGAAGAGGTTCGCGTTGTTGAAACCATCTCTGAAGACGGCAAGCCCAAGAAGAAGAAGATCCGCACTCGTGTAATCAAGAAGGTCAAGGGCGACAAACAGGAAGTCACCAAGATCGAAACCGTCGAAGAAGATGACAAGCCTGCGGAGACTACAGTCACAATTGAAGAGGTTCCTTACGAAGAAGAGAAACCAGAGGAGATCCAGGAACTCCCAGAAGAGGTTCGCGTTGTTGAAACCATCTCTGAAGACGGCAAACCCAAGAAGAAGAAGATCCGCACTCGTGTAATCAAGAAGGTCAAGGGCGACAAACAGGAAGTCACCAAGATCGAAACCGTCGAAGAAGATGACAAGCCTGCGGAGACTACAGTCACAGTTGAAGAGGTTCCTTACGAAGAAGAGAAACCAGAGGAGATCCAGGAACTCCCAGAAGAGGTTCGCGTTGTTGAAACCATCTCTGAAGACGGCAAACCCAAGAAGAAGAAGATCCGCACTCGCGTAATCAAGAAGGTCAAGGGAGACAAACAAGAAGTCACCAAGATCGAAACCGTCGAAGAAGATGACAAGGTACCAGAGACAACTGTCACCGTTGAAGAGGTTCCTTACGAAGAAGAGAAACCAGAGGAGATCCAGGAACTCCCTGAAGAGGTTCGCGTTGTTGAAACCATCTCTGAAGACGGCAAGCCCAAGAAGAAGAAGATCCGCACTCGTGTAATCAAGAAGGTCAAGGGCGACAAACAGGAAGTCACCAAGATCGAAACCGTCGAAGAAGATGACAAGCCTGCGGAGACTACAGTCACAGTTGAAGAGGTTCCTTACGAAGAAGAGAAACCAGAGGAGATCCAGGAACTCCCAGAAGAGGTTCGCGTTGTTGAAACCATCTCTGAAGACGGCAAACCCAAGAAGAAGAAGATCCGCACTCGTGTAATCAAGAAGGTCAAGGGAGACAAACAAGAAGTCACCAAGATCGAAACCGTCGAAGAAGATGACAAGCCTGCGGAGACAACAGTCACAGTTGAAGAGGTTCCTTACGAAGAAGAGAAACCAGAGGAGATCCAGGAACTCCCTGAAGAGGTTCGCGTTGTTGAAACCATCTCTGAAGACGGCAAGCCCAAGAAGAAGAAGATCCGCACTCGCGTAATCAAGAAGGTCAAGGGCGACAAACAAGAAGTTACCAAGATCGAAACCGTCGAAGAAGATGACAAGCCTGCGGAGACTACAGTCACAGTTGAAGAGGTTCCTTACGAAGAAGAGAAACCAGAGGAGATCCAGGAACTCCCAGAAGAGGTTCGCGTTGTTGAAACCATCTCTGAAGACGGCAAACCCAAGAAGAAGAAGATCCGCACTCGCGTAATCAAGAAGGTCAAGGGAGACAAACAAGAAGTCACCAAGATCGAAACCGTCGAAGAAGATGACAAGGTACCAGAGACAACTGTCACCGTTGAAGAGGTTCCTTACGAAGAAGAGAAACCAGAGGAGATCCAGGAACTCCCAGAAGAGGTTCGCGTTGTTGAAACCATCTCTGAAGACGGCAAACCCAAGAAGAAGAAGATCCGCACTCGTGTAATCAAGAAGGTCAAGGGAGACAAACAAGAAGTCACCAAGATCGAAACCGTCGAAGAAGATGACAAGGTACCAGAAACAACTGTCACCGTTGAAGAGGTTCCTTACGAAGAAGAGAAACCAGAGGAGATCCAGGAACTCCCTGAAGAGGTTCGCGTTGTTGAAACCATCTCTGAAGACGGCAAGCCCAAGAAGAAGAAGATCCGCACTCGCGTAATCAAGAAGGTCAAGGGCGACAAACAAGAAGTCACCAAGATCGAAACCGTCGAAGAAGATGACAAGGTACCAGAGACAACTGTCACCGTTGAAGAGGTTCCTTACGAAGAAGAGAAACCAGAGGAGATCCAGGAACTCCCAGAAGAGGTTCGCGTTGTTGAAACCATCTCTGAAGACGGCAAGCCCAAGAAGAAGAAGATCCGCACTCGCGTAATCAAGAAGGTCAAGGGCGACAAACAAGAAGTCACCAAGATCGAAACCGTCGAAGAAGATGACAAGGTACCAGAGACAACTGTCACCGTTGAAGAGGTTCCTTACGAAGAAGAGAAACCAGAGGAGATCCAGGAACTCCCTGAAGAGGTTCGCGTTGTTGAAACCATCTCTGAAGACGGCAAGCCCAAGAAGAAGAAGATCCGCACTCGCGTAATCAAGAAGGTCAAGGGCGACAAACAGGAAGTCACCAAGATCGAAACCGTCGAAGAAGATGACAAGCCTGCGGAGACTACAGTCACAGTTGAAGAGGTTCCTTACGAAGAAGAGAAACCAGAGGAGATCCAGGAACTCCCAGAAGAGGTTCGCGTTGTTGAAACCATCTCTGAAGACGGCAAGCCCAAGAAGAAGAAGATCCGCACTCGCGTAATCAAGAAGGTCAAGGGCGACAAACAAGAAGTCACCAAGATCGAAACCGTCGAAGAAGATGACAAGCCTGCGGAGACTACAGTCACAGTTGAAGAGGTTCCTTACGAAGAAGAGAAACCAGAGGAGATCCAGGAACTCCCAGAAGAGGTTCGCGTTGTTGAAACCATCTCTGAAGACGGCAAGCCCAAGAAGAAGAAGATCCGCACTCGCGTAATCAAGAAGGTCAAGGGCGACAAACAAGAAGTCACCAAGATCGAAACCGTCGAAGAAGATGACAAGGTACCAGAGACAACTGTCACCGTTGAAGAGGTTCCTTACGAAGAAGAGAAACCAGAGGAGATCCAGGAACTCCCTGAAGAGGTTCGCGTTGTTGAATCCATCTCTGAAGACGGCAAGCCCAAGAAGAAGAAGATCCGCACTCGCGTAATCAAGAAGGTCAAGGGCGACAAACAAGAAGTTACCAAGATCGAAACCGTCGAAGAAGATGACAAGGTACCAGAGACAACTGTCACCGTTGAAGAGGTTCCTTACGAAGAAGAGAAACCAGAGGAGATCCAGGAACTCCCTGAAGAGGTTCGCGTTGTTGAAACCATCTCTGAAGACGGCAAGCCCAAGAAGAAGAAGATCCGCACTCGCGTAATCAAGAAGGTCAAGGGCGACAAACAGGAAGTCACCAAGATCGAAACCGTCGAAGAAGATGACAAGCCTGCGGAGACTACAGTCACAGTTGAAGAGGTTCCTTACGAAGAAGAGAAACCAGAGGAGATCCAGGAACTCCCAGAAGAGGTTCGCGTTGTTGAAACCATCTCTGAAGACGGCAAACCCAAGAAGAAGAAGATCCGCACTCGCGTAATCAAGAAGGTCAAGGGCGACAAACAAGAAGTCACCAAGATCGAAACCGTCGAAGAAGATGACAAGGTACCAGAGACAACTGTCACCGTTGAAGAGGTTCCTTACGAAGAAGAGAAACCAGAGGAGATCCAGGAACTCCCAGAAGAGGTTCGCGTTGTTGAAACCATCTCTGAAGACGGCAAACCCAAGAAGAAGAAGATCCGCACTCGTGTAATCAAGAAGGTCAAGGGAGACAAAAAAGAAGTCACCAAGATCGAAACCGTCGAAGAAGATGACAAGCCTGCGGAGACTACAGTCACAGTTGAAGAGGTTCCTTACGAAGAAGAGAAACCAGAGGAGATCCAGGAACTCCCAGAAGAGGTTCGCGTTGTTGAAACCATCTCTGAAGACGGCAAGCCCAAGAAGAAGAAGATCCGCACTCGCGTAATCAAGAAGGTCAAGGGCGACAAACAAGAAGTTACCAAGATCGAAACCGTCGAAGAAGATGACAAGGTACCAGAGACAACAGTCACCGTTGAAGAGGTTCCTTACGAAGAAGAGAAACCAGAAGAGAGCCAGGAACTCCCAGAAGAGGTTCGCGTTGTTGAAACCATCTCTGAAGACGGCAAACCCAAGAAGAAGAAGATCCGCACTCGCGTAATCAAGAAGGTCAAGGGCGACAAACATGAAGTCACCAAGATCGAAACCGTCGAAGAAGATGACAAGCCTGCGGAGACTACAGTCACAGTTGAAGAGGTTCCTTACGAAGAAGAGAAACCAGAGGAGATCCAGGAACTCCCAGAAGAGGTTCGCGTTGTTGAAACCATCTCTGAAGACGGCAAACCCAAGAAGAAGAAGATCCGCACTCGTGTAATCAAGAAGGTCAAGGGAGACAAACAAGAAGTCACCAAGATCGAAACCGTCGAAGAAGATGACAAGGTACCAGAAACAACTGTCACCGTTGAAGAGGTTCCTTACGAAGAAGAGAAACCAGAGGAGATCCAGGAACTCCCAGAAGAGGTTCGCGTTGTTGAAACCATCTCTGAAGACGGCAAGCCCAAGAAGAAGAAGATCCGCACTCGCGTAATCAAGAAGGTCAAGGGCGACAAACAAGAAGTTACCAAGATCGAAACCGTCGAAGAAGATGACAAGGTACCAGAGACAACAGTCACCGTTGAAGAGGTTCCTTACGAAGAAGAGAAACCAGAAGAGAGCCAGGAACTCCCAGAAGAGGTTCGCGTTGTTGAAACCATCTCTGAAGACGGCAAACCCAAGAAGAAGAAGATCCGCACTCGCGTAATCAAGAAGGTCAAGGGCGACAAACATGAAGTCACCAAGATCGAAACCGTCGAAGAAGATGACAAGCCTGCGGAGACTACAGTCACAGTTGAAGAGGTTCCTTACGAAGAAGAGAAACCAGAGGAGATCCAGGAACTCCCAGAAGAGGTTCGCGTTGTTGAAACCATCTCTGAAGACGGCAAACCCAAGAAGAAGAAGATCCGCACTCGTGTAATCAAGAAGGTAAAGGGAGACAAACAAGAAGTCACCAAGATCGAAACCGTCGAAGAAGATGACAAGGTACCAGAGACAACTGTCACCGTTGAAGAGGTTCCTTACGAAGAAGAGAAACCAGAGGAGATCCAGGAACTCCCAGAAGAGGTTCGCGTTGTTGAAACCATCTCTGAAGACGGCAAACCCAAGAAGAAGAAGATCCGCACTCGTGTAATCAAGAAGGTCAAGGGAGACAAACAAGAAGTCACCAAGATCGAAACCGTCGAAGAAGATGACAAGCCTGCGGAGACAACAGTCACAGTTGAAGAGGTTCCTTACGAAGAAGAGAAACCAGAGGAGATCCAGGAACTCCCAGAAGAGGTTCGCGTTGTTGAAACCATCTCTGAAGACGGCAAGCCCAAGAAGAAGAAGATCCGCACTCGTGTAATCAAGAAGGTAAAGGGAGACAAACAAGAAGTCACCAAGATCGAAACCGTCGAAGAAGATGACAAGCCTGCGGAGACAACTGTCACAGTTGAAGAGGTTCCTTACGAAGAAGAGAAACCAGAGGAGATCCAGGAACTCCCAGAAGAGGTTCGCGTTGTTGAAACCATCTCTGAAGACGGCAAGCCCAAGAAGAAGAAGATCCGCACTCGCGTAATCAAGAAGGTCAAGGGCGACAAACAAGAAGTCACCAAGATCGAAACCGTCGAAGAAGATGACAAGCCTGCGGAGACTACAGTCACAGTTGAAGAGGTTCCTTACGAAGAAGAGAAACCAGAGGAGATCCAGGAACTCCCAGAAGAGGTTCGCGTTGTTGAAACCATCTCTGAAGACGGCAAGCCCAAGAAGAAGAAGATCCGCACTCGTGTAATCAAGAAGGTAAAGGGAGACAAACAAGAAGTCACCAAGATCGAAACCGTCGAAGAAGATGACAAGCCTGCGGAGACAACTGTCACAGTTGAAGAGGTTCCTTACGAAGAAGAGAAACCAGAGGAGATCCAGGAACTCCCAGAAGAGGTTCGCGTTGTTGAAACCATCTCTGAAGACGGCAAGCCCAAGAAGAAGAAGATCCGCACTCGCGTAATCAAGAAGGTCAAGGGCGACAAACAAGAAGTCACCAAGATCGAAACCGTCGAAGAAGATGACAAGCCTGCGGAGACTACAGTCACAGTTGAAGAGGTTCCTTACGAAGAGAGAAACCAGAGGAGATCCAGGAACTCCCAGAAGAGGTTCGCGTTGTTGAAACCATCTCTGAAGACGGCAAACCCAAGAAGAAGAAGATCCGCACTCGTGTAATCAAGAAGGTAAAGGGAGACAAACAAGAAGTCACCAAGATCGAAACCGTCGAAGAAGATGACAAGGTACCAGAGACAACTGTCACCGTTGAAGAGGTTCCTTACGAAGAAGAGAAACCAGAGGAGATCCAGGAACTCCCAGAAGAGGTTCGCGTTGTTGAAACCATCTCTGAAGACGGCAAACCCAAGAAGAAGAAGATCCGCACTCGTGTAATCAAGAAGGTCAAGGGAGACAAACAAGAAGTCACCAAGATCGAAACCGTCGAAGAAGATGACAAGCCTGCGGAGACAACAGTCACAGTTGAAGAGGTTCCTTACGAAGAAGAGAAACCAGAGGAGATCCAGGAACTCCCAGAAGAGGTTCGCGTTGTTGAAACCATCTCTGAAGACGGCAAGCCCAAGAAGAAGAAGATCCGCACTCGTGTAATCAAGAAGGTAAAGGGAGACAAACAAGAAGTCACCAAGATCGAAACCGTCGAAGAAGATGACAAGCCTGCGGAGACAACTGTCACAGTTGAAGAGGTTCCTTACGAAGAAGAGAAACCAGAGGAGATCCAGGAACTCCCAGAAGAGGTTCGCGTTGTTGAAACCATCTCTGAAGACGGCAAGCCCAAGAAGAAGAAGATCCGCACTCGCGTAATCAAGAAGGTCAAGGGCGACAAACAAGAAGTCACCAAGATCGAAACCGTCGAAGAAGATGACAAGCCTGCGGAGACTACAGTCACAGTTGAAGAGGTTCCTTACGAAGAAGAGAAACCAGAGGAGATCCAGGAACTCCCAGAAGAGGTTCGCGTTGTTGAAACCATCTCTGAAGACGGAAAACCCAAACAGAAGAAGATCCGCACTCGCGTAATCAAGAAGGTGAAGGGCGACAAACAAGAAGTCACCAAGATCGAAACCGTCGAGGAGGATGACAAACTACCAGAGACAACAGTGACGGTGGAAGAAACAGAACTGAAGACTCCATTTGGTGGCAAAGTGAAGCTTAAGAAAAGAGTCATTGTGCAAAAACCTGAAGATGAGGAAACAGTGGTCGAGTTGCCTGAAAGAAAGTCTGTTATTCTCTCAGAGAAGGAAGATGGTACTCCCACAAAGACAGTTGTGAAGACACGAATCATCAAAAAGATCAAGGGCTCCAACATGGAGGTAACTAAGATTCAAACTGTCGAAGAATACGAAAAGGAGCCAAAGACAAAGGTAACAGTGGAAAACTTTGAGTTGCCCTTCCCTGAACTTCCAGAGGAAAAGATCTCCGAAGTAGTGGTTCTGCCCGATGAGGTGCACGAGTCGAAAACTGTAGATGAAGAAGGTACGCCGAAGATTGTGAAAACAAAGAAACGTGTGATCAAAAAGCCGACAAGTGACAAGACGGAAGAGATAACTCAGATTGATATCATTGAACAAGATGATGCAGAGCCCATATACTCGATATCAGTGACGGAACAGCCTCTAACCGAATCGAAACCAGAGGATAATAAGTCCTTGGAGCTGCCAGAACAAGTGGCGGAACTGGAATATACTTCGCCAGATGGAACCAAAAAGAAGAAGACCATCAAGTCCAGGGCGTTTAAAAAGAACCTCGACGATAAACTTGATGAGGTGACAACGGTTCAGACAGTCGTCGAAGACGACAAGGAACCCCTGACGACAGTGCAAGTGGAGGTTGTGCCAGCGGATGATTTTGCCCCCATACCGATTGAGGAATTGCCGGAGGAGACCACATTTACCGAAGAGCTGGACAGCAATAAGAAGCCAAAGAAGAAGACGACGAAAACGCGTACGTTCAAGAAACAGGGTCCAGAGGAAGAAGATCTGGAATATTTCCAGATACAAACCATCGAGGAAGAGGGCAAAGAGCCCTATTCTTTGATACGGGTTGTAAGCGATGAAAATCTATCTGATATCGCTGATATAATCGATATTAGTAAATGCGACGATGAAAAGGTTTCACCCACCAACAAACACAAACAAAAGCCACACAAAAAACCCAAGGGTAAGAACACAACAAACACCATCTACACTATCCATACTACACTCATTCTACAACACAAATTGAAGTATACGCAAAAACAATTTCTTAGTTTTCTTAAACATTTTATTCAGTTTAAAGTTTTCCTTAAATTATTCTTATAGTTTAAACCTCCTGATATTTAGATCTGTAAATAACATATTTTTTTTGAAACATTCCACACGAAACCTAAAAAAAAAACACACAAAACATAACGAAACACAGTGGAGAAACAACCAAAGCCCGAAAACACAACAACCGAATACATAACGACATTCAAATCGGTACAAAACGAAGATGGAGAGACCACAATAGAAACCGAACAGAAACGAATCTCACAGGAGGAACAAGGCATCGTTGTTGAGGAGGTACTCAGTGATACCGAACCCATTCCAGAAGACACTACAACACCACAATCAACACCACACCTAGAAATTGTTGAAGTCGGCGAGACAACAGGTGATTTTTACTTAATAAACAAACTATACTACTATATACAACATACTCGTAAACTCCAAAGACAATACCATAAGCCGCGTCTTAGAGAAACAAAGGTCCTTCAGTCATTCAGTATTTAGCTAAGGAATCAATCAATCACACTAAAAATTATACAAAAACAAAAACATGAGATAAAAAACACTTCATATATTTTCTCACAAAATAATTACTAACACTGCACTTTTCTGTACGTGACATCTAAAAATTCTGGAAAACCAAAAACGAAATTACGTACATTTTCAATTGAAATGAAATCTCTAACCCACACACAAATTTTTGTTGCAAGCGTATGGTATGTGATTCCAAACACTAAAACTTTGTGCCTCACAAAGTTCGAAGGTGTTTTAAAGCATTATATAAAATGCAAATATAAGAGTATAAAAAAAACATTAGTTTAGTTCTAACACAAAAAAACACACATAATTCTTTCTCGAAAACAGACCAACTGAACAACAAAGAGTACACTATCACAGAACCCGAAGATGTTGTAAGTGCAGGAGACTCAGGAGACGATAAGAAGAAACCCAAACAGAAAAAGAAACCCGCTACCAAGGCGGAAGAGATAATTGTAGAGGAGGAACAGGAGGAGTCTCCTACTGGGGAGACACTGACAGAGGAGGGTCCTACAGGGGAGACGACACTGACAGAGGAGGGTCCTGGGGAAAAGACTGGGGTTAAGAAACGCAAACCAAAGAAATTAGTAGTCATAGAGGAGGGTAAGGTTGAGGAGGGTCCCACTACTGCTGCTACAGAGAAAAAGGACAAACCCAAGAAAAAGAAGGTCCTTAAGTCAAAACGCGATGAAATGGATGAATACATACAATTCCTCATTCATCAGGATATACCCAAGACAGTCATTCAGGGATATCAGCGCACCGAAATGGAACTTCCGCAACGGGCTCGTCGTGATTCGTCCTTCAAGCAACCGCAACCCATGAAGCTGACACCCATGAAAATCGAGAAAATCGAATTTAAACGACCGAAAATGGTGGAAATTACTTCCGTGGCAGAATTCCCGCAAATGCTGAAACTTAAAACGCCCAAGCAACGCCCGGGGGTGGAGAAAAAGAAGAAAGAAGAAGCTTCGTTCAAGAACAAGAAACTCAAGAGTTGGATACGATTCATACCGTTCTCACCGTACTGCTTCCCGTATGTCCTGACCGAGCTGGAGACCCATCGGGAGAGTGGCGAACTCTCACGTAATATCGAAGAGGCCGAAGGGGTTCTACGGCTACGTCCCAAGAAGTTCAAACATCGGAAACCCTCAAAGGTAGAGCTGGAGCAGCCCGATCTCGAGACCTTTGACTCTGAGGGGAGCCAGCCCTCGGACGAGGAGAAACCCAAGCCCAAGTACAAGCGTGGCAAGAAAATCAAGGAGGAAACTCCTGAGGAAATTCGTAAGCTTAAACTTGGCAAAGGAAAGATACCACAGAATGTCGAAACCATCGAAGAGGTTCACTTGAAACCCGTGAAAATCGAAGGCCAAGAGGAGCAAATCGAAGAGAAACCCCAAAAGGTAGTAGAAGAGGAGGTGCCCAAGAAAAAGAAGTCCAAAAAATCAGAGAAACCGCAGGACACACTCCACTTTGAACCCACAGAACTCACAGATTTCGAAAGAATTTTGGAACAACCAGAAGAATCGGATACATCTATCATTGAAGAAACCGAAACACTGGATAAGCCCAAACACAAGCGAAAGAAGAAGGTTACACCTTCACCCGATACAAATCTACACAAAATCACTCCTGGAAAGCCAAAGGATGTGGAAGAAACTCCCGAGGATGATCTTAAGCTGCGCTATCGTCAAGGCGAAAGACCAGAGGATGTCCAGGAAGAGGTAAAACTGAAACCCTTTTTCAAATATGAAGTTGTGGAACTAGAACCAGAAGTCATACCCGAGGAAAAATTGGAAGCGCCGAGAAAGCCCATCAAAGAACCAAAGAAAAAGCGCAAGATTAAGGTGAAAACTGATCTAGAAGAAAACATCATTGAAATAGTAGAACTTTCACCGAAAGATAGCGATGAAAAGATCTACGAAATTACCATCACAAGTTCTGAAACTACTGAAGAGGAGAAAAAACCCAAGAAAACACTCAAAAAGAAGGTCAAACGCATGAACAAAGAAGAACTTGAGGAATTTGTGGCCGAAATCAAGGAAGAACCCGAACAAAAGTTCTATGAAACCCGCACAGAAGACTTCTTTGAGGTTAAACTCACAGAACTACAGCCAGAGGTTACAACCGAAGAGAAGCCCAAAAAGCGTAGGATCCTCCATGAAAAGGGTAATGAAACGGAGATCCTAGAGATTGTGGAAACATTGCCTTCTGAAGGCGACGAACCCCTCTATGAAATAACCATTACCTCTAGCGAAACAAAGGAAGAGGAATTGGTTGCTCCTTCCGCAGAAAAGCCCAAGAGGAAAACTAAGAAAATGAAAAAGGATGAACTCGATGCGTACATTCAGCAACTGATCAACGCAGAGATTCCCCTTACAGAGTTGGAGAAGTACGAGAAAATCGATGTGGATGGCAAGCCAAAGAAGGCCAAGAAACAAAAGCCAAAGCCTAAGGAAGAAGTCTTCCCAGAGGGCGAAACCCTTCAAATCGGAGTCACGGAACACGAGCCTAAGGAAAAGCCAAAGGCCAAGAAACCCAAGGCTAAGAAAATCACCAAAGAAGAGGAAACTCTTGAAACGGAGGTAATTCCGGTCTACGATGAGTTCCTGATCAAGAAGATCGATTCGGAGCGGGCTCCCCAGGAAGAGATTGAAGAATCAGAGGAGGAAATCGTCCCCGAACTGGATGATATCATTGCTGATCTACAGGAAACGCTTCCCATAGTTGTCCTCGAGGAGAAGGTCGAAACTGTGCCACTGGTCGTGGAAGAACTTGACCTTAAGGAGGAGAAAATCACCAAAAAGCGAAAGGTCAAGACCCGCAAGGGTTCCAAACAGTATGAGATTGAAATCTTTGAAACCGAGGCACTCGAGGATATTCCCCAAGAGGCAAAGGTCATCGTCATAACCACAGAAACAACAGAAGATACGACGGATGCTCCAGCGGAAGATAAACCCGAGGCACCCAAGAAAACAGTGAAAAAGGTGAAGAAGGAGAAACTCAAGGAGTACATCGTCAAGGTTGTGGAAGAGGCTCCTCTCGAATTGATTGCCGAAATATCTGAAGATTATACACCAGTTGCAGAGAGAGAACAATCACCAGTGGAAGATATTACCTCCTTTACCACGACCGTTATTGAAGAGGAGACTCTGCAAGAGGTTCGACCGGAAGAGGAGAAACCCGAAGATGTTCAACGCCTTCCCAAGGATAAGAAAAAGAAATCGGAGAAGCAGAAAAAGGTGAAAATAACTGAAACGGAACCAGAAGCAACTCCAGAGGCATCAACCATCACAGAAGAAATTGTATCTGTAACTGAAACAGATGAAACCCCGAAAGCCGAGGCATATACTGTTGAAGTTAAGGACTCTGCACCCAAGAAAATCAAGAAACCCGCCAAGAAACCAAAGGAGGTAGTCCCTGCAGAACCCATAAGTGAATATACAATTCGCGTGGAAGAATTAGCACCCGAAACAATCATCGAAGAAACAATCAATGAAGAGGGAAAGACAGTGGAACGTGTCATCACCAAACGAAAGCTCAAAAAGAAGGCTGGACCCAAGGAATATCTCATCGAAGTGGTTGAAACCTACGAAGAGAATAAACCCGAAGCAGAAGTCGTTGTACAGACCACAGAAATCACACCAGTCACGGAGGAACAACCCCAAGAGGAGCACAAGATAAAAATTGTCAAGAAAAAGAAGCCAAAGACCGAAAGTTTGGATAACTTTATCCAAGAACTGATCGAAGAGGATATTCCAAAGCCAGAACTAGAAGAATTCGAGGTGACCGTTGAGGAATCCACACCATCGGAGGTAAAGAAACCCAAGAAAATCAAGAAACAACACAAGAAAACCACTCAGGTGGTGGATGGTGTGCCCACAACAGTTTACGAGGTTATTATCCAAGAGTTTGAAATAGATCAGGAGGATCTTAAACCTTATGATGTGGTAGAGGAAAGTGATCATGAAGATATCGAGGAAACCCCCAAGGATCAGCAAATAAAGATCGTTGAAGAGAAACCCAAGTCCAAGCCCAAGAAATCAGCGAAAATCAAGGTTCTGGAAGAGGAAAAGGTAGAACCCATCATTCAAGAAATCTCTGAAGCGGTGGAAGTGCGAGTCACCGAAGAGGATGGTGTCCCACAGAAGGTTGAGGTCCGAAAGAAGAAGGTCTCAAGGAAACAGGGACCCAAAGAGCAGATCTTTGAGATTACAGAGACCAGAACGAATGATGAACCTTTGGCGGAAGTTTCCATAGTAGAAATTACAGAGGAAGAACCCAAGGAGGATGTTCCGGAGCTCAAGGAGAAGAAACCAATCAAGAAACCCAAGAAACTGAAGCCCGAAGAAGTGAAGGATTATGTGATCAATGTCCTTGAAGAATTTGTGGAACCCTACAAGTTCGAGGAACCCGTCATTGAAGATATTTCGGAAACTGTGGAGATTACCAAAGTCACCGAAGATGATGGTACTGAGAAGAAGGTTGAGGTCAAAAAGAAGAAGGTTTCCCGCAAGCAGGGACCCAAGGAACAGATCTTTGAGATCACAGAGACCAAAACAAATGATGAACCTCTGGCGGAGGTAACCATTATCGAAATTACTGAAGAAGAAAAACCAAAGGAAGTTGTTCCTGAAATCAAAGAAACGAAGCCCATCAAGAAACCCAAGAAACTCAAGCCAGAAGATGTGAAAAATTATATCATTAATGTTCTGGAAGAGTACGTCGAGCCCTATAAGTTTGAAGAACTGCCAGAGGACGTGCAAAAGGTACAACCAATCATTGAAGACATCTCCGAATCTGTGGAAATCGTCAAGGTAACCGAAGAAGACGGCACACAAAAGAAGGTGGAAACGAAGAAAAAGAAGATATCCAGGAAACATGGACCCAAGGAACAGATTTTTGAGATTACAGAGACCAAAACGAATGATGAACCTCTGGCGGAGGTAACCATAGTGGAGATTATTGAGGAAGAAAAGCCTGAGGAGCATGTTCCAGAAATCAAAGAAAAGCAGCCCATTAAGAAACCAAAGAAACTGAAACCTGAAGATGTCAAGAATTATGTGATCAATGTTCTTGAAGAATTTGTCGAACCCTACAAGTTTGATGAGGTCGGAAAGGAAGAACCCATCATTGAAGAACTTCCTGAAACTGTGGAGATTACACAAGTCACGGAAGCGGATGGTGTTCCAAAGAAGGTGGAAGTGCGAAAGAAGAAGGTTTCTAGAAAACAGGGCCCCAAAGAACAGATCTTTGAGATCACAGAAACTATTACCAATGATGAACCTTTGGCTGAGGTTTCAATTGTAGAAATTACAGAGGAAGAACCCAAGGAGGATGTTCCGGAGCTCAAGGAGAAGAAACCAATCAAGAAACCCAAGAAACTGAAGCCCGAAGAAGTGAAGGACTATGTGATCAATGTCCTTGAAGAATTTGTTGAACCGTACAAGTTCGAGGAACCCATCATGGAGGACCTTTCGGAATCTGTGGAAATCACCAAAATCACCGAAGATGATGGCACTGAGAAGAAGGTTGAGGTGAAAAAGAAGAAGGTTTCCCGCAAGCAGGGCCCCAAAGAACAAATCTTTGAGATCACAGAGACCATTACGAATGATGAACCTCTGGCGGAAGTTTCCATTGTAGAAATTACAGAGGAACAACCCAAGGAAGATGTTCCGGAGATCAAGGAGAAGAAACCAATCAAGAAACCCAAGAAACTGAAGCCCGAAGAAGTAAAGGACTATGTGATCAATGTCCTTGAAGAATTCGTGGAACCGTATAAGTTCGAGGAGCCAATCATTGAAGATCTTTCGGAATCTGTGGAAATCACCAAAATCACCGAAGATGATGGTACTGAAAAGAAGGTTGAGGTCAAAAAGAAGAAGGTTTCCCGCAAGCAGGGCCCCAAAGAACAAATCTTTGAGATCACAGAGACCATTACGAATGATGAACCTCTGGCGGAAGTGTCCATTGTAGAAATTACAGAGGAACAACCCAAGGAGGATATCCCAGAGATCAAGGAGAAGAAACCAATCAAGAAACCCAAGAAACTGAAGCCCGAAGAAGTGAAGGACTATGTGATTAATGTTCTCGATGAATTCGTGGAACCCTACAAGTTCGAGGAGCCCATCATTGAAGATCTTTCGGAATCTGTGGAGATTACTAAAGTCACCGAAGAGGATGGCACCGAAAAGAAGGTGGAAGTGAAGAAAAAGAAGGTCTCGAGGAAACAGGGACCCAAGGAACAAGTTTTCGAGATCACAGAAACCATAACAAATGATGAGCCTCTGGCCGAAGTTTCCATTGTAGAGATAACGGAGGAAGAAAAGCCTGAGGAAAAGGTGCCAGAGATTAAAGAAAAGAAGCCCCTCAAGAAGCCAAAGAAACTGAAGCCCGAAGATGTTCAAAACTACATCATCAACGTCCTGGAAGAATTTGTGGAGCCACAGAAGTTTGAGGAGGAGGAATCTGATGTTCCAGAGGAAATTTCTGAAGTAAAACCAAAAACTCCAAAGGCAAAGAAATCCTCGAAGAAACCCGTTGAGCAGCAAACAATCCGCATTGAGGAGCTGGCCCCTGAAACCGTCATCGAGGATATCATCAACGAAAAGGGCGAAGAGGTCAAGCAGGTCAAGACCACCAAGAAACTCAAGAAGAAGGATGGCCCCAAGGAGTACATCATTGAGATCACAGAAACGTATCAGGAGAACAATCCCGAGGCCATCATTGAATTTACAACGACTGAAGTGCCCTCTGAGGAGGCGGCACCAGCGGAGCAACCCCTGAAGATTGTTCAAAAGATCAAGAAGAAGAAGCCAGTCAAGGACGATCTGGACAAGTACATCCAAGAGCTGATCGAACAGGAGATTACCAAAACGGAGCTGGAACAGTACGAGCCCACAGAGATGGATGACAAGCCCAAGAAGCCCAAGAAGAAGGTCAAGACACATCACAAGAAAACTGTGGATGTGGTGGATGGTTTCCCGGTGACGATCCATGAATTTAATGTCGAGGAAATCGAACCAGAAGTCGAGGAACCTGAAGAAATAGAACCACTTCCAGAGGATGTGCAGGAGCTGCCACAAAAGTTGGAGGACTCAACCAAATATTTAGTCAATGTTTCCGATGAATTCCTGGAGCATGTGGAAGAAACTCCCGAAGAAAAACCCAAGCCCACAAAGAAGGAAAAGCCACAGAAAAAGAAAAAAGACAAAAAGGAGGAGCTTCCCGCTGTTCCCTTGGAGGAAATCGAACAGACCGTCGAAGTCGTCGAGCAACCCGATGAGGAGGGCACCATCAAAGAGGTGACCATCAAAAAGCGAAAGGTTCTGCGCCGCAAGGGTTCCCAGGAGAAGGTCTTTGAGATCACAGAAACCACCACCAGCGAGGATCAGCCTCTTGCTGAGGTAACAGTCACTGAACTGACCGCCGATGAGGTGGAAATCTCCGAAGAAAAACCCAAACCCGTAAAGAAGATCCTCAAGAAGCCAAAACAATTGAAAAAGGATGAAATTGAGGAATATATTATCAATGTTATTGAGGAATTCGTTGAGCAGGCCCCGATCGAAACTGTGGAAAGTGAGGCAGAAGAAATTCCAGAGGAAAAACCCAAGAAAACTAAGAAAACACCCAAGACATATACGGTCACTGAAACAGAAGAGGAGGCGGACTTGAAGCAACCCGAAGTACCAGAGGAAATATTTGTGGAAGCTGTGGAAATAGTTCTTGAAAAGCCCGAGGAAACTCCTGCCTATACCATCGGTATTACAGAGGAAACTACTGCAGAGGAAAAGCCCAAGCCAAAGTCCAAAAAATCCTCAAAACCCAAGACTCAAAAGCAACCCTCACAAGAGGAATCACCAGAGTATCTCGTGAAAGCCATATCCGAGGAGCAACTACCCGAAGAAGACTTCCCCGAGCACACAACCATCGTCCTGGAGTCGGAGGAGCCTACGCCTTTGGAGACACCATCCTTCCAGATCCAAGAACTCCAAACGGAGGCTGTGGAACAGCAAATCACAGACGACAAGGGAGAAACCACCAAGCAGACTGTCACGAAGCGAAAGATCAAAAAGCAGGTGGGTCCCAAGGAGGAGATCATTGAAATTGTCGAGACCATGACGGAGGGGGATACACCCGAATACGAGGTCATAGTGCACACCGAAGAGGTGGAACCTGTGAAGGAAGACACGCCCCAGATAGAGGCACCCAAAAAGGTGCGAAAAACAAAGAAGGTGCCCAAGGACGACCTCCACGATTATATTCAAAAGCTCATCGAGCAGGACATACCGAAAACGGAATTGGAAAAGTACGAAAAGATCGACTTGGATGAGCCGGTGAAAATGAAAAAGAAACCCGTGAAAAAGGTCAAAGTTCTGGAGGAAAAACCCACCGAAAAGCCACAAGAATCCGAAGAAGAAACATCCCTGCCCGAGGAAGATCAGCCAACGGTAGAGGAGGCCAAGGAAGAACCAAAACTAAAGATCACTGTGCGCGAATTTTCACCGGAAAAGCCCGAAGAAAAGTCCTTTGAAATCGTAGTGTTGGAGGAAACAGTAGAGATTCAACAGCTGCCCGATGAAGAGGGTCAAATCAGGGAAAAGGTCGTCAAAACAAAGAAAATCAAACAGAAAAAGGGTCCCCAGGAGATAGTTCACGACATTGTCGAGGTCACGGATGCAGATACAAATGAATCTGAGATTACAGTCACCACGACAACTCCATCGGAGGAAACTGTGGATGTCGAGCCTGTGGTTAAGCAGAAACGTACCAAGAAGATCAAAAAGGATGATGTCGAGGACTTTATCAAAACTGTGATTGAGGAGGAAGCCCCGAAACCCGTCGAACCAGAGGCTGTTGTGGCTGTCACAGAGGAAACTCCCTCAGAACCTACGCCAGAAAAGCCCAAAAAGAAGACCAAGAAGGAAAAGCCAGCAACCGTTGAGGAGGACAAACCAGAACAAGAGGAAATCTCTGTCGTGGAGAGTGTGCCTGAAGATATTCCGCAACCAGAAGAGCATGTCTTTACTGTGGAGGATTCCATTCCGACTGTAGATGAACCTGAACAAGAGGTCCAGCAAACAGAGGAAACTCCTAAGCCTGAAAAGAAAAAGAAACCAAAGGCAAAGGTCATCGTTGCTGAGGAAGAACCCAAGGCAGAAACCCCCGAAGAGCCTCTAGAAGTTAAGGAAATCGAATCTGTTGCTGATAAACCACAAGATCAAACATTCAGCATATCCATCAAGGAGGAAACCCCATCCCAGGACAAACCCACAAAGAAAAAGACATCGAAAAAGCCACAGGAAACCGCTGAGGACACACCACTCGATTCCTATGAAATTTCCATTAAGGAAAGTTCGGCAGAACCGCTGGAAGAAAAACCATTTACCATCGAAGTGATCGAAAGCGAAACACAGGTCAGGGAGACCACAGATGCCGCTGGCGAGACCCACAAGGAGGTCACCACCAAACGCAAGATCAAGCGACCCGATGGCGAGGGTGAAATCGAAATCATAGAAGTCCTTAGGGATGATCAACCGGAAGCGGAAATCACAATTGTGGAATACGAGCCCGAAGCGCCCACAAAGGAGGATGAGAAGCCCAAGGAACCCAAAAAGAAAACCAAGAAAGTGAAGAAGGACGACATCCACGACTACATACAAAAGCTCATCGACATGGAAACGCCCAAAACAGAGTTGGAAAAGTATGAGAAATTCGATTTTGAACCGACCGTAAAGGATAAACCCACGGAAAAACCCATCGAAGTGGTGGAAGCGGCTCCCGAGGGCAAGCCAAAGAAGGAAAGGAAACCAAAATCCAAGGAAACGACAAAGGAAGCGTCTCCTGTTCCCGAAGAACTGGCACAGGTGAAGATCATCGAGGAAGAAGCTCCCGAAGAAGAGCCTCTGCTGCCCGTTGAGATTGTTGAGGTCCAACCAGAGGAGGTTCACATCCAAGAGATTGTCACGGAAGAGGGTAAACCCATTCAGGAAAAGACCACCAAGCGGGTGCTGAAGAAAAAGGGACCCAAAGAGGATACCACCTACAAGATTACAACCATCGAAAGTGAGGATAATGATTCCGTGACGGTTATTGTCGACGAGGAGCCACAGCCAGAGGCGATCGTTCTTCCAGTGAAAGAACAACCCGAAGAAAAGGAAACGAAACCCAAGCCAAAGCCCAAGAAAACAGTCAAAAAGGTAAAGAAGGAGGATCTAGACGATTATGTTAAGAAATTAATAGAAGAGGAAACACCGAAAGAAACTCCTAAAGTGGTAGAAGAAGAGGTTCTGCCAGTAGAGGAAGCGGTTCTTCCGCAAGTGGAGGAATCCCTTCCAGTAGAGGTAGTCCCCGACTCAACCAAGCCCCAGACAAAGAAACCAAAGACCCAAAAGAAACCCAAGACTGAGACAGACGAACCCACAGAGCAGACGACATACGTAACGACTGTAGAGATACCCAAAGACGATGAGGAAGAGAGCACAACACCAACAACAACAACAACACCGATACATGCACAAGAATCACATGAACCCGAGGACACAGCCACTGCACAAATTACACCGCAAGATGAAGCAACAACAGCACAGAAAACAGTTAAACATAAACAGAAAACAAAACCCGAAACACATAAAGAAATCGTAGAAACACAAACAAGTAAGTTCGCTTTGGAGAAGCGCCCACCCCGCCCCCACACACACACCTACAAAAAAAAAAAAAAAAAAGTTCCCCTACGTATCGCCGCCGCAAAGCAGCAGCAGCAGCAATGGCATATTTTTCGCTCCGTTATTTCTGCGTCTTTTACGCCTTTTATACTCCGTTTTTTTTCCGTGTCTTTTGCTCCGTCTTTTCCATGTCTATTGCTCCTTTTATGCTACCCTTTTTCCCTGTTCTGTTGCTCCTTTTATGCTCCTCTGTTTTCTTGTATTTTTCTCCTTATATTTCTATATATTTTGCTCCTTTTACGCTCCCTTTTTTTCCAAGTCATTTGCAGCTCTTTTACAGCCCTTTCTCCATGTCTTCCGCTGCTCTTTTACTCCAACTTTTTCTATATCTTTTGCTCTATTTTATGCTGCATTTTTCTATATATTTATCTCCTTTTTCCTTGTCTTTTGCTGCTTTTTTTTTTTTGTGTCTATTGCTCCGTTTTTGCTCCTTTGTGACTTTTGTCTTTTCGCGCCTGTCCCGCCTATATTTTTTTCTTTTTTACTCCTTTGTTAAATGCCACAACTGCCCGCGTGTTGCCTCTTCCATTTCCTATCAAATTTCTCTTTCTCTCTCTCTCTTGCTGATGATCTTTCAGATGAATCTGAATACCCTGCCCCCCTCCAACACAATAACCCAATTATTAATACCCTTTTTGCATGAGTGTTCCTACATTTTAATCCATCTTTGATTTATACTCTCTTTAATGATCCACTAAAATCTTATCTAACTCCATCTTTCAACTAATCCTCTGTACAAAATGCCATCTCTATCACCTAAATTATATACCCGAAATCCTTTGTGAAATATATAACTTCCATCTTTCAGTTAACACATCCTTAAATCCTTTGTACAAAATATGTATGTTCAATCCTTCTGTAAATATATTTATCTATATCTCTATCTGTAAATATAGCCTACAAAAAATTTATAATGTCTTCTGTCCAAAGTTTTCTACGATTTTTGCTTGCTTTCTGGCAAAAGCAATGCCTGGTACCTCCACCCCCAACCAAATGGATCCTGGATCCTGGCTGATCCTTTTTGCACCCCCTAAAGATCAAAATTTACTTAACTGTCGATGCATTTTCCATACAGGTGAAGCAACAGAGGTACACAAAGACTATCAAATCAACATCATTCATGAGGAGCCCATTGTCGAGGAGGCGGAGGAGCCCGAGAAGATCCATGAGATACGTGTCATTGATGAGATCTCAGAGATTGAGGAATCCCAACCCATCATTGAGGAAGTGGAGGAAGAGGAGGAGCAACCCATTGCCGAGGACAAGCCCGAGGATGTCACCAAACCCAAGGCCAAAAAGAAGAAGATAATCAAAAAGAAGACCGATGATCATGATGAGATTATCCGCAAATTACTGGAGCAGGAGATCGAGAAAACGGAGCTGGAAAAGTACGAGAAAATCGATTTCGATCTGCCCAAGAAGTTGAAACCAGAATTCGCCAATCTCGAGCCCATGAAAATCGAGCGAAAGGATCAGAAGCCAACCAAAGTGACGATTGTAGAGGCCGCCGAGGTGCCGAAGCAGGTGAAACTGAAGCCTGGCAAACGCAAGGAAAAACCCACCGAAGAGCAGTCCGTACAGTTGCCCAAGTTCCGTCTCAAGACGCGCATGGTTATTGTGGAATATCCGCCGGCGCCATTGATACCCAAGCTAACAGAGATTGGCGCCACAAAGGACAATGGCGAGCTGTCGCGCAACATCGAAGAGGCCGAAGAGGCGCTCAAGTTCAAGAAACCAAAGACCAAGAAGATCAAAAAGATCAAGGACGACAGGGAGAAGGTGGAGCTGGAAAAGTACGAGAAGTACGTCAGCAGCGAGGAGGAGCCCGAGGAGCAGAAACCCTACCAGAAGCCCGAAAAGACTCCCAAGCCCAAGGAAACGCAAGAAGAAGTGAAAATAAAGCTTGGAAAGGGCAAAAAGAAGCCCAAGGAGGAGGAACAGCCAGAGAATGTGACCCTCAAGAAGATACCACAGAAGCCACAGGAAGTCGAAGAAGAAGTGGAGCTCCAGCGCAAGCCCAAGGAGGTCGTTGTGGTCGAGGAAGAGCCCAAGGAGCCCAAGGAAGGACACTTTGTGGTGCCACCCTTCGAGCCCGTGGACTTTGAGCCTTCGGAATACGTGCCCGAGGAACTGCAGCCCATTGAGCATCCCGAGAAGCCCGAAAAACAAAAGAAACCCACGAAAACCAAGTACAAGCCCAAGGATAAGTCCAAGCCAGAGCCGGAAACAATCGTCTCAGAGATTGTGCCGGGTGTGCCCAAGGCAGAGGAGGAGGTACCCGAACTGCAGGTGAAGTTCCGCATTCCCGAAAGTGAAGCTCCAGAGGAGATCGACTCTCAAATCAAACTGAAACCAGTGCCAAAGATCCCTGAGGCTGAGGCACCCGTGGAGGCAGCCATCGTCCAGCCAAAGGTTGAGGAGCCCAAGCCAGAGGAGATTCCAGAGATTCCCCAAGAGGAGGCCAAGAAACCAAAGAAACCCAAGGCCAAAAAGGTACAGCCAAAGGAGGAGCAGGAGGTCGCCGAGGAAGCGCCACAAGAGTTTGAGGTCTCCGTGAAGGACGAAGAGGCACCAGAGGAGGCTCCCATTGAAGAAGAGAAGCCCAAGGAGGTGAAGGTCAAGCAAAAGAAACCCAAAGAGGAACCTGTGGCCCAAGTGGTCGTCACGGAGGAAGCACCGCAGACTGAAGAAGTGCCCGAGGACATACCCGTTGAGTACAAAATCACAACGACAGTCCTGGAGCCCGAAGAGGCGCCCAAGGAGCACAAGGTGCGTGTCATCGATTCAGATGAGCGCCGCGAGACCACCGAAGAAGTCATCGAAGAAAGGGTTGTGACGCGCCGCAAGAAACCAAAGCCACAGCAACCCGAAGAGTACGAGGTCACGCTGCAAGAGCCGCTGGTGCAGGAACCCGAGGTCGAAGAGGTCACCGCCGAGGTCACCATTCCCGTGGAGAAACCTGTCGAGGAAACAGAGGAATTTGCAGTTGAACTGAAGCTCACAGAACCCACACCCGAAGAGCCTCTGCCCCAGGAGATCACAGTCAAGGAAAAGTCCAAGAAGAAACCCACGAAGGAGGTCAAGGAAGAGAAGATTGTGGTCGTAGAAGAGGAGAAGATACAACCTGTGGAACAGGAGGAAATCGTAGTGGAAGAACAGCCGCAAGAAAAGAAAAAGACAAAGAAACCCAAGTCCTACGAGTTCAGTGTCACAGAAACGGAAGCGCCCGTCGAGGAGAAGCCCGTGGAAGTGATCGAAGAAGCTCCCAAAGTAGAGGAGGAGCAGCCCGAAGAAAAGGTCATCGAGTCCTTCGATTCGTATGAAATCACTGTCAAGGAAACAGAGGCTGAAAAGGTCACTACCGTCGAAGAACAACCCGAGTTGGAGGAAGCACCCGCCGAGGCTGTGTTCAAGCGTAAACCCAAACCCCAACCCGAGTCAGTGGAGGCTGAATTTGTCTTGACAGAACCCAAGAAAACAGAGGAAATCCATGTGGAAACCGAAATCAAGCAAAAGAAAACGAAAAAACCAAAGAAAACCGAAGAGGCAGCTGCTGAATTGGAGATCAAGGTTGTGGAGGCGGAGCCAGCCCCCGAACTGCCCGAAGAAGTGCCCGAGGAAATCCAACCACAAATTGTGGAAAAGCAGGAAATTGTTGTGGAAGAAAAACCTCAAGAGTTCACGGTACGCGTCTCGGAAACGGAAGCACCAGAAAAGCCCGCGGAGGAGCCACAAGGTGAGGCACAGTTCACGGTCAAGAAGCGCAAGCAATCGGTGACCTTTGCCGATGAGCCGGCCACAGAGATAATCCTCACGGAGCCCAGACCCATCGAAGAGGTCACAGAGGAGGCCCAAATCAAGACCAAGAAACCCAAAAAGAAGGTCAAGGAGGTGGCAGCCGAAGAGCTAAAGATTCAAATCACCGAGGAAATCCCCGAGGAGGCAGCTCCCATCATCGAAGAGATCGAGGAAGTGGTCACCGAAATCAAGGAAGTGGTGGCTCCCAAGGTGGAGGATAAGACGTACAGGATCGGTGTCACGGAAACGGAAGCACCCGAGAAACCTGTCGAGGAGATTCCACAGGAAGTAGAGGTAGTTGCCGAACCAATTGTGGAAGAACCTGAGCCACAAGTCTACGAAGAGCACAAGGTACGGGTCATTGAGGAGACTCCCAGGGAAATAGTGGAAGAATCCATCGAGGAAGAGGTCAAGGTGATTCGCAAGAAGAAACCCAAGCCAGAGGTCAAGGAGGAACCCGAAGCGGCCGTCTCTATACCCGCTCCAAAGCCCATCGAAGAGGTCGAAGCCGTTTCCAGCATCACCATCGTGCCCGAACAACCCACCGAAGAGGAGGCCGCCGAACTCAAGATCACCATCATCGAAGAGCAGGCCCCCGAGGTGGAGCTCGTCCAAGAGATCGAAGAAATCGAAGAGGCACCCGCTGCGGTGCCCACCGTAGAGGAGCTGCCCGAGGAGCAGGTGACGCTGCAGAAGAAGAAAAAGAAGGTGCCAGTGGTTGCCCCTGAAGTGGTGGAAGAGCCCGAGGCAGAGTTTGTGCTGAAACCCAAGCAGCCCGTGCAAGAGGTCTCCGAGGAGGCCAAGATCAAGAAGAAGCCCAAGAAGGCAGCGCCTGTGGAGGAGGCTGCCGCGGAGCTGCAGGTAACCATCACAGAGGAGGTGCCCGTCGAGCCAGAGCTAGTCCAGGAAATCATTGAGGAGATCGAGGAAGTCATAGAAGAGAAGCCCAAAGAGATTCCCCAAGAGAAGCCCAAAGAGTACACCTTTGGCATCAAGGAAACGGAACCAGAGATCCAAGAGCAGGCAGAAGTGGCTCTTCCCAAGAAAAAACCAAAGGAAATCCCAGTCGTAGAAGAACCCGAGGCTGAGGTCACCCTCAAGCCCAAGCCAAAGGTCGAAGAGGTCCAGGAAGAGGCAAAGATTGTCAAGAAAAAGCCCAAGAAACCCGTCGAAGAAGTCGCCGCCGAAGAACTCACAGTCAAGATCGAAGAGGAGGTCATACCCGAACCCATTGTCATTGAAGAAGAAGAAATTGTTGAGGAGGTGCAGCTAAAGAAAAAGAAGGCTCCCAAGGTGGAGCCCGTACCCGAGGATATTGTGGATGATGCCGTGTTCAAACTCAAGAAACCTGAACCCGTCGAAGAAGCCGAAGAAGTGATTGCTGAAGTCACACTGAAGCCGAAGGCACCCAAGGAGATCCACGATGAAGAATTCTCTGTGGATGTGAAGCTGCCAAAGGAGAAGATCATCACCGAAGAGACCTCCGATCAGACGGTGCAACTGAAGAAGAAGAAGAAGCCACAGAAGCCCGTGGAAGAAGCCGCCGATGAGTTGCAGCTGCAGCAAACGGTCGTGGAGGAGAGGCCCGTGGAAATCGAAGAAGAGGAAATCATCGAAGAGGCCGTCATTGTGCGCCGCAAGCCCAAGAAACCCTTCGAGCCATCCGTGGAGGAGCACGAGGAAACCGAGTTCAGTCTCTCGTTCAAGAAGCCCCACACCATCAATGAGGGCGTGGAAGAGACGGGCACCGTCCTAAAGAAACGCCCCCAGAAGCCACAAACCTTGGACGAGGCTGCCGCCGAACTGTCCATCAAACGCCAGGAAGAAGAGTACGAGGAGGGCGAGGACATTGAGGAGTTTGTTGTCAGCGCCAGGGCCAAGAAGAAGCCTCTGCAAATCACCGAAGAGGACGAGGAGGCCTACACGGTGAAGAAGCAGCTGCGCCGCAAGAAGGTGGACATTCCAGAGTACGGAGAAACGGAGAACGTGACCTTCCGCGCGCGCACCACAAAGACCAAGGAGGATGTCGATCAGGAGTTCAACATTGCCCTCGATTCGTATGCCGAGGAAGAGGTGTCAATGTCGGGCAAGATTAAGATCAAGAAACCCATCAAGAAGACCTACAACGAGGCCGCCGATGAGGCAAAGATTAAGATCATGCAGGACTACGATGATGGCCAGGAGCAAATCATCGAAGAGATACGCGACGATGAGGACACCATCGATGAGGTGGAAGAGCCCGAAGAGTATATGGTTGAGGAGCTGCCCCCAGACGAGGTGGACTTCAAGCTGAAGCCCAAGAAGCAGCCAAAGCCCAGCTATTCCGTACAGGATGAGGAGGAGGAACAGTTCCTGATTGGCATACGTCAGCCCAAACGGGATTCCATTACGTACGATGAGGATTCGCTGACCTTCAAAAAGAAGCGAAAGGTTATCCAACAATTGTACAATGAAGGTAAGTCAGTGCGATCCATACAGAGATGCCCCACAGTTAATGCTAAAAAAAAAAAAAAACATTTATACATTCTGCTTATATGATATCACAGCGTGTGGCAAGGTAAAATCTTTACCCAAACCAAAACAAAAATACTTGAGTGTCAGTAGCTAATGCATAACCACCCCCCCACCACCCCATTTATTCTTGCAATAAAAAAAAAACCAGCATGTAAAACGTTTTGGCTGCAATGAAATCTAATATGGTTTTTTTCTCTTTTGGCACAGATGGAGCGTCGCTGAATATCACCAGGGAAATGAATGTTGAAGGTAGGTTCCTCTTTATGTGCCTCTTAATATTTTTTTAGTTTTTAATAATATAGTTAAAATAAACAGCTGTTTTTTCTTACATTACATTCCTTCAATGAAAAATTTGCTATATATTTTTTCTGAATATTTCCATTGACTGTATAATATTCTTCTAGAATTTTGGAACATTTTCCATTTAAATCTAAAAATTTGAACAATTTTCCTGAAAATAGAAACAATTAATAATACAAATAAATCCATAGCTGTATCCCATCTTTTATGGGCACATTTATGCAGCTATTTCTTTGATTTGCCCATCAGAATTATTTTCCCCTTGAAAAAAAAGTGCACTCCCACTTATAATCCTCTGCTTCGCTTTCTAGAATCGGAAAATCTCAATGTTATGTATTCGATATGCAATTACATTGCCGACAACGATGAGGCCATCAATCTGGTGGAAGGTGAAAAGGTCACAGTGGTGGGACGACACAGTTCCGAGTGGTGGTACGTGAAGAAGAGCATCACCGAGGAGGAGGGCTGGGTGCCGGCCCAGTATCTAATGGAGCCCGAGGAGTATGCACAATATGTGCAGAATAAACTGCACGAGAAGATTGATAAGCTGCCAGTGTTTGAACGTAAGTTGATCCATGTCCAATCTAAGCACTTAAATGTTATCCAAAGCTAAGGCAACGTGCAGAGTAAATCTTTGTGCTGCCTGATCTTTGATGCAACTAAAAAGACCATTGTCCCGAGTATATTGTCTGTTGTCTTCGTTTATTGTTTAACTAACAAATCGATGATCGTTTTGTGATTTTTGTGAATCTGTTAAGGTCCCGGACCCGAAGACAAGCCCATTGCCCCGCGTTTCATTGAGAAACTGCAGCCCATACACACGCCCGATGGCTATACGGTGCAGTTCGAGTGCAAGGTGGAAGGCAGCCCCCGGCCACAGATCGCCTGGTTCCGCGAGACGGCCATCATTAAGCCGTCGCAGGATTTCCAGATCTTCTACGATGATGATAATGTCGCCACTTTGATCATTCGCGAGGTATTCCCCGAGGATGCTGGCAAATTCACGTGTGTGGCCAAGAATGCCGCCGGTTTTACATCGAGCACCACGGAACTGATTGTGGAGAGTCCGCTGTCCGATCATGGCTCGGATGCCACTGCCCTGTCGCGTCGCAGCATGTCCCGTGAATCCTCACTGGCCGACATACTGGAGGGTATACCGCCCACCTTCTCGAAGAAACCCAAGGCCCAGTATGTCGATGAGAACACAAATGTGATCCTCGAGTGCCGTCTGGTGGCCGTACCGGAACCGGACATAGTGTGGACCTTTAACGGGGAGGACATTGACGAGGAGGAGATCAAAAACATTCGAATTGTCACCGAATCCGATATGCACATGTACTGCAGTGTGGTGCACATAACCAAGGTGAAGAAATCGCAGGAGGGCGTCTACGAGGTGATCGCCACCAATCGCGAGGGTGAGGCACGTCTGCCCATTACCCTCAAGGTGCGCACCAACGAAAAGGAGGCACCGCAGATCCTCGAACCGCTGCGCAACATGGTCATACGCGAGGGCGAGAGTGTCGTTCTGTCCACCCACATTGTGGGCAATCCGCCGCCAAAGGTCACATGGTATAAGGATGGCAAGCCCGTTAAGAATGCCAAATCTGATAAGGATTTGCATACCCTAACGCTGATCACACCGAAGAAAACGGAAAAGGGCGAGTATACGGTAAAGGCGGTGAATCCTTTGGGCAGTGTGGAGACAACTGCAAATCTAACAATTGAAGGTAGGTTTTGTTTCATGTCTAACGGATGGATGGATCTCCCTCTCTCTCTGGATAATCTGTACTAACTCTCGTATATATTTTTCCTTCCCTTCCCTTCCCTTCTCTGTAGAGCCCACAAGTGGAAATGCCGAGCCGCCGCTATTTGTGGAACGTTTCGAGGAACAAAATGTCCCACAAAAGGGCGAGATACGTCTGCCCGCCAAGGTCTCGGGCAATCCCGTGCCCGAGGTCCAGTGGCTGTTCAACAATGCCCCACTGTTCCCCAGCGAACGCATTCAACAGATCTACGATGGCGAAACGATCGAACTGATCATCAAGAATGCCAATCCGGAAACAGATTCCGGGGACTACAAGTGCATTGCCAGCAATCCCATTGGCAAGACATCGCACGGGGCGCGTGTCATTGTGGAGGTCGATGAGGTGACCTTTACCAAGAAATTAAAGAAAACCATCACCATCGAGGAGGTGCAATCGCTGACGCTCGAGTGTGAGACGTCGCATGTCGTCACCACCAAGTGGTTCTTCAACGGCAAGGAGCTATCCGGCATGGATCATCGTGTGGTCGTCGAGGATGGCAAAACGCACAAGCTGGTCATCCGCAACACCAATCTGCGCGACTCTGGCACGTATGTGTGCAAGGTTAAGAAGCAGGAAACAACATCCACCGTGGAGGTTCTGCAGCGTAAGCCCGATTTCATCAAGGTACTCGAGGACTACGAGGTAACCGAAAAGGATACAGCCATTCTGGATGTCGAGCTGACCACCGAAGCCACCGAAATCACTTGGTTCAAGGATGGTGAGAAGATCACAGTCGAAAATAAGAATGTCGAATTCATCAAGGATGGCAAGTCGCGTCGCCTGGTGATCCGTGACACCACCATTCACGACGAGGGCGAGTATACGTGCAAAATCGAGGGCCATGAATGCTCCTGTGAGCTGACGGTCATTGAACTGCCGCCGGAGATCATCCATCCACTGGAGAATGTCGCTGTCACGAAGGGTGAGAATGCCATCTTTGAGCTGGAGCTGAGCAAGGGCGATGCCCTCGTAAAGTGGTTCAAAAACGGCAAGGAATTGGTCTTCAATGAACGCATTCAGCTGGCCATCGATGGCAAAAAGCAGTCGCTGCGCATAGTTAAGGCCAGGCCAGAGGACGCGGGCGAATATTCCATTCAAGTGGGTGAACAAAGCTCAAAGGCCACACTGACAGTGGAGGAGCCACTGGTGGACTTTGTCGTCCGTCTGCCCGACGTCACTTTGGCCACAAAGACCACCGATGCCGAGTTCACTGTGGAGCTGTCCCAGCCCGATGTGGAGGTGACATGGTTCAAGAAGGGTAAGCCCATCAAACCCAACCCTAAGCACGAGGTATTCGTGGAGGGCACTGTCCGACGGCTGGTCATCCATGAGGCCAGCGACGAGGATGCTGGCGAGATCAGCTGTGTGGCCGAGAACGTCACCAGCAGCACAAAGCTGTGCGTTGAAGAGCTCAAGCTGCCGCCCGTCATTACCTCTGACAAGGAGCAGACCCTCAAGGTGAAGGAGAACGAGGATGCCACATTCACTGTCAAGTACACGGGCGGTGCACCGCAACCGGAGGCCATTTGGACCACCCGTAATGTTGTCATACCCAAGTCAAAGCGCGTTACGCCATCGATTGATGAGCAGTGTGCCACATTGACCCTGCGCAAGGTTGTCGACGATGACGAGGGCGAGTATACGGTGAAGCTGGTGAATCCCGTGGGCGAGGCAGAGGCCAGCCTACATTTGGTTATTATGCGTAAGTACACCAGCTGCCACTGCCACTAGCCACCAGCCACTTACTGTGGCAAGACCCAAATCATAATTAAAATAATCCTTTTATTTTTTGTTTTTGTTGGTTCGCAGGCAAACCCACGGCACCTGGCACTCCACAGCCCCTCGAGGTGATGCATGACTCCATTACGCTGTACTGGAAGGCGCCCGAGGATGATGGAAAGTCCGAAATAATTGAATACATTCTCGAATATCATGATGTTAAGGAAGAAAAGTAAGTGGCCAAGACATGAAGACAGGAACATAGGAACTCCCACAGACCTTTCTGGGAAAAATTCGTAAAATTTCGTTTCTAACTCTAAACATTTTGCTACCTTTTGCAGATGGACTGAAATACGTAAAATCAAGGATACCACCTATACCATCTCCAAGCTGAAGATCGACACGGAGTATGTGTTCCGTTCGATAGCCGTGAATGAGGTGGGACCCTCGCCGCCATCGCCCCTGTCGCCGCCCATTCGTCTGGTGCCAAAGGTGGAGACAGAGGCGCCAAGCGTGCGCGAGGCACTGCAGGATGTGTCGAGTGAGCTGGACAAGGAGGTCACACTGTCCTGTGTGTTTGGCGGCATTCCAGAGCCAAAGGTCCAGTGGAAGAGGAACGGACAGGCGTTCGAGTCGACGAGCGTGCGCTACGAGAACCGTGTGGCCAAATATATTATCGAAAAGACAACAATTGAGACTGAAGCCACGTACACGTGTGTGGCTACCAATGAGAGGGGCTCCGTGGAGACCTCCTGTAGACTGAAGCTGCAACAGAGGCCCATTGTCGAGGTGGAGGACAAGTATCTGCAACAGAAGCTCCGCACAGGCAGCACTCTCACCATTCCAGCAACGGTGCGCGGCTATCCACAGCCCACGGTCACATGGCACAAGGACACCATCGAGCAGAAGACGACGGTGTCCATTGAGACCACAGAGACGACATCCACGTATTCCGTGAAGAAATTGACCCGCGAGCACTCTGGCAAGTACAAGGTGACGGCCACGAATGACTCCGGCTCCGCGTATGTCGAGTGCACTGTGCAGGTGATCGATAAGCCCAGTCGCCCGCAGTCCCTGGAGATTAAGGATGTGAAGAAGGACTCCATCATACTGGAGTGGACACCGCCGGTCGATGATGGCGGTCTGGACATTAACAAGTATACGCTGGAAAAGTGTGACGTTCAAAATAATGTGTGGATGAAGGTCTCCGACTTTGACAAGGACATTCATTCGTATGCCATTCAGAAGCTGTCCATTAACTCCCAGTACATGTTCCGTGTGGTGGCCGCCAATCCCATTGGTGAGTCCGAGCCCACGGAATCGGAGACTGTGACGATAACCAAGAAGTTTGGTAAGCAAAAACAAAGAGACTTTAAATTATTCCACAGATATAACTGCTATATTTTACGCTCCAGATAAACCCTCACCACCGCGTGGCCCTACCAATGTCTCTGGCATGAACGACACTTCCTTTACGCTGGCCTGGGAGCCATCGGAGAGCGATGGTGGCTCCAAGATACTCGAATATATTGTGGAGATCAGGGAAGAGACTGAGACCATCTACCGTTCGGTGGGCACTACCCTCGGCACTGTCACGAACATTCATGTGGAGCAGGTGCTGCGCACAAAGGGCTACTTCTTCAGGATTTATGCCCGCAATGAGGCAGGCACCAGCGAGGCCTACGAGACCACCGAAAAGATCCTTGTGGGTCGTAAAATAAGTACGTTTTTTTCCTTACCCCATCAAAACTAAGCTTTTTCCTCTTTGCTTATTTGCTTTTGCTTTTCTTTTCAAAAAAAAACCCTTCTAATGCTTTGCTGCCATTTCTAACAAACAGCCAATGAAAATGAGAATGGTACGTGGCACACACATGCATCAAAAGTTTTGGGTAAAACCCCTTCATTAATTTACAAATTTTTCTGTCTGCGTAGCACCGCCATCGCCGCCACAGAATCTGAGAGCACCAGATGTCACGAGCCGCAGTGTGACCCTCGATTGGGAGGTCCCAGCGCGCAATGGTGGCTCCGAAATTACAGGTAACTTGTACAAATTTCCCATCAGCTAGGAGCAGCAGCAGCATAAATATCCCCTTTCCCTGTAGGCTATTGCGTGGAGAAACGTTCATCGACATCCACGACCTGGACAAAGGTCATTACCCTGGATGCACATCAGCTGCACTATACGATCGATAATCTGAAAGAGAAATGCGAATACTGGTTCCGTGTCTCGGCGGAGAATGAGATGGGGCTGGGCGCCCCAGCCGTCACCGAGAGCATATCCCTCAAGACACATGCCAGTGAGTAATCCTTAATCCTGGAGCCATCTTCTTTTATCTAATTCATTTGTCCCGCTTTGTAGCCGTTCCCTCGCCACCGACGGCCCCACTGGAGGCGCGTGTTCTCGCCGCCAATGCTCACATATTCGAATGGGGTATACCCGAGTCAGATGGAGGTGCACCACTGCTCGGCTACCACATTGCCATACGTGACATGAAGAAGACCATGTGGATAGAGGTGGGTCGTGTGCCGGCGGGTGTGCAGCGCTTCCAGATACGCGATCTGCAGGAGAATCACGAGTACATGATACGGATATTCGCCAAGAATGAGATCGGCTTGAGTGAGCCACTGGAATCGGAGGAGCCCTACAAGGTTATGACAGCAGGTACGTGTGCGATTTTCCTCTAAGGAACAAAAGAAATCATCACATTTCCCGAATTTTTGTTGTTTTTTTCAGGCCATGAAAGCCTGCCCGAAGAGCCACGCACCGAGATGAGCTCGTGCAACACATCGTCGTGGCTAAGGGATCATAATATGGATGCCGATATCCATTCGTATGCTCGGGGCAGGCTCCTGCAGCGTGATGAGTACTTCTTCAGGCTGTGGGCGCAGATGCCCAGCAGCAGCAAAAAGAAGAAAAGCCTCAAATAATTCATCAAGAGAAAACAAACCAAAACAAAACAAAACGACAACGAAAGAAAAACTTTAGTCATAGTTTAACCATATTTCCCGGCCCCCCCTTACCCGAACCCAACATCCCCCCTCCCTTTGATTTTCTAGCTTTTTGTACTTTTAATGAAATGATGTAAGGATTGATGTAATGATTGAAGAAGCTGCCCACCCATTGTGCTGGCGATGCCCACACAGACGGGGCCCGTGCGGGTCCGCCACTCGAACGGAAAGTGCGAGCGAAGAAAAGTATTTGATGCTCGAGTGTACGTCCCTCCCACACCATGCCCCCGTGTGTGGGCGTGGCACCAATGTGTCAATGTGCGCCATTACACGATCTAAATAGAGAATATCCTTAGAGGTTTTTTGATTTTATGATTTTATTTTTGTAAGCTGTGATAAATCGTATCCAAAAAAAAGAAAAAGAAAAAACAAACAAATCGAAAAGCGTCAAACGAAAAAGATAAATAAATGCCTGTGCCACACACACACAAAAGATGGCGAGATTCCATTTGGTGGAGGCATCGGGCAACAGTTGCCAGAGGATTCGACCCGAAATGTTTAATCCCCAAAACACCATCCAAACGACAGACAAACCCCCCGGAAATAACTCAAAATATCTCAGAACAAATGGTGCAACATTCGATGGATACTTTGAGTTATCTTCTGGTGGCAAGTATTCGGTTCTGACTCGCTGACTCCTGTTGCCTTTGCCCCCCTGTGGATACCCTCGGATATTTGTGGCACATAGAAATTTATGGCAATTAAAGTTACACACACACTCATATGTCCTTAAAGTTATAGAAAAACCATATAAATATATATGAAATAAATAAATAAATTAAATATAAAATGTATTAACAATTCATGATTTTTTCTCAAGTGCTTCTGCTGCTGCTGCTGCTGCTGGCCCCTTCAAGTGTGTTGGTTTGTGGCAAGTTTCGGGTTTCTGTGCAGCTCCCCCCCAACCGACAAAATCAACTAATTAATTCATTAGGCGAGTTTGAACTGAGAACCCCTCCTGGTCGCATATTTCCCATATAACTTTGCTGTGGGAAAAGTTTTCAATTTCCATTCGGGGGGAAATTTTCATGCCTTCTTTTTTTGGTACCCTTACAATAGAAGGGTATGTAACAGACAGACGGAAGCTACAGAATTCATCAGCAAACACAGGGAAACATTTAATCAGACTTCTTTTGAGTAACACACAAAGGGATATTTTTTTAAAGATCTGAATTCATATTAATGCAAGCTTTAGAATAAATCATTAAATGACAGGTTTATGCCACTAATTTGTAGGAATAATACTTCAATTTTATAAGAGGGATTCATGCAGTAATACCCTAAAACCTAAAAGCCTAAAACCCACCTAAAAGTAGGGGTTTTTTTTCTTCTAGATCTTTTCAGATCTCCTCTACTCTACTAAGGGGTACATTTTGGTCTAGCCCTAGCAACTCTAGCACTCTCACGCTCAGCCTTTTTTGTTTTGTTCTTTGTAATATTCCAGTTGAAAACTTAAAGCCTTCGCTGTCCGCTTCTCTGGCTGTCTGGTCTGGTCTAATGGCAAACAAAGGAACTCCTCTGGACTCACTATCTCTCTCTCTCTCTCTCTGTCTTTTTCTCTGTCACGCATATGAGTGTCCCTCCGTTTGGGGCGTTGGCAAAACTTATATCTGGTGACATGGCGGGGCAAATGCTGCATAAACTTTCCCCACACAGAAGCAGCATCCGAGCGGAGCGAAGAGAATTGTGTGTGCGAGAATTTAATTAAAGTTTGGTGCGGTTGCCACTAATCAAAAGATATTATCTATCTCCGACAACGACTTCCTCTCTCTCTCTCTCTCGTTCTCTTTGCAGTGCGGCTAGACGCAGTAATTTGGAAGCAGTTTCAAGGGGGAGGGAACAATGGGGGCAAGATTGGAAGATTGGATGATGTGGAGATGTTGGAGAGAGGGCGCTAAAAACCCATAAAGCTAAAACATATTTCCGGCACTTTAAATTGCAAAAAAAAAAAACAACAAACATACAAACAAAAGGCAGGAGGCTAAGGCTTTGGCTTTGGCTTTGGCTTCGGCTTCATTTGGCAGCACAAACAAACAGCCAGAACCTCCTGCCTGCCTGCCTCCCCTTCCTCATATATGTATGTGTATTCCATATCCTATATCCGAGTATCTGTAGTTATTGATATACTGAAAAGATACTTCCCAGGAGTGGCAGAGTGTGAGAGCGTCTTGTTCTAAGCGGAAATTTCATTTACTTTTGTTTGCGTTGTGTTTTTTTTTTCCTCCTACGCTAGCACTCAATTTTCTTCGTGCTTAGTTTTTCCTCTCTTTTTTTTCGTCTCTCTTCTTGTGTTTATTTTATTTGTGTGGCCCATGAAAATTGGAAACTGCTGCTAAGCGGCTTTAAATGCTGGAAGTTTTGATACATTTTTCAAGCAGAATTTTCTTCTTTTAAAAAGTATCTGTTTTCAGAGGTTTCCTTGTTCTACCTATTAGTGATGGTTTATTAAGGAGAAAGTGGAAGAAATACTGGGAGGGAGAGACAGCGCTTGAGCGCTCCGTCGTAATACAATTGTAAAACTTGTAATAGAATTTGGAAAAGTTCTCTATCCTTGAAAAAAAAACACACAGAAATTACACATCAACTTTATGGGTTGCACGTAGAAAATTGACAAGGCCTCTGGTTATACCCTGTATTCAAGCATTACATGGGGCGTGGGTATATTCAATTTGTGCAATTGCCAGGCAGAAACAACTTTCTATCGGTTTAATTTTAAAGACAGAATTTATTCCGAAAACGTATTGAAGCGCACCCTGACGTTTGGCTCTTTAAGCACCTGGCTTAGGATTTATTAATTAATTATTATTAATTAATTTTTTTTATTATTATTACTTATTAATGCTACAGCATCTGCTATTTTAAATGAATATATTGTCATTTATTCCCTCATATTTGTAGTATTTTTCAGTGCTCTTTATAGATATGTATTCGTATTTTTAGTATTTATGGGTATTTTCTAGCACCCTTAAGAAAGTATCCAAGTAGACCAATAAAACACCGGGTATCTTAGTGTCGAGGCACGTGTCAGCGCTCTGACTGATTTTTCTTTTGCTTTTGTGCCTTTTTCCGCAATTTCCTATGCGAGGTTTTGGTTTTCTACTGTTTTGGCTTATTTCCCATGTCAAGGCTCGTCAAACGTGAGATGATGGCATAAAAACAAAAGAAAATAAAAGTAAAACCAAAAAGAAAACAAAGAGACAGTAGAAAGTTGGCCAAGTTTTTTGCCTAATTACTTTCCCCAAAAAAAAAAACCACTCGCAGGGAAACTGGTGGGTAAAACTCATTTGTTGGTCCAACAAATAAATGTAATTATCAAGAAGAAATCAAATTTGGGACAATACTAATGAAATTTTTACATGAAAAAGAAGGAATATGTTTTTTTTTTTTCATAGAAGAGAAGGCATTGAAATTTGTATAGAAAACATTTTCAGTGTCCAAAAAGTATTTTTTGTTCACCAACAACAAAACATCGAAATTTATAATTAGCTTTTATAAAATGTGTGCCAAATGTAGCACCAAAAACTATTCAAATCCGCAAGCATTTCTCAAGTTTATGCGACAATACCAGCGAGAGCATAAGCATATCAATCCATTCGAGGCTTTGGTCTGCAGCGCCAAGGCATGGGGCAAGCTGACGCCAAAACAGAAGCGCAACTTTGCAACAGTAAGCAGTACCAGTACAGTTCCATTTATTCCCTTGATTCCCTAAATTCTTTTTAATCACTCTTCAGGATAAAAATCGTTTAAAGCCCACCAAGTTTAATCTGAAATCCATGCAACAAAGTGCTTGCCAACGACGAAAGTTGACGACTGTGAAAAGGCGAAAGAAATCCTGCAGGAAGAAGCCCATATGCAAATCCCAGGCCAAATCCATGTGCAGAGCCAATTTGAATTGCAAATCCAATCGAAAGCCAAAGAAGTCTTGCCGCAAAAGCAAATCCAAACTGCAGAAGAGATTCAGCAAGCCCAAACCCATGAAGAAATGCGTAAAAAAGGCGGGAGAGCAGTACATTATTTATTTAAACGATGTACCATCCAACTCTCAGTCGCCGAATCATTGCATCATTTGGCGTTCCTGCAAGGCTTTTAGCAATTTTATGAATGAATATCGTGCCAAATGCAGCGATCCTGATGCTTCGGATGTCATGCAAAACGGTGCCAGAGCCTGGCAAATGCTCACGAACTTACAACAGAGCAAATATCACCATCCGGTATGTTGCACCCTGCCCTGCACCTTTAATTCTTTATCTATATCTTTAACTTTTAGGTGATTTAAATGTGCAAAAAGTAGGATCATTGGTGGTAAATGTTTCTTTAAGTTGGCTAAAAACAATATTTAAAATTAAAGAATAAATCTCTGAAAAAGTGTAAAAAGGAAAAGTATTTTTTGCAGTCAGGATAAATGGATTCCCAATGACCTTGTAAGCCTTGTAATCTTTGTTTTTTAAAAGAAATATTTAAATAATATATTTTTTAGTTGATGAAAATGTTTTAAAGGATAAAAAGAATGTCACAGTACCTTTTCTAAATTGCAGTAATTCCAATTCCAGAGCAAACAAACGTAATTTGAGAAATCTGTAGGAAAACAAAAACATTTTAGAAGTATATTCTCAATAATCTTAAATAAATAAATATTTTAAGGGGTTTAAAGGGATACAGAATACTAAAATACAGAAGAATTCAGTAATCCAGACGTTTTCCTGTATGTCTTCCAAATTATATTATTTCAGTTATTTCAATTCAGTTCTTCCTTTTGGGTTCCAATTCCAAAACAATTAAAGAGACACATACGATTACTAAATCGTAAAGATGCTCCCCAAATGTTGGGCGGCATATAAAATGTTAATTGCATGGCATCCAAGTCACAACGACAGCCCCCCAATGAGTCGCTTTGCTAGAGATTAGTGCTGTTCTTCCCTGCCCCCCATTCAGTCATTTACGATGCGCAACACGGCTGCTCCACAGTTGTGTGCTCTATTCGGGCGGGGGATAGCTCCCAGGAGCTTCCACCAAAAGCAATCGTATATGTGATGTAATTGCCAGGAATAAACATCCAAAGGACAAGCGGATGAATGCCCCATGCCACATGTTGCGACGCAAGCCACAAAAAGCAGCATCATAAACGAAAATGAAATAAAAAACAGAACACAACTTCCGGTGTGTGGTGCGGTGTGGCTTCTGTCGCCTCTCCTGCCTGCAATCCGAAACCGTTTCCGGAAGAGTAAGTAAACATTTAAGATGGAAAATACATGACATGAATGGCGGCAGCAATGAATCGTTGCACAACCAGTTGTTGCAACAACAGTGCCACACACACACACACACACACACACAAGGGCACACACATATGTATGTATCTTCAAGTGCATGTATCTGTAGCTGTATCTATGGTTATTACGGATTCAACAAGCGCAGCTTTTTAAACCAGCCATTTAAATGGCAAAACTTTGAAAGAACTTTCCTTCTGTACATTCCAGACCCCCCCAGGGCTGGCCCCTGGCATATTGTAAATATAAAACTTATTTATTGCCCCGATTGCCTCTCTCGCTTCGTTCCTTTTTCACCTTTTTGGTTGTTCGCTCTTTTACTTCCACCTCCACTGCCGTTACTCTGTTACTCGTTCCTCTATCTCCATCTCCTTTTGCTTCTGTTATTCTTCCCCTCTCTTCGCTTTATTCGTTTTTTTACTGATATTTCCCTGGTATATCCTGTCCACATCCTTCGCATCGAATGCATCCGCTCTCCGCACTGCTACAAGTACATGTTACCTCCTCACCTCTCCCGACCAACTTGAACACGTTTTTAAAATCTTTTTTTTTTCTTCTGAATGTGTAGCCAATTCATAAAATTTACCAGCAATAAAGAGACACAGAGACAGACAGAGAGAGAGTGGGTAAAACCAATTTAAAATTTAATAGAGACATTTACTGTACAAATTAACAGCAAATTTCATTGCTCTATGGAGTCCTCTCGCCTCCTGTCCTTCGTCTGACTGTCTGCCTGTCTGCCTGATGCCATTTCAAAAATCAAGTGTGCTGAAAATTAAATTTCACAAACTGTTTTCATATAAGAGATGTCTCGGGGAATGCCGGAATGAGGGCATGGGGCCACGAGTATCTGAGTGCGGTAGGAGGTAGAAACTATGCAGCAGGCAGCAGCAGCAGCGGGAGGAGGGAGCTGTAGGTACAATTGTGCCTGCAAGGAGGTAGGAAGGTACATCTGCTGTGGTGTGGCACTTGGATGCAATGTAAAGATGACTTTTAGTGGCTTCCAAGCAGCAGCAGGCAGACAGCCGACGGGGGAGCCAAAAAACTAATGAAAGTTCTCCTCGTGTTTCCACCACACACACACACACACACAGCAGCAGCAGCAGCAGCAGCTGATGACATCGTCGTGGTCTAAAACACACACACACACACAACGACACTGACGGAACCATGAGCTCTGCTGCCTGCTGCTGCTGCTGTTGCATGACTTTTTGATGGCAAAGTAATTAAAGTCAATTGCCAAATGCTGCCCAAAATACGCTTGATGCGGTGGGGCATACATACCTACATATATATATACATATGTAATGCAATTTGTACCCAACTTGCCTCCCACTATTTCTGGGCATATCTATAAGTGTGTGTGTGTGCATGTGTGTGTGTTAGCTGTCAACAGCATTAGCTTTCGTTGACTTTTGCAGCTATTAGCAAACACCACACCACACACCACAAATCGTATAACAATTTATTAGGAAAACACTCTATCAAAATTCTGTCAGCAGTGGGAAGAATATTATTCCGCCCCCCTGCCAAAATCCACTTTATGGCTAAAACTCTAAACATTATTTCTAAATTTGTGATTTCATATAAAGTTTCGTCTCCCACCCTCTTTTTATTATTGTTTGCCGAATACACAATCTATTCTATCGGTGGGAGGGGGGCTGGATATGGAGGTGCTAGCATTGGAATTGATGATGAAATAATGTCTATTCGAATGTCTGTTTTATGGCCTATTTCTTGGCCTCTGATTTTATAATCCCTGCCGCATCGTAAAACGTCGTTAAAGTTGTGGGTTTTGTGTGTGTGCAAAAAGCGAAAAACCATTTGCATTTATTGACAGGAATAAAGTTCAGGGGTTCCTTCGTTGATTGGCTCTCATTATAGAGCAGTTACGAGCATATTTTGAGGCAGCAGATAAGGATTGCGACACTAGTTTGAATATAGATTAGCATATGGCGAAGATGGACAACAAAAACATGAAGCAAATTTACATAACAGTAAAAAAAAAACTGATATATTCGTTGAGTATTTGTGATTAAACATATAAAAAATGCCTTTGATAGATACTCCCTTTAAATAACACAAATCGAAACGCTGGCGGGGGAACAACATTTACTGAAATCTTTATTGAGATATTTTTACCTATAAAAATGTTTCAATTCATATTTTATTTTGTATAAAGGAATCTTTGTTCCCCTCCCACACACACGCACACACAACAAATACTTTATTCACATATTGAAATATTATTTTAGGTTTAAAAGAACAGCAACAACAATAGAATGTTCCTTTCCCTTTAAATTATTTATCATTCAGAGGAAAAGAAAAATTCCGAAAATGTACAAAAAAAAAAATCTCATCTTTGGCTTGGAAAAATTCCACAAACATTTTTCTGATACATTGATATATTTTCCCCCGTTGCCACAGATATTTTTACCGCCCGCACACCAGTCACCCGCTACACCCCCTCTGTTACCCACGCCCACCTCTCCATTGTGAAACTCTCTTTCTGTCATCAGCAGTCGTGGGGATGATGGGGTGGGGGGGTGTTTTTCCATTCCGACCCGTCCAGAGGCTGACTTAATTCCGTTGTAAGTTTCCATTGGCCTTTGCATAAATGCATTTTGATGCACGCTCTCTCACTCCCTCTCCCTCTCTCTCTTAGTGGATGCCACACGGCACAACGTGGACGCTAAACAGATTTTCACCTTCTGCATACACATAAGCAGGGGGTATACGAGGGGCATCCGAGAGAGGGTGTAAGGTCGAATTTACACAAATTCTGAAAACGAGAAAATTACAACGAAAAATATGCAAACGACAATGAAGCGAACGAGCGATGGCAGTGGCGCCCTTTGAGAATGTTGCTGCCAGAGAATCGGAGATGAGAGAGAGGAGAGAGAGAGAGAGAGAGAGAGAGAGAGAGGGCAAGGGCTGTCAGAGATAAAGAAAGATAGCAAGCAGAGAGAGAGAGAGAGAGCAAGAAAGAGGAATGCTGCCCACGGAATGAGGGTCATTGGTTTGGTTATTCCTTAATGGTATTTTCCCATTTATACCCTTCCAACGAGCGTATTGCAATGGTGATCAGTTTTGCTTGAAGCTCTAACATATGAGAAAGCATTTTGGATCAGCTTAGAATATAATTATTTTCAAGAAAAATAAAGAAATTCCAACAAAAACACAACAAAATTCACATTTGCTATGGAAAATGTGGATCTTTAGGTATATATTTAGACATCTTAAGAAATATTAGATAGAAGGCAATTTTCTGTGATGAGAACTCATTAGATTTAGATGCCTAATCTATCTATCATTAAGATCTGTAGATCTTTGAGGGTGTCTTGTGCTTCAGTTGCTCAAAGGCCACGCTTGCCCTTGCATTCTCTATTTTTTCTGTATATTTTCTTGGCATCTGGTTGCAAGATTGCAAATGAAGCAGTTCTAAGACTCGCCGGGGGACAGGGTTTTATTGAAGGTGTGTGTGTGTGTGTGTCCAAAAGATAAGTAAACGGTAAACTAAGCCACGTTGCAGCTGCAACACAGTTATGCAATACTCCCCTACCTCCCTCCCTCCCACTCTGTCACTTTTCTCTGTGGAGACGACTACGTGCTTATCGTTCTGGTTGCTGTTTAGAATGCACTCCAGTCACCATGCCCCACGCCCACTCACACAGCAGCCATACAGTGCCACATTCGCATTCGCATCGTTTGTGTATGTGTGTGTGTGTGTATGTGTGTGGCATACGTTGCGTATGCGTGTTGCCGTCTTGTCTTCTTGGCTCTTCTTCGGGCACAGAGCAAATCGAATCTACAAATGTTTTGCAGCACATTAAATTGCCAATATGGCTTTATTGTTCTTCTCTGTGTGTCGCTCTTCTCTCTCTCTCTTACCCTCTCTCCCTGTGGCACTGTCTCTCTATATCTAGTATTGCCCCCCGTAGCTAGAGCAGCGATTTATGCTGTCACATCTAGTGGGGGTTGGAGGGTGTTCCAGCAAGTGTGGCAGAGCGGGCGGCATATCTAGTGTGAGTGGCGCCTTTGGGGCCATAACAGAGGCTCCACACACACACACACACACATACACATACACATATGACTCTTATGGAGTCGCCTCGTCTGCCTCGCTGCCACTGCCATTGGCAAGACATA